TTATTTCTGAGGTGAGGTTCATATGAAAATTGTTGCACTCTCTTTGCCCCTCGTGGCTAACCGATTGAGCAATGAATAGCTTCTTGATAGTATTATTAATATACCTGTGGCACAATAATATACAACCGCTTAATTCAGTGTAGGACTATCCACATGAATATGAACTTTATCAGGAATACAAGAAGCCATGTTTTGAACGCGTTAGGCTGCGATGCGGGAGTTACGATCGAATGAGTTGGTATATCCTGAATATTGACCGCGCAATCAACGCGTTGTTGTTGCCGCAGCCCATCTATAGAGTCACGATCAGAATCAAAAATATTGCGAGTAGTTGGAATTACCGTCAATATGTTGCATCAACAGAGGTTAAAAAATAAAATTGAAATTTCACGGACGAATCGTAGTGTCAAAACCAAAGAGTGGCCAACTATGTATTTAATTTAAACAGCGTAAACAAAATTAGTAAATAATTTTACATTTTCGGTTCTAGATGTTAACTGAGTAATCTTCCATGCAATTTGAAATATCTTCACTCACTCTCCAGTAAATGAAAATAAATTATCATATTTTTTTCATAATAAAGTATACAATTTCCTAATAATTTCTTTTTCATTTAAAAAATCGCTCAAAAACGAATTTCATCAAAATTTAAACAAAAATCGCATGAACAAATCACGGATGCCCTGCCAACATGGAAATATTTACATTTACTTACAAGGACCACGCACGTAGTGTTCTCGTCTCGCTAGTTTTTTATTGAGGCCTTCGTTCATAGGAATACTAAAACAGATTTTTTATACTCGCACTTGAAATTATTTACAACTAGAACGTAACCTTCTAAAGTTCATTCGCTCTCTGATTCCATTTAAATCTTCTTAAATGAATATATTTTCTAAAGTACAGTCTAATAGTAACGAATTTACTTAGATAATCTTACCTTGTTTATTTTGATAGGAAGAATTTGTTAACATTTTATTTCTGAATAATGAAGATTTTATCAGATTAATTACTAGAAACAAATTAATTTCATGTTTCGACTATTTGAGAATCAGCATCTCCTTTCCAAGAAATAACCCAATACAAATAAATTGGTTTTCAGACAAGGCAAATTTTTTTCACATTATAAATTAATGGAATGAATAACCGTATCCCTTGTAGTGTTCACAAGGAACTGTATACCATCGCTTGTCATGCTGCAATGAATCAAAATGCGATATGGTAGGATTTTTTGGTGGATGTAATCAATTTCCATCATGCAAATTTCACTAAACTATCAAAAAAAATCTATCGGACATGAGCAACGACGTATGAGCAATACAAATTGGCTGTAATTAAACAACTCGCCCATTCAATGAATAATAAATGTTAATAGCTGATATTATCTCCCTGCTGAGAAACCATCGAATAAGTTACACACGTCTTGCAAGGTAGATTTGACCTTTTATGCCCTTTCCTCGCGATATTCATTGTTTATTCATTTCTATCTCTCGCACTCTACATAACATGTAACTCCCGAGTCAACAAGTGGAAAATAGCAAATTCAGTCAAATAAACTGGCAAACTAAACTTCACTTTCCTTAACCTCCTTAGCGACATTATTTAAAAATTGTAGAGTTTATTACGAACGACCTTTTTTCTTTTCCCTCTATAACCCTGCAAATTCCGAAGAGCATATGCTCACGGCCGAGACGAGGCGGCGGCTGCTAGGCCGACCGTCTTGCCGGTGCCGACGCTGAAGCGGTCGGAGTGGCACCTGTGCCTCGAGGCTCTCAGCTGTCTTCAGGGGCATACAGACTGTCGGGTTCTCTGGAGCAGTGGGCCAAACCACGAGAAGATGCTCGGTCACTGGAGCACTGGGGCGGCTCAGGGTCGCATAAGGTTAGTCTGCCCGGTAACTGGGTGAGCCATGCAGAAATGTAAAGGTGCTCGTTCCTTCACCGAACCACCGTTCTGTGGAAAGAGTTTGATAGCATATGATTGCATAGCCAGCAACTGCATGAGTCACGGAGCAATAACAACATAAATAGATGCAAAAAAAATTTTTGCTTATTTTTTGTTTAACTAACAAACAACTATGTAAAATAAATTTTCGCAATTGATTCAATTCCTGTCCCATAATTTGCGCAAATGCGATGAAGATTCATAGCAAATGTTAGAAATTTTGTTTCGTAAGTTGGCTGTCTCTCCAACGTCATTGCCCACGCGATGAGTGAAGATCTAAATAGTGATGAATTTTAGAGGGTTTTCGTTGATGAGGTCTAGAGACATTATTAATTTTATTCAATAACGTTGTTTACAAGCGTTATTATAGCAATACAATGGATGCAAACTTCAGTTACTAGATTCTTTTATTGACTGAAAGTCGAAATTTCTACTTTTTCTCAAAATAAGTAGAATTTGCAATCAAATGGACGACTGCAAATGAGACCACATCTACAAGGAGCTCATCAATGCTTGCACAATGCACACAGTGCAGCATTTCTCAACGTACAACGAATATAAGTTTTATATTATGCTTCCATACAGCATCTTCATTACATCAAATATATTCTTTGCTTCTCGTCGTTTGGTAAGCAAAGAAAAATGTAAAAGCTAAGAAAGTTGCCTATTTCACAATTTCACTTGATTGGAATCTTGAACGAAAGTAAACACAAACAAAAGTCGCAAAAATGATCTCTGCGTGAGTGCAAAAATTTTGCCACAAAGTGTTACCCGTTACCACAACCGTGCCTCGTTTTCAATGGAAAGACTGGGATTTTGAGCCCGCAAATCCCGCCTCGTGGTAGACTGGCTCATCCGAACGCGCTAGGTTTTTGCACGTGCACCTGGAAGACCAGCTGCAGCTGTCAGCAGGTGTTGCAGCAAGGGCAGGTGCTGCAGCTGCTTCGCAAACGCCGCGAAAATCTCCAGCTGTCTAAGTACAACGAATGTACTGTACATATTTTATCATAAAGTCCTTGCAAAGCTATTCGTGACTATTTTAGAACCAACGTCGAGAAGAAATATCTGCCCTTTACATTGAACACAATTCTGTCGCTGCAGTGGTAAGGTAATAAGCTACTACTGACATAGTATTTCGCTATCCTGCAAGGTTAACAGTTTGCTGACTACTGAATGACAGAAATTTAAATGACTGTGCTTTTATCTTTATTAATTTTGAATTTTCTTGAAGCGCCTAAGATAAATCTTGGGGATAAACAAACGATACGCCCATAATGATATTAATGTTAGTTCTGTATTGCCTCTGCTTTACTTAGAAATAATAGATTGACAGGCAGCAGTGTTTATCTTTATGGTCACCATTAATTCCTCGTGACTGTTCTTGAAATTCTTGTACGTCTTTTTGTGCAAAATATTGTTTAATATTTCGAACAAATTTTCAGAAATATTTTAAGTGACACAAACCGAAAAGACTTAAAACAAAACCAAAATACCGCAAAAAAATTTTTTTGCCGTCAAAAATGTTTACTTATGCTAAACATCAAAATGTTACTTATAATTCTGTAAAATTTCACAGTCTGGAGAATAGGAAACATGATGGTTGTTTTGTTTGCGTAAGAACATCATATATTTCAACAGTTTTTTGTCCTGCTATTTTCAGCTACAAGAACAGCACTGCGATGAGTTACGTCACCCTAAAAGACACGTTACAATGTTCATGAAATTCTTCTCGTTTCTATTCGTATGGGGACATTGCATTAATTTTTCTCTGAAATTTCTTGATCGATTGATGTATACGTTGTACATGTAAATTTTAGTCTCTTTATAATAACCTTGATCAAAAACAACCTATCGATTCCATTTGATAAAGTTAGTAGATTTACTTATTTAGAATACCGGGTTATCGCATCCACGTCTTGAATTTGTCTATGGTTATAATCAGCATAGTTTAAACACAACTTATTTAAGCATAAACCCTCCATGGGCCACCACAAGCTAAATAGACCTAACGTCTAACGACATCATCTTACAATTTGTAGCTGCCGACCAATGCTTTTGAATACTTTCTCGGAGTTATGCAAATGTACAATTAATCTAGCTTCAAAATGGATAATTTAAAGTAACCATTCGTTTAGATTTCAAATTTCGAATTGCTGTAGACGGAGGTCAACCAAACAACAGCGGCATTTTTGGCGTATGGACCCAGTCGATCTGTAATAGATATTCTGAACGGATTTACTCGTAACGTTTTCCATGAGCATTGTGGTGAAATTGAATTGAAAATTGATTTTTTTTTGTCGATTACGAGTTAACCCGCGTTGTCTTAATAGATTTCCCGTGCCTAGGCTTGGGTTGATTTAAAGAAATATTGATTTCATGAAAACTTCGTTCATTTCAGGAAAGCGTTCAGTATAACTAATCTAATCTAATTAATTAGAAATTTTAATATTATTCTCTATCTGTAATAATCCTATCAATTTTTAGAATAGATTTACAATGCGGTCTAATGAGGAATTGATGTTAAAATGAGCGTCAAGTTTCATCTCACTGGATTCGCGTTTGCAAAAGTTAAGCGTGGGATCGTCACGAGCCACTTACATAAATAGCAAATAGGATGACCCTTTCTTATAAGAAACGGAAGGGAGCAAAAAAAGTTTAACCAACGCTGTGAAAATTTTTATTCTATGAAAACGTATTTTTATCTATACAAGTTATTGATATAAAAAATACTATATAGCGAATAATTCAAATGTAAGTTTTCGGCAGGAGTCAAGACAAGTAACGAACGCAACAATATCTGGTAGACTGTTTGTTGACTTCTATGATTACCAAATTTAGAAACTTATACTCAAAGCCGAAATATTTCTCGTAAAGAATGTTCATCGCCATGTACAGAGACACCACAAATTATTGAGGTTAGGGCTCAAAATTTTCTCTGAATAAAAGTAAGCAATTCAACGCAGACTATCATATTTTGTACGTTTACGCGCTGGTTATTGAGGTAGGTACAATTTCTCAGGAAATGGTGTTTCTCTGCAAATTTGAACAACGTACGTATAAAATTAGACTCCATGACTCCTTGTTAAGCTTATGTTACTTTTGATAAGTTTGCTACACTATTTATCTAGTAAAAGGATGCAAAGAAATTTGGCAAGGTGTATTGTCTGTCTGCTAGGAACATAAGATAGGTAAGTCATTCACGACGACACGACCTTGGACGTTGAGGAATTTCAGACAGACAGTCGTCTGCCTCTATAATCTTGTAACATAGCTGCGTCCTTTTAAAATTACATCGTAAATGTATGCTTTGGATTGTAAATTCCCTCCGCAAATTTTTTCTTGAGTGTAAGAGTGATCTTAATCTCAATGCTGAAAAATAAGCAATATCCGATCGCCAAACAAGGAGAAATAGCCCGCATACTTTTTTTTACTGTATGCAAAGTTAAGAATTTTGTTGTTATCGTTCATCTCAGACTATCATTCGAAAAATATTTAAAAAAATATAATATTTAACCATTTCATTTATCATACTAAAATTATGTGTAACCGAACAATTCCTATCTCATTACAGTAATATTATATAGCTAGATGAAACTTAATTAATAGCCCTGATGGTAATTATCTCGTACACCCCCTAAGCGTTCGTTGTCAGTAGCGCAAAGCACGCCACATGACTTAGTCATATAAAATTTTTGTAACAAATTTGCTTTAATATTTTAAATTCGTCAAGTTTCTAGGATTATATTCTGCTGTTTGTAAAGAATTCAAACTATAATTAGAAACAAATAATATTTTGAAGCACACTCGAAAGCAATATCAAGAAAGCATTAATTATGTTTGAGAAAACAATTCTTTGACGTAACTTCACTTCATTCTTATCATTATTTTTGTCTTTGAAGCAACTGAAATAGTAGAAAAGTCTTGCTATCCTGTTAAAACGCTGTTATCACCATTTCTTTCCATTCAATATGTCCGATAAGCAAGGACCATATGCAGAGCTGACTAAGACTTTAACACTGCCAACCTTCCTGGTGTTCCAGTTTCTCATTTTTAGCGCATTTTCTCATTTATGGAAAAATGCACTATTGTGCTCGCCATGTCCGTCTGTCCGTCCGTCCGTGACTTCACGTTGACGAGAAAATGCGCTCTCTGTCACTTACTGCAGTGAGTACCTACTAAGTTATATTTTTTATATTCTCATCGAATAAGCGTGTTAAAATAAATATATTTTATGTTATACCCACGAAACCCCGTAACAAAAAAAAACTGAATAACTGCACTTCGCTTTTATTAATGATCAATCATTTATGATGAGTAATGAGTAATCATTTTTGAAATTTGATTAAGTTGAACATTTTGAATGTACACCATAACTCAGTTTAGTTTTAGCACCATTTGCACGCGCAACTTACCGTTTAGGGATCTACGTGGAAACGAAGCGGACTAAAATACGTAATTGTCAATGATCGTAGGAGCCTTCTGTGAATAAATTGCTTCGTTGTTAATTAGGTCAAAATAAATTTCTGTTGGAAAAACTTAAACGGGTAAACGAGTTAAATCTTAAACTTTTGTAGCTGGTTGGATCCATGCGATAAGGATTTCTATTATTGCTTCGTGACGTTTTAAATGTGAGGTACTATGTATTTTTTTGCATTTAACATATCCTGTTACTCTTTGGACTTCCATTACGTTAAAATGTGATTATGCCAGAGTTTTTGGCGGCGCCAAAGTGACTGGTGAGGCGTGAAAATCCCCACTGTGGAACGATCAAAAATATTGGAGAACCACTGCCGTAAAATTGGTGGTATGTTGGCTCCCTTTAGGGCTCTACGTGGAAACGAAGCGGACAAAAATAATTGTCAATGATCGTAGGAGCCTTTTGTGAATAAATTGCTTCGTTGTTAATTAGGCCAAGATCGGTTTCTATTGGAAAAACTTGAACGGGTGAATGTGCTAAATCTAAACTTTTGTAGCTGGTTCAATCCATGCGATAAGGATTTCTATCATTACTTCATGGCGTTTAAAATGTGAAGTACTATGTATTTTTATTGCATTTAAAATATCCTGTTACTCTTTGAACTTCCAGTACGTTAAAATATGATAATGCTAGAGTTATCGTGTCGCCACAGTGACTGGTGAGGCGTGAAAATCCCCACTGTGGAACGATCAGAATATTGGAGAACCACTGCAGTAGAATTCGAAGTATGTTGGCGCACAAACTGCGAGTGTGTGACGGTGGCATGGGCTCTACTCTCGCTCTCCACGGGCTATCGATGGAGACTGACCCACTGTGGAGCGCACGTCTACTACATTCCAACCCTTCTGCCATTCAAAGAGTAACTAATTTTTGGTATACAGTATTTTGAAAAAAATGTTTGTTTTCCTGGATGTTACTTCCATTATTTCATCAAATGAGCTAAAATTGACTATGACTATAAATGCGTTGCAAATATCAGCTTATGTGACTCGTACTTGTCTATAATCAGCATGAATTTTCGTATTGTCTGAATACCGTACAACTTAATTTTATTGATTGAAGCAACTGCAATACTGCATAAGTCACTTGATTTCTGTACTCTATTTCACTAAAATAGGGTGCAGACAAAATTAGCCGAAATTCACTAAGAATGTTTTCAGGTTCACAGCGACTTCCTTGATGCGGGCGCGGAGATCCTGGTGAGCAACAGCTACCAGGCCAGCGTGGAAGGTTTCGTGCGTCACTTGGGCGTGTCGTCTGAAGAAGCTCTGGCGCTAATCGGCAACAGCGTTCGATTGGCACAAAATGCGGCCCAAAACACAAACAAAAGTAAGATATACAGATCTACCTTCAATTTCATTTGTATATTTGGTTAAAATTGACGTTTTGTAATTAAATTAAGGTATTAAATTTTATTTTATTACGAATTTCTCTTCGCGTTATTCATGATTTATCCAAGAAGCAAATTTAACCTATTCAGTATCCCTACAGCAGTTCCTAAAAAATATTTTTAACAATCTGGTTGATATTATTACTTAAATATAGCGGACATATTGGTGGCGGGATCGGTCGGTCCGTACGGCGCGTGTCAGAACGACGGATCAGAGTACACGGGAGCTCACGTGTCCGGCATGACAGACGAGCAACTCATGGATTGGCACCGGCCGAGGGTCAAACAAATCGTTCAGTCTGGGGCTTCTTTGCTCGCAGTTGAAACTCTTCCAGCCGTCAAAGAAGCTTTGGCCGTCCTCAGGTGAGTTCATAAATGTCATAAATATTTAAAGTAAGCGATTTGCTATCAATACGAATGCGAATAATAGTCCTGAACATGCTGACTGCCACTCTAGTCACTAGGCTGTCAAATACGACGAGCAGTGAAAATGGTTAATTTATTAATTGGAAAATGGGCAAATACAAATTTATAGATTTAACCCGCGATTATGTCATAAGGCTTGAAGAAATTTTTTGGTTTTTAAGTAAGTATTAATTCAACTAAGAGCGATGAAGGGTTATTTTCTACGGATGCAAAAAAATTGCCCTATCGAAGAGTGTTTTGACATCGTCAAAAACCTGACAATAAGTCTCACAAATTCAGCTCTAATTTTGATTAAGCAGACATAGATGACATAGTTCATACTTAGTTTAAAATTAGCACTTGAAAAGAAATTAGGAATTGCAATCATACGAGTATATAACAAGAGAAGGGACTGACGTACATTTCCTCAACAGATTACTCCGAGAATTTCCCGGCACAAAGGCTTGGATCACTTTTTCATGCAAGGTTAGTGGAATTAGAATAGGTACTAATCATATAGAATTGCTAACCAGTCAGCATATGGAACATAATTACAGTAATGTCAGTGTTTACAAATGAACAATCAGTTACGTATCATTCATAACTACTGGGGGATGTTGGTCGTTAGTTCGATAACAAAAGTTTTGTCTACTTTCAAAATTTGTGTAATTATTGAATTGTGATTCATCGAAATAATTTCCGAATCGTTATTTTTTAATTATGTTTCCTCAGGACGGTAAACACACCAATGCAGGGAACGATTTCGGCTCCGCCGTGCAGCGGTGCTGTTCGGTGGGCGGTGATGCCCTGGTGGGCGTGGGGGTCAATTGCTCGTGCCCCAGCCTCGTTCTGCCTCTCCTGGAGTCCCTCGATGGGCACCCTGGAGTGCCTCCTCCAGATATTATGCCCAGAATTGTTTACCCTAATTCTGGCGAGATTTGGGTCGCTGGCAAGGGGTTAGACTAGTTAATACGTACTTCGATATTAATACTTACAACCTTAGATTGCTAAATTCATTTTGACTGACTGACTACCGGCTCACAAAATTAAACCTGCTCCCAAATGCTTCAATTCGATTGTCATGTATGCGTTCATATACAACAGTTAATTTTTTTCATGTTTATTTTTATTTTAAAAGTTACATTTTATTTGGCCTACCTGGACGCGAGTGACATACTTATCCGACAAATAAACAAATTTACTTAATTTTCAGTGAACACTGAAAATAGAGTGAAGTGATGGTGAATTAATTGGACAAGTTGTAATTTTGCTATCTCGCATTCACCACGAATAGTTGTTTACAAAGATTGCCTAACTCGCTAACTTAAAATAAACATTTCAATTCATTAGTCACCAAAATATTGAATGTTCCGCAGAATTTCCACGTTTAGTGGATACATTTACAAAGTATTAAGACTAGAACACACGATTCTCGTGTAATCGATGATACATTATTCATTGGTAGGACTATTTAGTTGAGTATTTGAATGAAAACTGAACAGATGATTGCTAAAGAACAATGTATTTGACTGTAAATTTGATGGCACGCAGGTGGACGTCAAACCCAGCCCCCCTGGAGTGGCCAGTGGAGGAGTGGGCGCGGCGAGGAGCGCGGGTGATAGGAGGCTGCTGCCGCGTGGCTCCAAGCGATATAAAAACTATCGCACAAACCGTGGCCAAAATAAATCTCAAGAACCTCTGAAAATTTGTCATATGCGAGGAAGACACAAATTTATGACACTAATTGTACAAGAGCTGATGAAGAGTAAAACATGAATAAAATTACTGAGATTCTCACGTCATCTGTCTTGCCGCCACGAAGTTCACACATGATGATTATACGTATATAGAGAAACTCTTCATATCAGCACGACGACTAGTACGAAATGTAACTCCTTCACCAGCACTCCTCAACCATTTTCTTCCTCAAATAAAAATTAACAATCAAGTGACATAATACCGACCTGCCATGCACTAAAATACCTTGTTTCCCAACTTGCATCTCTAAAACAATTGCTACCATCATTGCTCCATACCTAGTTGCATTATCGATTGATGTTAAAAGTGAACACAAAATGACGGTAACTCGTAGGTTAGTTTAAAAACGCCCATTATTATTAAAGATACCTGCTAATCGCAGCCAGCATGCAGGTGAAGAAAAGCTGCAACAACATAAACGTATCTACACTAATCACGCAACTGCAAAGAAGTAATATTTATACAATTGTCGTCTTTAAAAATACTCCAGCGTTCCGTACCCACACAGGTGGCTGAAGGACATATGAAAAGTATAAGTGAGATTACCATCCTAATGAAAACAATGATGATGGTGTAGATGAGGAAGAGTTGTACAAAACTAATTATCTGCAGCTCCTCGCGAAAATGTGTCATTTCTCAATTTGAACCATTTCAACGTTGGGAAGATTCAAAGAGCAAAATCACATCTGAGTGATCACGGAAAAATTTGCTCGTCGTGTATATCTTGATCCTGAGAAGATAAAACATAAATGTATAACGCTGACTATTGCTGAAAGACGTCTGTGCACAAATTGAAGTAGAGTCCCGCGAGTTATGTCACTTGCGATGAGGTCTATTGTGTTTGTTATAAGGCTTGTAGTTACCACGCCTGTAGCTGCTGGAGACATCTTGCCCTCGGGGCTTGCGCTCTGCAAAGGTAAATTTCTCACAGTATTGTGGTAAAGAACTCAAAGAATTTTTCCGGTGGAATCCTTACCCTTTTTTCAAATTAATAACGATTTCATTCCTGGGTAATAAGGGGATGAAATGAATTGTTAATATGAGTAGATGACCGTGGAGAAAACTAACTGTGGAGAAAACTACTGTTGGTGTTCATTGATATTAAAAACCCACATCAAATCCAATAGGAACCTTGCATTGTGCGTAACCACCTTTTACCTAAAAGAAAAATTCAACATAATTGTCATAATTATAATTCAACATATCATATATGTGAATTTATTAAGACTTACTCCAATAAAATCAGTCAATTTTGTCCCAATCAGTTCGTTAACCAAATTAATTAGGCCATACCGATAAAATTGTAGGTTATATAAGTGGGCCTCGTGGCGTCCCTGCCGGTGTCAGGTGTGACCGAGAGCGTGTCGCAGGGCTGGGTGGCAAGGGCAGAGATTGCGGCCTCGACGTTGGCTATTCGGTCCGACAGGCTGAAATAGTAAATGGTTTAAGCAATTGTTACCTTAAATTAACAATACAGAAATGTTGAAAATAGTCACGAAAAAAAACCTAACATTACAATACATTAAAACTTGCTAAACATAACATTAAGTGTAATAATAATATACCTACGTTTAAAAATTACTTTTTAAAGACAACACTTCCAAAGAATCCAGTGTCTCCAATCTTACAGATGTAAAATGAATTTCTCATTCAATTTTCACATATTAAAAAAATTTATTTTTCAATTTTTTTAATACTATATAAAAAATTTTTAATAGGTACGGTAGGTATATAATTTTTTTTAATCATTTATTTTGACACTTGATTCATGCATTGTCCCAACTTTACACAAGTGTGCAAAATTTCAGATCAATAGGATAAGTAGAAGTATATTAAATTTTGATTGCAAGATTTGTAGCAAACAAACAACAAGAAGTGAAGTTAAAGAGAAGTGTTGTAAAAAGAATATAATCTAAAAAATTGTGAATACAAAAAAAATTGAAAATTTGAAAAACTGATGCCTTATACAATTACTATTATTTTTTCTGTTGTTTCAATTACTCTGTAGGAAGTTCTGTGTTTGTCACTACGGTACAAGTTTCCAAGTTAAGAAGTATGTATTTCATTCATAAACCAGAAACACCAACCAAATTAAATCTTTATGATGATGTTAAAACCCGTGTATAGAAGATAACTTTGATATTAACTTTTCAACAATGGGAAAAATTAGTGAATAAATTAATTTAAATAATAGGATAAATAGGAATAATTAATTTAAAATTAATTAAATAAATAGGATAAATTAAATAAATTATTTGAATTTAATAAATTACCTATTTTTAGAATCTGATGCAGCAGATGGATCTCTAGGTTTTACACGCAGGACCGCAGGTGCCGGCTTACTCATTTGTGCTCTACTAGTTAGATATTTGTTCTGAAATAAATGTGCAGTAAAAACAAATATGAAATCACCATGAAGGCATATCATAATAAATTCCAAACTAAAATTGCTAGATTTTTTTCTAATGCACTCATTACAATGGGGGGCATAAAATTTTAGAGAAGAAAAGGATTTTCATCTTCACATTTTGTACCAACAAAAAGTAAAATAAATCAAACCATGAAAATATCAATAAAATACAAAACAGCATAATTACAAATATAAAGCCAAACAATAATTTATTGAATTTCCTCATAAAAGCCTATGGATTAAAATTAAACTCTTTTCATTATATTCAATAACAACTCAATTCTAAGCACTTTGGTATTTTAGAGAAGTTAAACAGTTTATTTAACATTTATTTCCTTAAATAGAACTAAACCAGTAGATTCATAATGTACCCACTTGATCTTGAAGGTGCGCCCACTTGACTGCTAGTCTACGGCCAGCAACGTCAAGTCCATCCAGGGTGCGCTGGGCACTCTGGGCACTGGCTGATTCCTCATAAGTGACAAAAGCATAGCCTCTGGGCACACCCAGGCCCCCTTTGTCTCCACTACTCTTCTGGTAGAGGAAGTCAAATTCCGCCAGTTTTCCAAATTTTTCCACCATTTTCAGGAATTTATACCCATGGGGAGAACAAAAATATCAACTGTTAGCTGAGAAACATGTCTTTTTTATCTGTTTAAATCAGTATATACATTAATGTGCATATAGAGAAAGTAACAATAGTAGTTTTGTTTTACATTCTTGAACAAACTTTGATTACCAAATAGTAACTGTGATCAATTTTAATCTTGCTAGAAAGTTTAGGTTGAGTTTTGTTAAGGGGAGCATATCAGTCAAAATCAAGAATTTTGACTTTTATGGTTTCTAGTTCTCCTGTAAACCTACTACTGCTCTCACGGCAAACCTATCTCCTCCTAGAATTTTGAAGCTACAGCAATGAGAGATATATAAACCATTTGACTTATAATGACAAGAATTAGTGATTAGCAAGCCATTTTTTTATTTCATTTTAGTTTGGATTATAGGGAAATTTTGAAAATTAAAAATTTTTCAGGAAAATCATCATAACAAGAGAACCAAGAAAAAAATTTTAAAAAGTGGCTTGACAATCACTAGATATTGTCTTTACCAATCAAATGATATGCCAGGCAATGTTGCGGCATGTAAATTGTATGATGCATTAAATTTTCTAAAGTAACCCCTTTTTGGCTGTTTTCTATGAATTTCACTTTTTCTTTCATTTTTTTGAAAAATTCACATGAACAAAATAGTCATCATTTTTTATTTTACATTTGTGTACCAGGTTTATAGATGATCCTTCCCTGAATATAGAAAATTGATTTTGACCGATATGCTCCCCTTAACAAAATAGATCATTTCTATTGCAAGCCCACAAGTTGCCATAACATAAGTGCTATAGCAACATTAGGGAGCCAGAGTGCAAAAAATTGGTGAATACTTGAAGATATTTGGTAACATATCAGGCTCAGCATCAAAATCTATGCCTTCAGAAGATCTTGCCAAATGCCAACACATTTATCTTTAAATACCCTGTTACTAGATTGGAATTTTCCTACTTATGAATGAAATCTCGTGGCTCTAAATTGACCAATTTTCACTACATTAGGAATTTTGCAGCCCAATTGTGCAGTTTTATTAACAATTAGATAGGGAATAATTCATCTAGAGGGAATTTCACAGCTCTAAAAATGACCAGAAAGCTCTAGTCAGTAGTCACAGGCTCACAGCTTGAACTGTAGATATTTTTCATGCCAGCCCCTCTGCATGTATTTTTCTCAATGAATCTTGAACTTGAAGTTGAAAGTTTAGCAGTCTAAGTAGTTCTGGGCTTCTGGCAAGTGGCAACAAATCATCAATAAAACTGTAAATAAGGTGTAAAACTTTAGGCCAAAAATGAGGACCTTGGTCACTTGGTGTCGGTGACACAATTGCAATAGTCAAAATCTGCATAGCACTTAGCCTAAATACTCAAATAGGGACAATGAGACTTAGACATCAGTGTCCAGTGATACAGGCTTACAGCTAATCCAGGCTCCAGGCCTCCAGCCATTTTTCATAAATGGCTCTATAAATTTTCTAGAGCTGTGAAATTTTCGCTGCATGAATTATCTTCTAACTGTCAGAACTTTAACAGTTAGCAAAAATGTATGATTGAGGCTAACTCTATGCAAAATATCTCAAATTTACCCAATGAATAAAAGTAATATTTCAGCTAGAATATAATACCTAATTCCAGCAACAAATTATTAATATTGCACTATTATTCTGCAATTACTAATAAGAGATATTTTAAAACATTCAATGATATCTTACTCGGTTATCCTGGGATCCATATTCCCAATCCACAATCTTCTATCATCTGGCTGAGGAGGTTCAGGGACTGGAGGAGCAACTGGTGGAGGATCATCCTGTAAAATAAAGGATTGAAAATCTCATTCAGTCAGACATGAGCAGTTTAGATTTTTGTACCAGCTGCAGCTAGTAGCCTAATGTTGTGATGAACATGAACGGATACTCTAATAGCCTACTTATAGGATTCAAAAAAGAACTTGAAGGAGGGGCGAACAAAAAATGTTCCCCTTTGTTCCCCACATCACACATGCATGATATATTAATAATACATTCAGAACATTGAAGAAAAAACCTAAAAATCATATAACTTCACTAACCTCATCCATAATTTAATAAATTGATTAAATTTACGTTAGCCGATAAAAATGGGCACTGAATTTGAGTTAGCCTTGGATGTGTGAACAAATTGTAAGAATACAAGAGAAAACTTTGCTTTTCTACCAGCAAGACTGTACGACGGAATGTGAAGCCAGCTATATCTGATCCGAGCCAGCGTATTAGAAATACCCGAATGCTAAACCCTACGCATTGTTTAATTGTATTTTTTAAATCAAAATATTACATGATCCGCGATTAAGTTTTGCTGCTTGATTGTTTCTTACCATGTTTTTACTCCGAAATCTGTCTTAAAATGCGCCATTATTTTGCTAGAGCATTTATATTATATGCGAGGAAAAGCTTAACATGAACTCTTATCAGCTACGTGGATCTATTTACAAATATTGTTCTGCAATTAAGCACTGCAGGAAAATTTTCTTTAACAGTGCCTATTATTATTTCTTTTCGCTTTTATTTTAATGACCCGTACACTCGAATTCATAAGATACGAGCCGCGCTACGAGAGGCTCTTCATGATGAAGAGGCCTCTGCGCTGATAGCGGAGCAGAGATCTCCGTCATGGTGCATGGTGAAGTGCTTCTATTCTTTTCTATGTCACTGACTTGGGCAGTTCAGGAGGGAGAAGCAAGTGTTCCTATACCGAAACCATGAAGCAATTACGTAAAATAATTATGTGTTTAGTTATTATGTTGTCGACAACGCAGAGTATTGTCGGTGATCAAGCTGTTGTCGAGAGCGATGTGGTTCGACTACTCGCAGAAGATGGATTGTTCTCATGGGAAAAGCTGCTCATTAATTCTACAGCATTTCGTACTCTATCATCAAATACGCAACCCCAAAATCCGTCGCGACTCTTTGTGATAGAATTTGGTAAAACTCTCGATTATTGCAACAACAGAATCGAAGAGGCGGCAGTGGTGTCTGAGAGCATGATTAAATATTTCATGGCAACCGTGATTAGGAAAGATATAAAAAATGAAACCAATGATAGCGTTATGCAATATTCGTTCGATGAAAGTAAAATTATTAATGAGAATTTGGTTATAGATGTTAATGAGGTCAACGATGCACCAATTGATTTAGAGACCAACTTTTGGCCTTCTCTTCATGATGTCGTATCAGTGTTGAAAGATGCTTGTGATGACTTACCATTGAAGATCGTTGAAGCCGACATCAGTACACGGCAATTGCAAAAACGAAACCAAACTGTACTGGAAGACATAATTTCAGCCATGACCCGTTGGACGTTGCAATGGAGTGTTAAAGTGAGCGCTGCTGCCAACATCTTCCTTGAGCATTGTTTGGTTGTTAAAGATTGCGAAGAAAATCTAAAGCTCATCATGGACGTTCTAGGGAAATCTCTGGAATCGAATACCTACTCTCAGATTGTTGCTAAATCATCTATCTCTAGTAATGGGTATGTGTCCTCCCACTCCGATGACATTGATTCTGCATCTGTCGCCGTATCTGACGATAGTTTTGCCCCGAAGAGAGACTTCTTCGCCTCAATGGAGAATAATATTCAGCAAACTATTAACAATATTTATAATTTTATAGGGTTCCGCACAGAAGATAAAAATGAGAATGATAAAATTTCTGAAGCTGGGAGAGAAGATCATAATTCACACGAGTCTAAAGACAACTACGACTCGCCTTTGGAAGCGAGTGAAGTAATTCCGCAGTCAGGAGGTGACTCAGACCAGAATCCGGTGTTGTCAGAGGGAGGCCAGAGACTTCTACGTCTTATTTCTGCGTCCCTCAGCGTGCTTCAATTCCCATGGCAAAGCCATCAGCAAGGCAAAGGTAGGCATATGCTATTATTATGGTGCACTAAGTTAGGTGGGAAAATAATATGGACAAGCGAATGGGAATTGCTTCTACATTTCAAGGTTACACAGAATTTGGACTCGCGGTCTCTGCTCTAGCTGGATGACCGTTAACTGGCCATATGCTACTTTCAAAATGTTTTATCCGTGGTTTTGTTCATGTATTTTTATTAAATACAAGCATTTTCTTTCCCCTGTAAATTTCCGCACTTCGTTATTTGAATTGAAGATCAATCAGACTTGTAATGATAACGTGAACTAAATGTACTGTGACTTTTACAAGAGATATTTATTAATAGTATAAAATTATGAACATTAAACATGACATTTGTCATAAATGCTTCATATGATCAACTTTAGACAAGCTATGCATGAAAACTTGTCCACTCTGTTCGTTTAAAATTCTATGCATCAGCAAGTGTTGTTGTAACATTTTTGTTTGCAGTGATCCTGATGATCGATGGAGACAAAGTGATCAACAGAATCCCAGAGGAATTTTTGTCCTTCGCGCTCGAGTCCCAATTGATTCAGGACACCGAAGACAAGTTCAACACGAAGTAAGACTAGGATTGATGAATCTGTTCTTATGGTAGATTAATAAATCTATTCTTAGGTTGGATTAATGAATCCATTCATAGGGTGCAACAACAAAAATGAATTTTCCTACCACTTCATTGCTTAGTTACATTTTGCAAATTATCCTTGTGGACGTACGTATGTGAGGAAAATTAGTGACTCAAATTTGTTCTTATAAATTATAGTTTACTTCTCTACTTTATTATTTTAATTAATTTTAAATGAATTATACTTTATTAATTAATTTAATGAATTAAAGTTTAATTATTAATTTTAAATCACATAAAGTTAATTTGTCTTGCTTTGTTTCAAGTTTTCGGTTCTACTTTATTAATTTAATAATTTTTTAATGTATAATAAAATTTCTTTAGCAAATGAGTTAACTAGCGTAATTCGAAACTAGATCGACGAAGCTTCGTCGACTGATGCAGCCTCTAACTAACGCCGTATTCCGACTCGGAGGATCATCGGCGAACTTCCTGTTTTACGGCCCCGATGATGAAGAATTGAACGAGTTCTCTGTAGCTGAGGGAAATACTCTGCTGACTAATTCGTATAGAAAAGGCACGAGAATGTCACGTCCGAAACCTGCAATCCAGCATGGGCCGTGGAGACGAGATGATATATTGAATTACGAATCGTCGGACAGTAAACCCAACATTGAGGCTAACAAGGTCATTTCTCGAAATCACCCTAAATTTTTACGTAAAAAGCACGAAAATGACATGAAGTCACCTAATAGCATCAGTGGCCATTTGAGACACCCAAAATTCAAGTTAGACATTGAAGGTCCCGTTGAAGATAATGTGTTGAAACGCCAGCGAGAGGCGAAAAGCCTAGCCAAAGTTCCTCCCACAGCGGCAGCTGAACATTTAAAGATAGTGAACGGCAATGGATTAAATTTTAGACCGCATGGGCACAGACACATCCAATCGTGTGAAAGTCAATCACCTCCTTTCCAGAACTTCACTATGACAAGTGAGTGATGTATTAATACAATTACGGGTAGATTAAAAAACAAAAACTTGTGTACACATTCCAATTGATAATTTGAGTTTTAGAAATTTAGTTGGTAATGCAACATTCATCATGCGGTGTTAATATGAAATATGAAATAATTTTGAACTTGAGTAACATGAAGCTGAATTACACGTATAATTAGTTGATATTTACCAGTTTATAATTAATTTTCCCCCTTATCTCTGATGGCTCACTGAAGATCGATGAATTGAAATTGTTCAATTTATCGGCAGGTGACGATTTCGAAAACCTTCTTGATTTGTGCCGTGACCTGAACTGGACATTATTGTTCGACCTGAACCAGTTCATCAGAACTGAAGACGGAAGGTGGGATTCCCGTGACGCTCGTCGCATTGTAGCTGCGGCGCAGAAGTCAACCGCATCTGTTATTTGGCAACTCGGAAATGGTAACCGTCGTATTCTCTTTGCCCTACAATGGCCGAAAATGGCGTTATTAGGCCTATTTAAACCCTCTTAAATAATTTAATGTCCATTTATTAAAAGTATTATTAGATTTTTTGTTAAAAATTGCCGACAAATTCAATAGAATATGAGTGGCCTGAATATGCTAAAAATGTTATAAACATACTGTTCTTCCTGTGTTTATTGTTGTACTGCACTAAAGATGTTGTTTGCTGTTCGTTAAATTGAACGTTCGCTCACATCCTGTACAATTTGCGTCTCCTGGGGGCTTGGCCCTTCTACCCTCGATCCCCTCCATCTGAGATGCTAACTGGAATCCAATAGCTTTGGCCAAGAGTCCCTAGGTCGAAAAATTTCTAAAATTCCAATTCAATTTTTTACTTAAAACAATATGCGATTGAAAGACCATCAAACTCAGATTGGACAAGACCGAAAAACGAAGTCTCGTCTTGATTTTTCTTTAACCTCCAGAACCGAATAACTACGCGCACAAGTTCCAATTTAGGATAAATGGTACAATGATGGCGGAAGATGTGGCTCTCTTACGCGACCTTCTCCCACAAGAAAATTCCGACTCGCCGAAGATCAGGCTCGTTGGTCCTGATGTTACAAGGCCCCATGTCTCTAACCTCGCCATTATTCCCTTGAGCAGTACGTAATTACATGTATTTTATCGGTAATATATCTATTTTGGGTTAATTCAGGTGAGGCTTATGAACAAAGCAAATTTAAACTCAGAATTTACATAATTTTTAATTTCAGGTACCGCCGATCACGAGATCAGAATGGCGAACATCGAAGAAACTCTTCAAAACTTTACCGGTGAAAATATCAAAGATGACACTGATTCTGTGAAGTTCTTACGAGACTTTCTCACCTCTGGGCCTGGTCTCGTAGATGCTATCGCGTGGCACCAGTAAGTGACTCAAAATCGGCCACAAGCCTACGGCCTAATAAACGCTGAAACCACTATTAATATTATTTTCATTATTATTGTTAATAATAATATTATCATTACTATTATTTTATTATTATAAATATATCTTTAAAAATCTACAAATTAACATACCTCTTAACTTGGAAGCGTTTTGATTCCTGCTTGCATGATTCAACTCTAATTTACTCTAATACTTGTATATTCATGCGAATGCTTGCCTCTAAAAATGTATCCCAACTTACATCTACTCAATGAGTAAACATTTATTATCAGATATTACGTATGTGGCCGCACGACTTCAGTATCAGAATTCCTTGATCCTGCCACGATGGAGCTTTTCCCTAAGCAGCTGGCGGTGGTGAAGAGGGTCAGGGACGAACTCGCGCCCCGCACTCCGCTCTGGATCAGTAAGACAAGTCGAATCATATTAAATTCCTCATATTATTAAATCATATTAAATTACTAATTTTATTGTCTGCTAAGGCCGCAAGTTCACCAAAAAGTTAAGAACAAAGAAAATACCGAGTAAATATGTAATAAATTTACTAAACGTTTCTCTTTTCTTTGGAATTCTATGTCGAATCATCAAATAAATCAATAAAATTCAGGAGCTTTTATACGCCTATTCCCTGCATTTAGCGCAAAAATCTTTCATACATAATTTACAGTACAGTAACATATATAATTCATTAGATGTAATTTATTATAATTACAAACAGCAAAGAGTTGGGAATTTAAGCAGGTTCAAGGATTCAGCTCGATCGTTATAGATAAGTTTAGATCTATCCATATTTAAACAACATTTGTCACTTTTCAACTATTAATAAGGCAGCATTACGGACATGATAGGATATAATTATTATTGAATAGCTGGTTACGATATAAAATAGAAGCACAAGAGTGGAAGTATCTGGAAAAGTAGGGAGGTTCACATTGTGTCCCGTCAGCCGAAACAGGCTCAGCGTACGGCGGTGGTGCTCCCGGCCTAAGCAACCGCTTTGTGGGAGCCTTCCTCTGGCTGGACAAACTTGGCGTGGCAGCGAGGGACGGAGTGGATGTAGTGGCGAGACAATCGATCTTCGGCAAGAACTACGCGATGCTCGACTCTAACTACGACCCTAATCCTGTGAGATTTATTCATTTATTTCTGAACATATTGTTAGTAGCAACTATATCAAACGTCAGAAATATTGAATATAAACCATTCTGTATTTACAAAAAAATTACTTTTGAATTAAACTTCAGTATTTTGTATTTCTAACTCAAAGTTTAAGAGTATCCATGACTCGACGCCATTGGAAGATAAACTTCAATAATAGGAGTCTTTATTATACGAACTTTTCCAGGATTACTGGGTGTCTGTGCTGTTCAAGTCGCTTGTGGGCGACCGCGTGCTGGAGATGTCAGCGCTCTCGGCGCCTGCAACGCTGAGGCTCTACGCGCACTGCATGAAAGAGACCCATCCTCTGCACGAGCCTGGTACGCTCAACTCATATCGCGTGGTTATATAGTTTATTATATAATATATAATATAATATATAATGCTCCACACGAGTTATTAATTGATCATCCACTCCATATGGATGTTTTCTTTCCATCTCCAGCCTTAAGCGCTATGGAGACCCTTGTCGCCTAAACTAAAGAATCGTATGTCATCTACACCTGTTTGCATGAACTTTCGTCAAGAATATAGCTGGGAAACAACAACGATCGAGCGGAGCAAATCGAAATTTTTTTAAGCTCAAAACTTTCTTACATTGAATTTGTTTTTTTCTAGCATGTCTTCCACCAACGTATAGATTCACTGTGAAATAATTAGTTTGGTTAAAAGAATAGTAATTTCAATTTAAGCACAATCAAACGTAATCAGGCTTCTTTTGGGCATAAAAAGCAAAACGCTATCATATTTTCAAATTACATAACTTGAATTTTAGACTCATATTTTTATACGCATTTATAAAACTACACCAGGCAGCATCGTGGTATTCGGATTGAATAGCGGCGAGGAAGCGGCCGACTTGTCCATCACGGGGGCCGTGGGCGACACCCCGGTGCTGCAGTTCGTGCTCACCCCCGCCCTGGGTGACCTCACCGCCAGGTGGGTCGCGTGGGATGAAGTCATGAGGTCATTTTCTCTCATTCCCCGCAGATGAACCGCGTTGTATCATAGAGCTAACTTTTCCTTAATGGATGTCAAGGTGTAACGCATGAATCTTGAGCATATCTAGTGCATATTTCTAGAGCAAGACTGATGCGTTCTCTTATATGCAATTAATTGATATCATCTCTACAGAATGTCGTCGATTTTTTCGCCGATATTATACTGCGGATAATTTCGACAATTTGGACATTTTTCCTTTTCATTATTTCAGTGTGGTGAAAAAAAAATTACTTGTTCATAATAGGCAATTGTATCGTTTTCTTCCACAATTGAATTTCAGATTCTTGACTGGAGACTATATTATTACCAAGTACATATTATCTATTAAACAAGTACCGGAAAAATAGATAGAGTATATTAAAAATCCTATCTTAATTTCTTTTCTTCTTCGCTTCACGCATATAGACTGCATGATAAGAACATTTAATGTATCGTTGTCATGAAAGGCATTGTAACTTGAATCTTCATTTCTCAAACAATAACCAAACAATTCGAGATTTTTTTCTAACAAGAAGAAAACGAGCTCATTAGGTTCCGTAATAGCAGGATGTTGCTCAATTCAAGCAGTAAAACAAGGATTCAAAACTTTCAAAAGTAAAACAGTGTTCGTGACAAACAAATTTATTATTAGGTTCTGTGTTAGCGACGCCCCGCCTGTACGTCTCACCAGCCCCTGGTGGGCCGCCACTCCTCCATCACCACCCCGTCCTCCACGACGAGGTACACGCCGTACTGTGCTGCGGTTGCGCACGACTGCTCCGAGTAAAAAAACAGTAGTGCATTTTTTTTCATAAATGAGAAAATGCGCTAAAAAAACGTTGAAACATTTTTTAACATTAACAAACAAACAAAAACCTTTTAAACATCTTTAAATCTTTTAAACATTTTTTGGCTCAGGAAAACTTGATGAATATAGTCTGTATACAATTCTAGAAATTCAAACTACCTGGAAATTCCACCAATGATAGACAAGTCAGAACGATATAAATGACAATTGTTTTCATGTGCACCCGATAATCAATAGACGAATACCGCTATAAGTTGCACAAATAATTTACGGTTCAGGTGAACAATGAAATATAGTATACAAATATTGAAATACCAGAAACGAAAACAAGACAGAATCAAGCCATGCAGTTTGCACTGACGATGATATGGAGAGGATGAAGAGCATGGTGAACAATGAAATATATTATACAAATATTGAAATACCAGGAACGAACACAAGACAGAATCAAGCTATGCAGTTTGCACTGACGTGGTATGGGAGGATGAAGAGCATAGAGCCGACTGGATACTTGGAGTAGTCCAGCTCCTCGTCGCCTGTTGGCTCCACCGTCCCGTGCTCCTGGTCAAGCGAGCGTAGCCTGATGAAAAAGCATTGTGAAATTTGTTGAAAAACTTATAAACATTCAACTCAATATTATTTTATCAATTAAAGTAATAATTAAGTTAGAAAATTTGCATGGAAAGTTATTTTGCTCAGTGACCTGAGGTTGGGATGCCCCTTGATGACCCCGTAGCCCGCGGCAGGCATCTTGCCCTCGCCCTGCTTGGTGAGGCCAGAAAAGCCGCAATCGATCAGCATCTGCAGCAATGAGTGTACATTCATACACGTTAATTTAGGGCATTTAATGAAAATATTCATAATTTAATCAGCTGTTAACTGCTATAACTTACTTCTCTGCTTGCAAAAAACATGTCAGACAACACGTGACTGTTCAAGACGAACAATTTCTATTCATTTTGCTCAGCAGGCTATATATTCGAGTAAGACACTAAAAGTAATCAACGAAAATTAAAAAAATATTCAATCAAATGAAATTTCTTGAAGCGAAAGCTCGATTTTCAAAATGCCTAACCAATTAATGAGGCATGTATTTATTTTTAATTTGTCGCATTCAGCGTCCGCATTTGCTATAACTTCAACCGCAATCGGCTTGCAATAGATACTCCTGCTGAGCGCCATGCTTGCTTAGATAAGACAATGATGAAATATCTGTGCACATCTCACTTGGTTCCTGTGCGGGTAGTGGCCGATTACTCTGGTCGCCACAGCTCCGGCGATATCATCCTGTGCACAGCTGCCCAGTAGCTGCTGCTGTACATCTGCACAATAGCATTTCAGTCACTTTAAGTCATACACATACAAAATTTAGTCACATACAAAATTTTTTAAATTTAAGTCACATACAAAATTTAGTCAAAACGATCATTTTATCCATGTCATGAGGTCATTTTCTCTCATTCCCCGCAGATGAACCGCGTTGTATCATAGAGCTAACTTTTCCTTAATGGAATATAATAATATAATATATAAATTCATTAATTTATAAATTTTCGGTTATAAAATTTTTGATTTATTCATTATATATTTCTAGTTTTTGTTCATTAATTTTAATTATTTATTCTTGAATTTATATAAATTTCAAATGACATAACAGTTTTCGGTAGTCCTACTCTCCTAGAACTATTCCAGTGCACAGATAATATTCCACAATAGATAATTTCCTCCAGGCTTCTGAATTTATATAAATTTCAAATGATATAAACAGTTTTTGATAGTGGTACTCAATTAGAAATATCCCACTGCACAGATAATATTCCACAATAGTTTTTTTTAAGTATTACAAAAAATGTTTATCTCGGATATTGTCTATTGTCAATAGACAATGTCCGAGATAAACATTTTTGGTAATACTCTGATACAAATATTCCACTGCACCTGTCTCTTATACACATCTAGATGTGTATAAGAGACAGGTCCAGCTCCTCGTCGCCTGTTGGCTCCACCGTCCCGTGCTCCTGGTCAAGCGAGCGTAGCCTGATGAAAAAGCATTGTGAAATTTGTTGAAAAACTTATAAACATTCAACTCAATATTATTTTATCAATTAAAGTAATAATTAAGTTAGAAAATTTGCATGGAAAGTTATTTTGCTCAGTGACCTGAGGTTGGGATGCCCCTTGATGACCCCGTAGCCCGCGGCAGGCATCTTGCCCTCGCCCTGCTTGGTGAGGCCAGAAAAGCCGCAATCGATCAGCATCTGCAGCAATGAGTGTACATTCATACACGTTAATTTAGGGCATTTAATGAAAATATTCATAATTTAATCAGCTGTTAACTGCTATAACTTACTTCTCTGCTTGCAAAAAACATGTCAGACAACACGTGACTGTTCAAGACGAACAATTTCTATTCATTTTGCTCAGCAGGCTATATATTCGAGTAAGACACTAAAAGTAATCAACGAAAATTAAAAAAATATTCAATCAAATGAAATTTCTTGAAGCGAAAGCTCGATTTTCAAAATGCCTAACCAATTAATGAGGCATGTATTTATTTTTAATTTGTCGCATTCAGCGTCCGCATTTGCTATAACTTCAACCGCAATCGGCTTGCAATAGATACTCCTGCTGAGCGCCATGCTTGCTTAGATAAGACAATGATGAAATATCTGTGCACATCTCACTTGGTTCCTGTGCGGGTAGTGGCCGATTACTCTGGTCGCCACAGCTCCGGCGATATCATCCTGTGCACAGCTGCCCAGTAGCTGCTGCTGTACATCTGCACAATAGCATTTCAGTCACTTTAAGTCATACACATACAAAATTTAGTCACATACAAAATTTTTTAAATTTAAGTCACATACAAAATTTAGTCAAAACGATCATTTTATCCACCTCGTCGTGAAATCGTTTCGTGACTTAAAAATCAAGTAATGATTGACTACATTTCTTTTATCTCAAGCGTGTACTGAGAAATAAGTTGAAGTTTCTTAACAGCATCACATTCGTTTAACTTCCGTTAACAGAGATTGGGCTGGGAGGTGCTTCTGACATCACAATCAAGTCTTGAAACCAATTATAACAGAAAATTGCAGTAAACATCGTCATTATCTTTAAATATACAAGGCCGAGGAATAGACGACGCTTGTTCTCATGCCGAGTCCGGGCCCGAAACGAACAGAGACCTCCTGTGAATCTGGTCATGCTTACATACAAACGAGCCTTCACGAGGGAGGCAGCTATAACTCATAATTGTACCTCAAAAGTCCACTGATACATCTGGGTATAAAACACTGACAAATTCAGAATGTCAATGTATTATAAAAAAAAATCACAAAATAAATTAAATTTAATATCAAATACACTGATAAAAGATTTTACCAATGTGACAAGGTATAACTGAAAGTTATCGACGGGAGCCAGGCGATCACTCATCAGAACACGCCAGCAACATGATATAAAAGGAGATAGACATTGATTTTAAGTATAATTTTCCTACGGTAAACGAAGTATGTATAGATGTCATTATTAGATGACAATAATGGGAACTGAAATAATCCCTCGGTGAATATCGTGAGATAAATAAACAATAACGGGGCAGCATATCAACTACATAAATATAGGCAGTACCTATAGCAATATTTGCAGCAACTTACGACCCTTTGAAGTTCACAAATAAGACGAAATATAATAGATAGTGTGATGGCGGTTGAAAAAGCAGAAACATCCATAAATATGGGAACAGAAATGATTGAGGTCACCAATAACTAATCTGCAAAATATAAATTTTCATCAGAAACCGCTTTTACTGACCGTAGAAGACGTAGTTGCCAGGGTGCAGCTCGGTCAGCTGAGCCATGAGGGGTGAGGGGTTGGAACACGAGGGGGTGCTCCCTACCCCCACGGTTTGGCACACCACCCCCAACCTCGCCTCCAGGGCCTTCACGAACACCAGCAGCCGAGCTAGCCAGGGAACATGCAATACATTACTTCGTTTCAGCATTCAAATGTAAAACATTTCTTGCTGGGGACAAAAAATTTCAATTAGGCAAATTTGTATTCATTTTCATCGACTTCTTCCTACTCAAGATTTTCAATTTTGTTTTTCATAAGTGAGAAAATGAGAAATTTTTAATAAAAGTTTTTCCGTTTGGATAAAATAGACAAGCATTATAATTTATTGATCATTTTAGCATGACCGCATCATGGTGAAAAGGCACCGACGCATTGTAAGCTGCCCCTTAGCACGATGTAATATCATGAATAAAGCTGATTATTACGGAGGCACTAGACAACGGCATTTCGTTATCTTCAAATATCATCGCGGCGTGATATCACATCTCATCTGATTAATTATCATCACAACGCGATGCTCAAGTACACTTCATACGAGATAGCGACAGTGCAAAGCAAGTTACTGGCCAAACACCCTCAAGGGTTATGACAGCATACTCATTTATGTTGTTTTTAGCGCATTTTCTCATTTATGGAAAAAATGCACTATTGTGCTCGTCATGTCCGTCCGTCTGTCTGTCTGTCCGTCCGTTTGTCCTGTCACTCACTGCAGTGAGTACTGAGTTATATTTTTTCATTATTTGTTTTAAATATTCACATTTTTTCAAGTTGGTTGCTAAAATTACTTCTATTATTATAACAAAAATGAAAAAATTCCAAGTCACCAAAACTTCTCAGCTTAAAAAACTATTCTAAAAAGTCTATTCAAATTTGATTCTAAAAATCCGCACTCACAGACATTAGCGTCACGAATTTCCTCCAGTTGCTGCATGTTGGCGGCCGCATAGGTGTCTCCACAGTGCGTGTATACGCCCCGGAATATTATATTATTGCTGCTCGTTAAGCTCTTCACTATTGTACAGCCTAGTTCTATGTCCTGATGCCAGACACCCGCTGTAGCAGAACCATTCAAAGGATTATTGCAAGTAATTTAAAAACAAAGAAGTTGGCATAGAAATTCACCATATTTTTATAAAGGAAAACGTTTCGGAGTTCAGCTCCATCGTTAGTGCGACATTCAAACCTAAACCTAAAAGAGGCAGAATAAAAAACAAACGACCTAAAATAATCCAGCGATAATTATTCAAACAAAACAAAAATGAATTTGCATAACTATGCTCTAAGCAATTAATTACACAGCTCAATGCGATTATAAAGTAGTACCGGTATCGTCCTATTACATATGAATCTGGTCCGGGTATTGGTCGTAAAAAAGCTAATAGTAAAAAATATAATTTTAATACTATTAATAGCGGTTCCAGCGTTTATTAGGCCGTAGGCCTGTCGCCGATTCTTAACATCGCAGAACATTCACAGCATTTTGCGGTCTCGAACTCGCAACTCGTTGCCACAATTCTGCTGTGCTTAACCGTCCGGCCTCCTTGCCGATTCTGACCAGAAACTGGCGCACAGAGCTGGGATCGAAACCGCGCCTCTCTGCGCCAATCCTGATACTCTGAACTTTAACCATTGGGCCACCCTGCCTTTCAAATTACCCTGCCACTGGGTAATTTCGACCTTTCACTGGGCCACCCCGCCATAATTAGGCCGTAGGCCTGTCGCCGATTCTTAACATCGCAGAACATTCACAGCATTTTGCGGTCTCGAACTCGCAACTCGCTGCCACAATTCTGCTGTGCTTAACCGCCCGGCCTCCTCGCCGATTCTGACCAGAAACTGGCGCACAGAGCTGGGATCGAAACCGCGCCTCTCTGCGCCAATCCTGATACTCTGAACTTTAACCACTGGGCCACCCTGCCTTTCAGATTACTTTGCCACTGGGAAATTTCGACCTTTCACTGGGCCACCCCGCCATAATTTTCAAAGAGACAGGGCCGAAAACAGTGGGCAAGGACTGGATGCAAGTAAAAAATAAATAAAGTTTATGCGGCCGGTCTAAACTCGCGTGAATAAATATGAAGAAAATTTCAATAACTGCAAATCCTAATTGCGTACTTCATCCCGTATTCATGTCAGTGAGTTGAGCCACGATTTACTGATTTTTTATCCTACAATGTTAAGCTTGACCCGACGTGTCGTCATTTGACGTATTGGGGCGAGAGCCTCAAATTTCGAAAGAGTAATACAAAATTTTCAACTTCATCAGACTATACTCGATAAATAATCTGCTTCAATCATTGTATTGAACCTTAACATTACTAGTAGTGCACCCACCTCTTTTCTTGCCACAATCCAACTTGAGAAAAACAGACCATTGTTTGCCTGCTGGAGGAGCCGCGTCGGTCAACACTTGAACAGCTTCCTCACTATCTACCATCACATGGAATTCTTCAAGTGCTCTAATGAACAAAACAAATTAATTCAGAATATAATAATAGAATACGCATGTCAAGTTTCATGGTCACTTACATGTATAACGTTAAATAAGGTCACACGGACTCATATGGGAATTAGGAAGATTCCTGAAAAATACTTCATATAAGGTGTTGAACTTCACATGAATAGCCCATAAATATAATGCATGATCGAACATAATACATGATCGGCAACAGGCCATGGCCCTATTTCCTCAATGCCGACACTTCTATTCTATTCTATGCACTTATAGACAGTAGCGAAATTTCTACTTGCAACAAAGTGATCAATTGTATAATTCGGAGAAAGATCTGCTTGTTTCTTACTTGGTGAGACGCGTCACTCTGTGAAGGTGATGAGCCACCAGCGGATGGCCAAAGAGCACGTCATCACATCCATGGTCTGCCAAGAATTCGCACTCGTCAAGGGTAGAGCTCACTAGACATCTACGGCTTCCTCCCGTCTGCAAATCTATGCCTTCGCTGTAAATCATAATTATTGATGTACATGTGAATATTTTATTGATATAACAGTTCATTAAATAAAAAAAATGCTCAAAGTCCACGAAGTCAATATGTGAAAATTATGGGAGATAATAATGCATGCAGTGCATTTATGATGAAGTACGTAACTCATGAATTGACCTTAGCGGAGGAGCTTTTTCCAAATTTAGGCTTTCAACATAAAATTGCATGAATTAAACTAAGAAAACTATGTTTCTCTGACTTGTCTAAACTTACATGGTTTTGTGGGTCTTGGTTTGGGCTCTGAGTTTCACACCCAGACTAAGGCACGTCTGTAACATTCTTGTACAGTTCCTTTGTACTACGTCTTTGTGGATGACAAAGGCGGGAGTTGTCACGCTTGCCAATGTCTTTCCCTTCCATGAACGCTCTTCTAAAGCACACCATAGCGCCTCCTAGAGATGCGGCAAATAAGAAAATTCATTTGAGCATCAAAATATTTAGAAATTTTCTTCATACGGGATTGAGAAAGTTCGTCATAAATAGTAGATTTTTTATTTGAAATAAAGTAGATAGATTATAGAGATAATAGAGTAGAATAGATGAATAAAGAAATAGAGTAGAATAGATGTACGGCTGTATATCCTGATTAAATTCTAACCAATGCGGCAATAGGACAACAGTATCAGTTTCTAATAGTAATACTTTTACAAGTTCTCGTATTACGTTCCATGTACAGTCCAATTTTAACAGTGAAGTATACTTCTCAGGCTTGTTGAGAAAAACTAAATGCATTTTTAAATGTGAATCTAAATTTGATTTGACTTTTGGCTAGAAATAGTGTTTACCTACTCTCTGTTTAGACATCTTTGAACGATTATGCTAAACTTCACTCGTCGGCGGTTTCGTGAAGACTGGCAGAAATGGTCATTTACTCATTTGGCAGGGAACCAACAAAACACTTGTAAAAGTCTTAAATTTTTCTAAAGAACGACGGAATATCAAGTTTTAAATCACGCCTAATAAACTTTGACGATTTGTGGAGAAATAATAATGTGCAGTACCAACATTTTACCCATGGTTGAAATCCGTGATTTTACCCATGCAGCATGCATACCAGACAATACTGCGAGTTCTTGGAAGGAGTTAAAGTATGTAATATATTCTCAATCATATTTGCAGGTTGATGTTCGTTTGCCCTTCATAAATATGATAATTGTTTCAAAGTGTGTTGAAATAACTATTACTTAATTCATAATAACTTACTCCCTAAAATAACAAACGAGCATCGGAAAGCGTAATGTATCGCATCTTATCCGTAGGAGAGCTATGAGTATGAGCATTCAAGCTATATGTGCTGAACTTAGCTTGAGAGTTGAGGCTGCACTCGTGTAATTGCGGAAAAGCTCACATATCCACCATTTCGTCGATTTACGTCACTTGAAAGGTAATTTTAATACGTATTTAACATTAAGATATTTGCCAGCACTAATTTAATATCTTTTATTGTCTTCTAATGCCACTTAACACCCTAAATAAAGCTTCGATCTTCCAGACGAGTCAACCAATTTCACTGGCAGTAATAGGCTAACGCCTAACGGCCTAAATATTTAGTTACAAATTTCCATCATCTTCTTCCGTCAATAATATCACTATCACCGCGGCTGCGATTAGATAAAAATCATACATCTTGTCAAGTCTAAAATTATTTCAGATTGAACTGAAAGTGAAGTAGGCTAGGTACCTATGTAAGCTTTGTTTGTCATGGAATAGGCCTAGGCTATGATGGAAATTTGTAGTGTTATTAAACGCTCAACTTAAACTTGGGATGTGACTGTCACGTGAGGAAAGGACCCAAGAGGCTGAGGCTGAGAGTTAATTAAGGGAACTTTGGAGCCTGGGAACTGGGAAGCCCTTACGCCTTAGCCCTGTTATAGGCTAGGCCTATACAGGATTTCAATTCAGGACTGGTCCAAATACTCCAACTGCCACTGGCAACTGTTTCCAATTGATATTGCCATTTTACATTTTAGTACATGACTAGCCTACCTAGCCTACATGTTGGTGTAAACGGCAAATTTTCTTTCGATGTTTGTGTTACCAGTTGCTTGCAGGCTGCAGGTGGACTGATGGAGTCTACCTACCTATTTTAATTTGGAGTCTGTCATTTTCAATTTTGTCATGCAAAATTGAATTATGACATGTAAAATTGAATTTTGCATGTCATTATGACCTGAACTTATTCACCTAGCCTACAACTACAAGAACAAGATTGGTTTAGGTATCTCCTACTCAATACTAGAATCTTGCAGCTCTACAGTGACATGTTTTTTATTTCTAGATTTTAGAAATGGGAATCTTACAACTTGGTTGTTCAATTTTGTTACTAATTGGCATGAATTGGGACAGTGGGACTTCTAGTGGGAATCTCAACACTCAAGGCTCTAAATATGATAGAAAAGCACCTGTGACCTGTCATGGCTCAAAAAGTAAATAAATTTAATGCCTGCTTGTGTTGCCTGTAATAGGGTAAATACACCATATTGCGATGCTTTAAGGATGTAGCAAGAAATGAATGGCTCTAAAAAGATCACCGTATGGCATGGCGTATGCGCAATTTGAGTTCTGATTGCTTTATGTCACTCTCAAAAGTCAAAACACCACACTACACACCACGCCAGCAATGATGAAATATCACAAACTGCCATTTATTTCAAACATAAAATGCCATTTATTTCAAAGCCTTTAGAATTCAAATCTACAAAATTGCTGAATTTCGACGCTGTGTGTGACTAAATTTGGCATATTGTGAGACTAATTCTGACAACGCTTCAAAACCGTAATTCGTAATTCCGATGCCCTGTGTGAGCTGTATCGGAATACGACACAGTTCGGAATGAGCTGTGTGTGTGTCTAATTCCAAGCTGTTAATTGTAATTAGTTTTTATGTGTCTAAAACCTTCTCTTAAATCGATCATATAACAATTTATTTACCACTTAAAATCCGCAAATACAAGTATACTTAAAGGATTCCTAATATATTCGCAGATTTATACAAGTCCCAAACCATAATATTCTTTCTACACAAACAGTTTATCACTATTTGGTAGAGCAAGGTCAACTATCAACTATGACTCGTTTTTCGATGTTCTCACTAGGTGATATCGACTTTTGCCCTGAGGATCTTGACATTTTCCTGCCAAACCTAGTGTTTTGCGGAAATCTGGCATGCAATAGTATGACGTCACTATTTTGACCATCTATGCATGCATGGAACTAAGACCAAGCTTAATATAAAGGAAGAAGTTGAGGGGTGTTGGAATTACCCACAGTGTCGGAATATGGTGCATTTACCATGCAGACTTATTAACATGCATTGAATATATCTACTTGGCAAGCCGCAACTGAATTTTTCAAGCCGTGGTTTTGTGGATTTGCCAGCCATGATTCCATTTCTTTGTGCCATGATTCCATTTTTTTGAGCCATGAATTTCATATTTTGGCCATAAAAAGCCATATACAAGCTGCCAATTTATTTAGAAAGTCCATGCACATGTTACCCCAAATTTCTCATTTTACCCTAAAACAGTCAGATGGCAACAATATTCATCTTTACTGTGAGCTGAACACTTGTTAATGCAGTCTGACCGCTTTGATGTAACCGCAACTATGCGCAATCTTCAAAGAAATGTTAGGTTGACTTGTTTACATTACGATGAATGATGATACTATATGTTCTGCAGGATATTTGTTTACATTACGATGAATGATGATACTATATGTTCTGCAGGATATTTGGTTGGAACCGTAAAGTAATGCAGATTGCAGAAGTTGAAAATTTTATTAAATGACATGTTTGCGAAGTGCAAACCGCAATTTTTTTTCATTCAAACAAAAATTTGATATTTGTGCCACAAGATTTTATACCTACTAAAATTATATGATATTAGAGCCACGATATATCAAAAAATAGGACTTTTCCGGCCTTGCTTATTAACATGCTTGGAAATTAAAACATTGTATAAACAAAAGATTTCCTAAAGTCCAGTTAATTTTTTATTTCCTGAACTACTTGAAAATTTGTATCTTGTTATGAATTAGCATTCCAGAGATTACTGAGGACTGAGGTGCATATTTGTAAGAAGATCTGAAAATTGTATACTAAATCAATCTTTGATAATATTGGTACCTATCTGTTAAATCTTGAATTGTTCTGCAGGATCTACCCAACCTCAGTTCACAATTCTGGTACTTGCAAGTTGCAACATGTTAAAACTCTTCTGCTTGAGCTTACTAAAAATCTCAATATAATAATTAGTTAGTTGTAAAGGATACTAAACCAATTTACACGCTTTCCTTAATTTTACTCAAATTTTCAAGCTCCCCTAAATTTTATCATCAAATTAATTATGGTTGCTTTCAATGCTGAATTTTGTCATTGTGAAAATCTATTTTGATTTGAAAGAAGAGCTGCAGGTTGTAAATAAACTACAATATTGTCTTGCACTGAAAAACTTAGAGCTCATTAATAAATATTAGATTTTTAAACTTAAACTATCTTAACATGAACTAAACTCTACAAACTTCAAAAATAAAAAATGCACACTAATGAAATCTCACACAAGGTGTGTGTGTCTTAATAATGTTTCAGTAACATCATACTTTACTGGTTTAGTCATGGGTTTAAAAAAATTAGTGTAAAATGCCTGCTCTGCCATTAATGTATGGAATATATCCACTGTCTGAGCCATTAATTGGATATTAGAGCTTTTCTGCCACCTTTGGAGCACTAAGATTCCTGCTTGATGAATTACCTTCTATCTAATCATTAATGAAACTACAATTGGGCAACAATCTTTAAAAATTATCAGTAATGTCTATTTGCAGTTGAAAGATTTTAGTAAGAAGTAGAAATTATTTAATCTTGTATTCTTGTAGCATAACAGCTACAAGCCTACAACTGTCACTGTTAGTATTGAGTTCATTTTTAATTTTTTAAGATCTATTCAATGTATTCTAGAAAGCCAAATTGAATGAGTGCATGTTGATTTGAATGACTTGACTATACCATCTTGAGAGATCTCATTGATGTATGTATTCTACTTTTTTAAATTAGCAATATTAATTGGAATTTGGAATGATGGCATTGATGATGATCCAAGATTGGAAATGTGAATTTGATGTGCATGAATTGGTTCATGTGTACATATGGTGCTTCAGGTTGAGATATTGGTATCTTTTCAAGTTTGGATGAATGTTGCTTGAATTACTTGTCACTTTGAGCATAGCTACATGCAGGTGTAAAATATTTTGCATTCAATTTAGATTGACATCTTGTCTATTGTCTCCTGCTGACTTCCCCTATTCTATTGAATTTTCCCTAAATTGTCAAGAAAAAAATGAATTTATTACACAAGAACTAGCTGATGTCTGCTGTAGTGTTCATTTGTTTCTAAATCGAAATTAAAATACAAGTAATCTTTCTTTCTTGATGTGAGGGATGTTTTAGGCTTCTAGAATTTTTTTAATTTCTCTGTATTTTTTAATTCCATCTGAATGGCTTTTGTTCTATCTTTGGTAATGACTGGTGGAACTGGGACTAGGTATATTTAGAGATTTTAACTATTCATCTTTTTGTGATATGAGAGTATTTTGCCAAACCCTTCATTAAAACTCCATTCTAGTTAGACTTTCATGATATTTAATGGTTATGTTCTAATTCATGTGTGCTTTTTACTTAATTAGTTCTGATTAGTTATTTTTCAGTAACTAAAGCTAGATTGCTCCTTGTTCTTTCATTAATTCTCGTCACATGCATATCAGTATTGAGCCATGGGCCACATGTTTGAGTTTTCAATTTTGTTTTAATTTTAATAGCTGTTAAGATGAAACTGATCCTTCCTCAAATTACACATTGCCATTCCACTTTTCTTCATTTATTCATTATTTTTTGTCACATCTTGTCATCGTACATTTTCTTCTAGCTTCAGTGTGTTGAGGAAGGGTATGACCTATCTATATTTTCCTAGTATTTAAATCTTCATTTTATTTAATAAAGTCTCTTTATGGATGTTTTATCCTTTGTTATTAAACAAAGCAGAGAATTGAGATATGAGATTTATAGATGCCAACCCAAAAAAAAGCTGTATTACAAAAGTCCTACTTTTCATCATAGAATGTCTATTCCTACTTTTCATCATACAGTTCTGACCAGATCATGACCAGACTACAGCAAATAGTTCATGAATTTTGGACAAATTTTATTTCAAAATGATCTCTTGAGAAGATTTTCTGCAGCTTGAGCGTAGTTGATGATACTGTACTTTATTTGTTTCTTCTTGCTGCATTTTCTTTGATTTTGTGTTGTAAATTCATTTGCTCTTGAAAACAAATTTAAAGTAATCCAGTGCAGTGAAAACTTTGCAGCATTTATTTTGAACCCTTCCATGAAAAGAATATTCCTCAAAATGTTTTTGATTGTTTGTGATCATCTGATATAATATATGTGGCATTAAATATATATGAAAACCATATCAGTGCTGCTTCTTGGTCAACTTGCTCAAAAAACAAGCATATTCATGGTATGTTACCTTATTGAAATTGCTTGAGGAATAAGTACCATATTGTAGTTATGCATTGATGAGGTTTCTCTGAACTGATGAAGAAACATAACCTATGTTCTTTCTCTTTCCTTGATCATGTAGTACTACTTCACTGCGGATTGCTGGATGCCTGGATGTATTAATTAATCAGCCAAGGTGAAGAAAGAAATTGCTGATTGCTATTATTCAAATTGAACGGTCTTTGCACTGAGCTTCACCTATGAATTGTTAGATGCCAACTCTTCCTTTGCCAATCCTATGCCACGCACAAGGCGCTCTACTGAAGAACTGAGACAGCATGTTGCTGCTGCCCAGCAGCTACAGCAACAGCAGCAAGGAGCAAGACGTACAACTCCAAGGCAAGCTGCTTTAGATAGTGCTTCGTCGATCTCGACTTCCCAGTCAATAATTGCTCAGAGCTTATCATCGGCCGCTGGAGCTGTAGCTCCGGTCGGCCCTTTTGGACATACATCGCTGCAGCCAGCGGGTCCTTTAGGGTAATGTGTCTCAGCGTGACACAGTTTTTGTATCTGTTCATTTTCTCTTACTGTGATGTTGGCTTCAATCTAATTTGATCTGCTTCTTAGCTTGTTCTAGAGGCCTTTTTATTAGCAGCCCCATAGTACAATGTACTGACTAATTTTCATAGATGTATTTATATTTCTGTCATTGTATAATTATTGGCCCCACATGTCACATCATCATTACCTACTTGGAACCCTCAAGCATTGAATGTAGTTTTATCTTTTATCATGATGAATATTACCTTGGCGCTTGATACCTGGAATTGAACTTGTGCAATGGAAGTGTCTGGTCAGCTTAGTAAGAATAGCTTTCATAAACCATCATTAGATGCTGCAAGATTTCTCATTTGTAATGGTGTATATTACTTGTACATGATCATGTTGATTTATGGGGCTCACAGTTTTGAATTCACAATAGTAAGGCTCAAATTAGTTACCAATTTGTCCTATTTAACTATTATTTTGTGGAAGCATGCATCACTCTTTTTTTCATTTCTTTGCCCAGTGTTGGCCTTTCCATCATTTGCATAATCTAAAAATAAAAAATTAGTAATTTGAAAAAAAAAACCTGGTGTCCTTTCTTATGAAATTGGCTGTACATAGAGTATAGCAAGTTATTTACTTAGTAACCCTTTTCAGTTTCCTTTTAAGTGTGGGAAGTTGAATTAGTTATTCTGACCTAGAAACTGAGCTCTAAATTTGGAGAAATGTCATATTTGGGATTTTTGCCTAAAATATTACAGGTCATGATCAATAAAACTTATTATTGAATGTCCTTTCTGTTATGGAAAATAATTCTTTTGCATTGAGCTTTAAGAAATTTAAACTGAGCAAGGGCTATTCTTGAATTCATTTGCATACTTACATGTGCAGAATTGAAGTGATGTCTTATGGAGCTCGAGGATCTCAGGGAGCAGGAGGAGCTGCAAATCCACACGGCCTGCATGTAAATAAAGTCCCTTCTGTGCCCCTCTCCACTATGGCTTATGCCCAGCAGACAGGTACTTGGTGTTCAGGGTCTGAGCTTATTTTATGTTTTTTACCACCATGTTTCTACCATGCCTTGTGAAATTGTATGTATGGAGTTGTCTAGGCATTCAGTTAAAGCTGCATAATGAGCATACTGGACCAATGCACTAAAACATTTAATGGTGAATATTATTAAATGAATTCACTCAATATTTTAGAAATTTGTCAATCTGAGAATTCTATAAATGAGCCCATCTTGTAAGAAAAAGATGAAGATACTGTATTTTTCTAAATCTTCCTTCATTAAAATTCTACAAGTATGTTTGATTCATATTTTACAGGATTTTAGTTTTTTGTTTAATTGTTGAGCATTACTTAAGCTGTGCAATTCGTTATTACTTGTCTAAAAATGTGTATCTTTTGCTGCAGGAGTATCATCACAGCAACAGAGAAGCTATTCAGCAGCAATAAGTGCAGCTGGCCTTGCCATGACTTACCCAGCATCTGCTGCAGCGCTCTCTGCCCAGCAACTTTCTTCAGCCAATTACCCCATCAATCCTGATGTTAAACTCAAGAAGCTTCCCTTCTATGATATTTTGGCTGAGCTTTTGAAGCCTTCATCTCTTGGTGAGTGGCAAAAGTTCAGAATATTGTCAAAAAACTCGTATACATTTTGTGCTTGAATTGTGACCACTTTTTATCTAATAAACATGAATGAATCATTAAGCAATGATTTTGTACAATAACTTGATTAATTATTGCTCCATTGTTTGTATCAGCCCCTCAAGGATCAGGGCGTTACCAGGAGCTTGGCTTTAACTTCTCCCTCACGCCTCACCAGGCCAACAAAATTGCTAACTCGCGCGATCTCAGGCCAGGAAAACTTGACTACAATGTTCAGGTTTGTGATCTTTCTAAAATGGAATTATTTGTTTTAAATTGTGTAATAAGTTGAATTAAATTATTTATCCAGTTTTCATCTATAGATTTTAGAATTTTACTGCAATCCCTAATGAAATTTTGAAAATCGAGTTAAATAAAATAATCGCTAAATTAAAGCATCAATGGGATATTGAAGTTAATAGTTATTTCAAAATTATCCTGTGGGTAGCACATTTCCTTAGCAGAATCAGTTTTAAATGAGATCTCAGTATGTGTGTTAGAAGTGATCTGTGAATACTGACTGATTTTTCTTTATCCTGTGATCGCTCTGTCGCATCTCTCTCTTCTGCGGCTCCTATTTTTCTCATACTTCTTTGCTTTCTGTTGCATGAAAATTATATAATAATACGTATATTCCTATACATACATGCATAAATTTTGATCTTTTTGTTTTTTAGAGTCCTATTCCGACGAGCAAGCCTGGCGTTGAGCCCAAGAGACCGTCCCGTCCTGTGAATATCACGGCTCTCTGTCGCATCTCTCCTACGGTCACCAACAGAGTTCAGGTGCAGCGTTTGTGTTTGGTTGGTCCAGGTTTCTTCTGGTTATTAAAGACCCTTATTTTGTAATGCATCATTCTAGCGCAGTTCTATTCATGTTACCTTTTTTAGTATCATGTTCTCAACGATATAATTTCTTCTTGTCAAAGTTTTTATTTAGCATTTTAGCTTGACCTTTGAGTGCATTCATTTCCTCCAACCTATTCTTCAGTTAATCCTTTCTTCGATATTTATTTTTTTCTGATTCCTAATTGATTTATTTATTAATTCATTGTTAGCCACCAAGGTCATCGGGGATGAATTTTTTTTACCAATTCTGTATTGAACTGGAGATAAATTTCTGACATTAATCAACTTGTGCAGGTGTCATGGGCTTCAGAATATGGCCGATGCTACGTCATTTCGGTTTACCTTGTACAGAAGCTTTCTTCAGACGACCTCCTGCACCGCCTCAAATCAAAGGGCGTCCGCATTGCAGATTTCACTCGCTCACTGAGTAAGTCATTAACACGTTAAGTGTGTATATTGAGTGCCCTCGAAGCGTTAGTGAATTCAGTCATTAACATGTTTAGTGTGTATATCGAGTGCCCTTAAAGCGTTAGTGAATTCAGTCATTAACATGTTTGGTGTGTATATCGAGTGCCTTCAAAACGTTAGTGAATTCATCTATTCTTCGTCATGTGAGATTTGAGTGGGATTAGCATATTGAATTGTACACTAATTTCTACCAACTGCTGTAATCATTAACACATTGACTTCGATTGCTTCATCTTGTACAATTATTTCATTTTTTGTACTTTTTTAAGCTGGGTTGCTAGACGTTCATTTTTTTTTCCGGACAAATTCCGTGGCTTAGTTTTTCTCAATTGCGTTGGCCGGCTAAAATTTATGATAGGGGTACTTCCTAATTGAATTTCATTACTGCAAAAAGAAAATAGATGGAATTTTTATAGCGGAACCTACAAATAAACTAGTATACATTGAATTATCGGCCTTTTTTTTTGGCCTTTTTTGTTCTCGGATTTGGCCGATTTCAGGCAACCTGAATTATGTACCACTACCTCCTGGAGAATACATTTCGTGGTACGCATATGTACCAATACGTAGTCAACGTGTTAACATATTTGGTGTGTATATCGAGTGCCCTCAAAACGTTAGTGAATTCATCTATTCTTCGTCATGTGAGATTTGAGTGGGATTAGCATATTGAATTGTACACTAATTTCTACCAACTGCTGTAAGTGGAAGAAAGCTGCCTGTAAAGCTAAAATTTAATGGCTATTTTTCGTTTAATTAGGTCAATTTGTAATAATATATGAACTATTTTTCCTTTAAGATGAAAAATTCATCAAACCTTACTTTCGTAGCAACCAAATCATTGTCTTACTTGTGCAGTCAAGCAGAAGTTGAATGAGGATGGAGACTGTGAGATCGCCACGACGTCTCTGCGCTGCTCTCTTATGTGCCCGCTCGGCAAAATGCGCATGTTGCTGCCGTGCAGAGCTAACACGTGCAACCACCTGCAGTGTTTCGATGCCTCCCTCTACCTCCAAATGAACGAGAGGAAGCCCACATGGACCTGTCCTGTTTGCGATAAACCTGCTGTCTATGACACTCTCGTTATCGATGGGTGAGTGGCAAATACCGCTTGTGGTTTAAACGTGAACCCAACTTCTGACTAGTTTTGTCGTTTGGAATTATTTGGCTTTAGTAATTAATATACTTTTCTTTTGAAAAATATTCTGATCACATTGATCTGAAACTCGATACAAATCTAGAAATTTATGTGAATATTCTACATACCGGTATTGCAGTTTTATGTACCTACTAAGATGGCTACATACCGACTTTGATCTTGAAAGATCCTGAAATTATATGATTGCAACATGAACGTGCCAACGTTAAAAGTAAAAGTAAAAAGGAAACTATATGGCAAATCAGGACCAACTATGACCGTATTTTCCGAAGTATCAGAGATCATATGCACCTGACAATATACAGACAGTTTGGTTGAAATTTTGTGACGAAAATGCCAGTTTTTGCTACACTACTGGTTGCAACTATGCGGAAGCCTGAGGAGCACGAGACAAATAATATTTCTGAAATTTGAAATAAATTCCAATCAAAAGTCTTTAACTCTACTTTTCACTATTGTTATTAATATATCTTCATCTATGATCGAACCATTCACGGAATGCTTATTCATTTTTATTATATGTAAATTTAATATTCGTCCTGCTGCAGTATAGTCCTATATATTTTTCAGAGATAACTTCTGATATAAATATTTTGCGTGATACTCCACATATGAATTTTCTCAAAGAAGCCCAACAAATGCATGTCCTTGAATACATGTTCGTTTCTCTTTTATGTAATGTTTACCTTAAGAGTTAGGCATCCTGACCTGTATAAATTTAAGCATAATGAGTAATCCGCATCAGATGAACGTTTCCATGCATATATGCATATATTCCATGAAAGTTTCCAAATATAATTAATTTGTATGGTACTAATAGTAGCGTTTATCTGTGGTTTAGTTATTTCCAGGACGTGCTGCGCCTGAACACGACAAGCAACGAGGTGACGCTACACAAGGACGGCTCCTGGACGCCTCTGGTAGCCAAGAAAGAGCGACCTGAGCCCCAGGCCGAGAAGCGCAAGAGCATCGTAGCTATTGAGACGCTCAGTGATAGCGATGATGATGCCGCCCCAACCCAACCTTCTGCGGCTCCTACTAATAATGTCCTCATTGATGGTACGTTAAATCTGCATATTTCTCATTCTCAAACTTTTTACTGGAAAGAAATTAATTTTTTCAAGTAGAGTCTCTTGTTATAATGCCATAGTTTTATTTTAGTTAAGGAACTCGTTGCAACAAGTAGTTGATATCTGGCGAGTACTATTTGGCTGGTTTGTGTATTAAGATTTTTCATAAAAGGCTAGAAGTAGTCGATTTGTTTCCCATCTTTTAAAATTGTAGGTCATGAAAGTTTACATTTGCAATTGCTGCTCATGAATATGTTCGTTAGTTTAATTCAACTGGCGCATTTTAATGAGAAGTTATTGAACAGATTCGGTGGTTGAGGAGGTACCCAGTGGCGGTGAAGCTGCTGCGAAAAAGAAAGCCTCCTCCAACGTCGAAATAATTACTTTGGAGACTTCCAGCGAAGAAGATGACGATGACGACGATGAAGAAGAAGATGACGACGCACAACCTCCTCCTGCCAAACGACCTTACGATCCTGCACTCGCATCCAGCGGTGTTCCTCCATCAGAACAAAGCAACAAAAACGATAGCACCGCTACCACACCCACACCCGAAGGCCTCTCTAGCAACAACGAGGTTCCTGTTGGCGTCACTGAATCATCCCCCATGACCCCGAGTCACCAAGTACCGCTACCGCCTCCCGTGATCAGCGCTAGCGTCGCATCTTCCCTCGCGCAGCTTCCCGCTGGCACCTCTGTTCTCGCCACCAACGCTGACGGAAGCCTGCCTACTGTCGGCTCTCCTGCATCAAATGCTGCCGCTGTTGCTGCAGCCGCTGCGTCATCTACTGCAGCAGCTGTCGCTACCATCACCCCCGTCTCTCATTCGCCTGTTGGATCAGGTGTGGATAACTATGCTGACTGGTAAATGTCAGGTATTGATTGTCAAGTATTAGGTTTACCGTTAAGAGCAACACTCAAAAGGCTGTTTATTTATTTTGAGGATCGTTCCCGTTTATTTTGAGATGCGTTCCTGTTTTTGACGACTCGGAGTCAAAATCCCAATTTGGTGTTAATTATACGAAAATCTATCCATTTTACACACAATAAAAATAAATTCTATCATTGCTGCGGTCTGTTTCTAGATAAGGGCTGCGAAATTCAGTCTTTAATGGCTGATTTGCCGATGTACAATTCTCTATTTTAAGGCGAATTTCCTTTTGTACCTGTCAGGTTGTACAAATATTTTATCATTCGAGGATGCTGAATCTCTTGTTTCATGCTCGATACTGCAGAGCGGCGCTTGAAAGTAGTTCGTTATCTCGACTTAAATAGTTTTTGTTTAAGTTCATTGCTCTGAATATGAGAATGAGGTTATTATTCGTCCAGCCTGTGATGAGTACTGCACTGGTACGCTCAATATTTGTATCTTTCTCCCCCCATCTTGCTAAATATGTGAAAAAAAGTTTCACTGACAAGATGCTGCGTGTAAAATGATATTGAATTCATCTCATTGTTACGGCCTGTTTTGTTGGTCACTCTTTAGCAGTACCATTCGTGTCAGTTGCATAATTGTTTCTCAATTGAAATGTGGAACTTTGTAGTTGTAAGAAACCAATTTGTAAGGTATTTTTCAACGTACCAAAGCCGAAATCTGTTCCGGTGTGTTAGACGTACGCAAATGAGGTGCAGTCGCTATTGTGCTATCGTATGGCGTTTGTGGATTTTGATTCCACAACATGACGTTCGATCAACTAACTCAATTGATTGTTGCTATATAGTGTTTTATAAAGGACAACTCGTATTTTTTATAGCTGTAGAAGAGCTTGCGGTATCTCTTTGAAATAGATGCTCTAGTCTGCATTTAGTCTCTCTCTATTTGGAATTGGCCAATGTCCTTTCGATCAAGACCCTGTTGATGAGGGATTTGCTGCTTTGTGTCTTTGTTTCCTACTTCCATTTGATTCAAGACAGCTTGTTGCCAAGCTCTAGTAAGCTTTTGAGCCTATCAACTGCATCAATGGGCTCCATCTCTGAGTTGTGATAACTGACGAATGACGTTCATTATTACCAACCATGTCTTTGATAGATTGAGTTTCATTTAATCCTGTCTGATGTCGAGGAGATTTTAGCTCGAAGTTGAATTGTCTTGTAGTAATATAAGCTGACTCGGAAGCAGCACAGTCGTAAGTGAACAATTTGGTTTGGCAGAGCCTAGCGTGGCTACTGCTATGCAGATATTCAAAATGAGTGAGGCGGTTGAGAAAGTGTTGTATGTAATATTTTTTATGTAAAGTATTGAGCGTTCGAAGTGACTTTTGGCCAAAAAGGTGGCTCGATATATTACGAACAAATCAGATGGCGCAGAGTGGTTTTGGTCTACCAAGATCAGGGCGTTGGCTGAGCTATGATAATTTTTTAATCCTGGTGAGTTGCGTTTTTAAAGTTCATTGAGATGATATGATAGGGATTGGATTAAGCTATTGAACGTTGTGCGTAAACTGTGCATGCTTGAGTAGTGTATGGGTTCATCCGTCTTCCTAGATATGATTCTACTTAGTCTTCAGTTATAAGCACTTATTGGGATTCGTTGTAAAATTTCTTCCAATAATAAAACTCGTGCATTGCAACTGGTGTTAGTGGCTCGCAAATTTTTGCCTCCTATTAAAAAAGTTTAACTAGATTGAAGGATGTTGCAAAAGAGATTTTTCTGAAATGATCAATACGTTACAGCATTTTGGAATATAATAAATTTGCTTTGAGAAATTAGTTTACAAATTATTCGACTACAAATAATCATATCAATTACTCGTAAATAATCGACACTTGTTCGTTGTTCCCTTCGAGCGAGTTAGTCGAACTACCGGTACTGCGCCTGGCGTACAGTGAGAAGTGCTAACAATATTCGCTTTGCAGACGGAGCCAAGTCTGACGACTCCTGGAGTGTGGGGACAGTGGATCCAGGCAAGCGTCTGATCTTCCGCAAATCCATGACATGTGAGTACCGGTTAAATTTAAGTTTAAATTTCTCGAATATTTGCGTCGGGATGACCATGACGAACCTAACGTATTTTCCGGACAATTCCCACTAACGTCCGCATATAAATTTCGTACTAGCCGACTCGCGGCCCACACATTCAGGTCAAGCACGACTCGAGACTTGCTCTACCCTTGAACTACTAAATTTACTTCGAGTATCCTTTGACATGTAATAACTGCCACGAATTTAACGGTCACTCGGCCGTTTCTATGCGTATGAGAGCCTAGAAGTGATGTCAGTTAAATGATTGGATCGCGAAGATTACTCGATCCCTTTCGCGCACGTATATACTATGGTTCGTGATGAACGTACCCCTTCTCCATTTGATATCTTTTTTCTATCCTCTTAGCTGTTGTTCCCTCATAAAAGTGCAGTACAAAGTGAAACCGCCTATTTTTGTGGTGATGATTTTATTCCACAATTCCTAGTGATCCGTTTTTTATTCTTCGTGAAATTTCCGTTACACTTCACACGAATCTACTTCGCCATTTCCGTCAGAGGAGTTCATGTTTTCTAAAGCATTCACATGCACGTAGCCCAGTTTGCCTTGTTGAAATGCATGATCTGTGCTAAATTTCTACTCTCACTTTATTCTAAACAATACGTGGCTTTTTGCGATACTCCACTCCACTACCTTTCAAATTTCTATTTCTAAAATATTACCCATGAACCTATTTTGGTATATTGTTTGCCTTTCATACGGGTCGAATGAATTGCAGTTTAAATTAAATTTCTTCATTTCCACGTTCACCGGTAAACCTCGTTGGTATGATGCGTGCGGTGTGTATGCAATGGAGAGATGGAAATGTGCTGCCTGGGTTTCTAAGTATTCACAATTCACAATGCTAGGTCTGAATAATTGTCTTCGATGTTCTCGCATCCGTAAAGTACCTATGTTAAGTTATCCCACAGTAAAAACCAAGCACTAAGAATGTACGTTTTTTTATGGTGAAACTTATGTCGGGCTGTACTGTCATTTGTGTACTACTGAGATAGTATTTGAACTCGCCATAGTTCAGTGCTTATAGTTGGCATGCACTACACAATTTTCAAACGCATATCTTCCAGCCTCATTTCCATCATTATTGTTTTATCATTTATTAGCATTTTTCAGGAAACTATATAATTATTGATCATTGAGTAAGCGTAGCCACCTTTCATCACTCGTGTTGGTCACATCACTTTAGCGTCGGAATAAATGTTTTATTTCTTCTTCCTGTGTAGTATGATATTTATAAACGTGTCTGTACTATTAGCCTTAGCTGTCTTCGTTATCTTTACATACAGTCATTTTGTAGTAGAAGTTCGTGTCTGGCTACTTAGGTTCTGTTGTGAATGGAGAGATAATACGTGTGTGTTATGGTGATGACGTTCAAGTTTAAACGTATGTATCGCAGATCAAATGGGAGTTCTATAGAGTTGAGGCGGTTGTCTGTTTTGCAGGTTCCTCGAACGGGTCGAGCGTTGCGACTGTGAACGGCGGTAGTGGCCCTTCTGACGGTGACGCTAGCGCGCTGCTTGCAGCTCCTGCCTCCTCTCCTTCTGTTGTCTCTTGCTCTCCACCTCATAACGCGTACGGTGTAGTGTCTTTGCCTCTTCCTATTACCACTGCGGTGTAGTGTCTTTGCCTCCTCTGACGACTGCGGTGTAGTGTCTTTGCCTCCTATTACCACTGCGGTGTAGCGTCTTTGCCTCCTATTACCACTGCGGTGTAGTGTCTTTGCCTCCTATTACCACTGCGGTGTAGTGTCTTTGCCTACTCTTACCACTGCGGTGTAGTGTCTTTGCCTCATACCACTGCGGTGTAGTGTCTTTGCCTCCTCTGACCACTGCGGTGTAGTGTCTTTGCCTCCTCTGACCACTGCGGTGTAGTGTCTTTGCCCTCGTAACACTACGGTATAGTGTGTCACTAAATCTTTTCACACCACGTTGCAGTGCGCACGTTTCACTCCTCACATTGTTTCAAGTTCCCCCACTTAATCTTCGCCAAAATTGTCCGCGTTTCTTTGCATGTCTGACTATGAATTTGGTATTGCGCTAAAACGTCTTTTTTGTTGGGCGATAGTTACAGCCAGGAATTTTGTCAATTTACTTGCTTTAATAGTTCTGATTTTTAATAGTTCTGGTTACTTCTTGTTTGGACATTTTTGTCGTACCTACTTTAATTTCACTTTAAATCTAGCTTTGACTTTTCTACTACCACTTAATCTTGACTAAACACTTCTACTTATTCACCTGGAGTTTCATTCAAATTTCTAATCAGATTGGCTTATTGTTTGAGCGCTTGTGTTGCCGTTGAATGTGTGACGCTACGCAGATAAGCAAGTAAAAAGTTGTGCGTGAATGATTGCTGTTGCTCCGTACATTTGTTTTTGTTGGGTTCTTGATTTGTCTGTTAATGGTGTTTCTTTGGTACGCGAAGTTCGTTTAAGAGGAGTCGTATTTTTATTTAACAATATTTCATTGCTTTCATTGTCATTGTAATTTCCTATTCCTATTAGTTTCATATTCAAAATTTACGCGAGCTCTTTTTTATTTACTGTAACAGAGTATTTATATATTTGCAGAATAGAAGTGAATAGCTGGGAATTCAGTCTCTGAACCTCAATAATATTACGCTATAACTCAGACAGCGTGTTGGTATTAATATTTTACAATTCATTTAACTTTTTTTCTTGTAATGATGTCTCGCTTTTGGTACTACAGAGCAACCCGGGAAGTGAGGGCATCGGACGAGGCGTCATCCAGTCAGTCTGACGTTCCAAACTCCCGATTGTCCCCCGTCCCTCCCAGCTCCCCCAGTTCCCAGCCATCCTTCATGCCTATCCCACGCGCGTTCCCTACTCAGAGCTCCCAGTCAACGTCCTCCCAGTCCTCCTCGGAAATCTCCCAGACTACAGAAGGCCTCAACACCGGTGGTAACGACTCGGTACAGCTAACGCGTCGCACGCGCACGTCCAACAGAGCGACTCGTTTCCAAGGCATCACGTGGGAAGGTGATTCAGACTCGTCCAGTGACGAGGAATTTGACGGAGATGTCGCGAGGGATGATTCAGGTGGGCGACGGAGGCAGAAGAGAGGACGTTCGATATCGGCAGGACGCAGTCGAACTACCAGCTCATCCAGCAGCACCAGCGCCACGGGAGTATCTGATGCTACCCCCGCCGCTAGTGCATCGCCCTCACGTTGAAGTTCCTTCAGAGGAGTAGAATAAAGTCACGGCACTCAAACACGGCGATAAGACACAATTCATTGCATTAAAGTGGCATCCGATAGACCTTGAATTTCAGGCACGGCTTTCGATTCGAATAAAATACAAATTCTATTGCATTAAAGCGAGGACACTATAAATTGCATTAAGGTGAAGATATAAATGAAAGTTCTAAAGTGACATTTTACTAGCACTGTCATGACTACCGGTCGGTCATGTGAAGGGACAAGCTTACATGATCATGCTTATGAACCATCTTGCTAACGTTTTTTATTTCAAAACTTTTATCTCTTGTATTGCGTCTGCTGCGTTACTCATTCGAGTTTCTTCGTTGGAACTTAGACACAACTTCTTGAAGCTTGGATATAACTTGATATTGATAACTATCTCATTCGTAAAGAAGAAAGGACATAAGTGATAACAAATATCAATGTCACTCGTTTACTACGTGCTCACCATTATTTTGAAAGCAAAGAAAATTCCGCAAAAGTTCGTATCTTTATAGAAAACGTCGAGTCCAGCTACATCGTCAGCTGGACACTCTTGTATCGGTTAGCTGGACACTCACGCTAAGTCAAGATGTTTTTTTTAATGTTTATTGATGGCTTAAAATTCATTTCAAATCAATAAATATGTGGCAAAATTAATCGTCTTTAATCGATACACATTGTTTCTGTCACCAATTAGTCTTTTCCTCCGATTTTGCATTTTTTTACCCAAAGTTTTTTGCTAAAGTGATTAATTCAGTATTCGGTTTCATCCCACGTGCTGACAACTCGTGCTTCTGGTCACGCTTGATCTTGAGTTGATTTTTTAAATGGTTCATTTATGGATGTTTACTTTCATGTCTCCATGATACGAAGGGAAAACAGTGATCCAGGGGTGTGCATCGCTGTAAATACTTTGTAAATAATTATTGCTAAGAAACAATATTTTCAAGTTTTTATTGGGAAAGGTATGAGCTGAATGAAAGCTGTTGGTTGCGTCTGTCTGTAGTTAGTCGAAAATTTTCTCAAGGATGCTTAGAATATGGTTGAATTGAATCGACTTACAAATCAATTATTGTTAGCACTTTGTTTATTATTGCTGGTGATCGAACCAAAACGTAGGTACGCGAGACTGGCGACTGCTTCACGTTAATCTCCTCGACGGTATCACTGATGATTTATAACTCTCCGGTATTTCTTGTGTTTCTTCTTGCCTATCAAGTATTACTTTATTTTACTGCCACTCCCCAGCTATTGCCGTTGTTCCTACAGCCGAAACAAGTCCAATTATTCAAACGTGTTTCAATAATGCAGTGCATTACTTGTTGAACAATAGGAGCGTGCATTGAGTGGCATTCAAGAGTTTCTCCTCGTTGCCTTTACGTTCATATTTTGAATTGCTTAGATCCCCATTATTTGAGGACTGACACATTGTTGGTATACTTGAGCAATTTGATGAAATCTTGAAAAGAATTATCTTGGTTAAAATGAGAGCCATAAAATTGCCTGTACATTTTCTGACTAAATTGTCTCCCATTTCTCATGTTTTGTCTCTTGAAGACTTCGGTTTCTTTAGCTCTCTTGGCTCTGTTTCCCTTATTTGGTATCGTGCCGACAAGATCGTATACGGTTTAAGAAATTTAGTTTTACAACGGCTTGACTATCTTTAATTTTATGCTTGGAAGTTTAAATGTACATTATTCGGTGCCAGTTGTTCGCGCTGGAGCCTAGATGTCCAGATAAGCTCTGAATAATTTACAGATTATTTTGAGCGTTATTTTCTGTTTCAATCTTCCGAGTAAAATGAATCATTTCTTTGTGTTTGCAATTGAGTTGTATGGGCACTAATATATTTTAATCACTGCACTTCGGTCATTTCTGTGTGAAATGTATAAGGACTTAGTTGTAGATTATGTAAAGCAACGCTTCACGAGCCACTTGACTAGTGTACCGTTATAATGAATGTTTACATACAATAAAATACAATAAAATTTTGTGACAGCTATTCATTTGCCCCCTAGAATTTTGAATTGAATATTATTACCCATTCAGGACACGAGTTTGGAAGGGCAGCATGATACAAATTACTTTGAGAGAAATGAAATTTTCTCTGTATTGAAAGAAAGTTCAAGAACGGTTGGGAGATGTAGGTAAAGGATTGAGAAACATTTATGGGACTTGAATCTGCAAAGACGTTATGAAAGGAAATGGTTGATCGCGGCACAAGCCTAGCGCGATCGAATATCTACGGATGATGGCTCATTATAAGGATGATCATTTTGATTATGCTTTTGGTGACGTCCAGAACTTGTGAGCTTATAAAATTTTTAAAATGTTTGTCATTATTGAATGGTGGTTCGAATCTAACTTAATTCATGGTGTAAGAGAATAGTTATCGCATTCCCACAAGTGTGAGTTATGAAGAGCATTTATCGCAAGGATACAGCTTGTATCGGTACTGCTTTCTTTTCTAGAAAAACAAATAGGAGGTCACCGTAATTATTGTTTTATTGAAGATTTTACCATTGACCATCGCTTCTTCGTTGCCTGATTACGATTTCTAGTCACAGTCCATTCGTTTCGATAACGATTTTAATGCAGTCAGGCTTCTCAGAGGGAAAGCTCGCTCAATGTCGCAACGCCTTCTGTTGATGATCGCGATGATCACTCTTCGCCATTTTTTGTGAGTGTGCGTGTTGAAAGTTGCTGCAAATCTCGTCAAAAATCTTGTTTATTTGACCTTAATATTGAAAATGAAATGAACCTTCACTAAAACAGTCCAAAATAACATTCTTGCTTTGAAAAACACAAACCTTTGTATAACGCTTGCATTCCCATGGTTGAACTATACGTATAATGTTGACCCACGAGAAGTTCCGCCTTGCAGTGTAACTTTCTTGTGACGTCACTAGTTCAACCATTAGCATTCCTATCGTCAAATTACTCGGAATATCGAGGATCTAAAAGCGGACTCAATGCTCTACCTGAACTTCGTATCCCATGTGCACGTTTTAAATTTCTTGTGGCGTTCTGACGACTGCCTTGGAACATTACGCCTGGAAAATAACTTGGTTGGAGATTTACGCAGCTCAACAATGAGAGAAGAAATGATCTCGCAACACGTTGTGCAAGACTGGTATGCGTGTCGGCTTACACAACGAAATTTAATGGCTGCCGTGACCATTGGAGATTGCATCGCACTGCGAGGCAAATAAAATATTTGTCAAGCTTACAATTTTTCTTCGTGATTATTTTCAAATTTAAATACGGATGTGATCTCACAGAAAACTTCGTTTGTTTTCATTTAAATTAATATAACATTTGAGTGAAGAGGCCCATCCATACGAATTTTCTTTGCTATTAGCCTTGACGATTCGTACTTGAAATTAATTATGACTCCTGCATTAACAGTTCATTTGAACTGCGCTATCAAATTATAATAACAAACTAATTACACTCCCGAATTTTAAACTCCATAAAATAACCATTGAATCATTGGATCGCTCCTTATGCATTGACAGAATTTGTAGTAATGTTGCAATACGAAACTTATCAGAGTCATTACTCAGAGTCATGAGAGAACTCGGGCTTCAGACATTCTTGTGAAATTCGTTAAAAAAACTCTCTCCAAAATTCGCAGCGCTATAATAATGATAACGAACAAAGAAACATGAATAATAATTGAAGAGATTGCAAAAAATGTACTGAGTGAGTTTAGCTTACATTAAGATTCTCTGACAAATATTCAAGGTTGCAAACGATATTCTTCTTTGCTATTTGCTCTTTTAAATTCACTTTAAATACATATTAAACATTTGAATTCAAATCGGTTTGCAACTTCGAGTATTGATAATTCTTAGATCAAAGCAAGTCACGTTTCGCTTGTAAGTCTACGGCGAGTGCTGTTCCAGCCGTCAGTCTGCTTGTTCTTTCTTTCCAGCGGACTTCCAGTTTCGGATGATCGTTGGTGAGGTTAGGACGTATCAGCGCTAGCGTGCTGGTAGGCATGAGGAAGCAGGAAAATGACTGTTTTGCTATTAGTTAACGACAAAATAATACATGGAGAAATTGTCATCGTCTTGAAACTGGAAGCATCTCAATTCCATCATCTATGTTTTTGTATAGTTTTTTTTTCAATAACTGAGCCGAACATTGATTTCTGATAAATTTGATGATGCTGATTGTTTAAATTTCTTCATCGATTTAAATGGACTAGTACTTGGAGCTCGTACAAGCTTCTCATCCAGGAATTACAACTTTATCTTACTGACAGCTTATTTTTAGCTTACCGTTTTACTATAGTTAGGTTTTAAATATAGAAACTGTGAAAGATTTCATGAACTACGAGCCAAATTTACTTAAATTTACGCTGTCACGTATGATAAAAAAGCGGTAATTTTTCGGTTTCCCGCTTTCAGAATTTCAAATCACTGACTGGAGAGCTTACAAAGTTTGTGTTGATTACTTTTGTAAACAAAATGGATTGGGTACATTTCAAGTGAACTAAAATTCGACACTTTGGTGAATAGTAAAATTTGGTGCTTACGAAGCGGAGGAAAAAAATGAAGCGGCTCTCTCATCTATGAACTTGTGATGGTGCATTTCAGAGGTGAGTCTAGCAATATCGTTATCATAATAACAAATCTATTTCAATTTTATCCGCAATGCTAAAAAATGCAGCTTAATATTTATTGCAAATTTTCATCCTAAAGCAAACACGTCTAAATTTTAGACGCAGAACACTATCAATGTTAGGAACACAATGGAATTTTAGCAAGTCTTTAGAGACGGGTCGGGGAATTCCAGGTTAAATGATGCATCGAATTCCCGGACGTTATCAACGCCGTACAGCTGGAGGGTTCGAGCAGATGATCGTCGTAAGATTTCAAGGGCGACATGGCAAGATCAGTTGATGGCTCCAACGAATGAAATTCATTACCCACGAGCGTCTAGTGCGTGCATGCCAGCTGCATGCCTTCGCTTCATAACAATGAAACAAACGATACGAATAATATAAATTATTTTGGTCCTTGCCGCTTGCAATAAAAACGAAGCGCCTGATCAAAAAGGTCATAATTTCTTCAAGTATTACTTAATTAAGTGATCATAAAATTCAATTTTAGTACCTAGGAGAATTGTTTTGATCAATTTTAATTACTTCGAGTATCTCCCGTCTCTGGTCGAACATGATGGTCCCTTGCAAAACGCGTCGGGGAGATTTTTTCCACCGAGACATTTTACCGCTTACCATGGGTTTGCTTGGCTCTACTCAAAATATTTGTATTTGTCCATCCCACCTTCCATAAAAATTGTTTCTCATTTTCTAAACTATTTCATCTCTCCACGAAATGTTGCACCTCTCATTGAACTTTCAGCTTTCCACAAAATGTTTCAGCTCAACACAAACTCTTTCGGCTTGCCACAAAGTGTAAGTCTCGACAATATATTCCTTCTTCCCGAAAGTTTCCTCTTCTTTCAACCGACTGCTGGCGAGCCGACTATTTCGGCTCGCCACAAAGTGTAAGTCTCGACAATATATTCCTTCTACCCGAAAGTTTCCTTCTAACCGACTGCTGGCGAGCAGACTCTTTCGGCTCGCCACAAAGTGTAAGTCTCGACACTATATTCCTTCTACCCGAAAGTTTCCTTGCAACCGGCTGCTCCGGCGTATCCCGGGTTTTAACCCGGCAGCTTATTGCGCATGGCGCCACCTTCCTAGGACTAATGGCCGCCACGTGGCGCGCAATTCAAATAAGTAAGTTCCCGCGCCGCACCCTGTATTAATATTTTTTCAATCAAGGAAGGCATTAACTGTCTCAATTGGTACGTTTTGCGAAATTAGTAATATTAGTAATATTAAATTAATATTAATCGCGTTGGCTTGAATACTTTTACGAATTGGAATCAAAATAGGTTTAAATGATCATCTAAAATCAAGTTACCATTTGCAGTATGTTAAAACTTGGTTCAACAATTTTCAATCCAATTCGATAATCTGAAAGGAGGAAGATTAAACGATGAAGCCAGCAAGTCCTATCATTCAATATGTTCATACTTATGAGTGATAGTTCCCATGAGTATACTGAGCTGAATTCACCAGTAAATAAAACTTATTCTGAATTGCAATCGTTCGGTCGGCCGAACCAAATTCCTGTTAGATTGGATGTAATATATTCTTATACATTTCATTTATTATGAATAAATAAAGGGGCCTTTACCTAAAATGTACGAATTTTACCTACTACTCGTACATGCACAATGTAATATTGTAAACCTTTATTCGCGTAAGGAGCGACGCGGCGCTCACGCTTTCACTCTCACGCGTCGCCGGCCCAGCAAAGGTCGCGCCGACGACCCGCGTCAGTAACGCGCCCGCGCCAGCAGCTCAGACGGTCTCTGCTAATTGCGTACCTATTTTGGAGCAGCGAGCTGAAAAAAATATAGCTCAGTACTCACTGCAGTGAGTGACAGAGAGCTCATCTTCTCAAAATTGACGAAAACTTGAAGTCACGGACAAACGGACGGACGGACGGACGGGCGGACATGACGAGCACAATAGGGCATTTTTCCCTTGAATGAGAAAATGCGCTAAAAACTCTTTTGTGTGAGCCTCCGTAATGTTTTTTTACATATGCACTCTCCCGTCTTGTGGCGTAATGATTTAGACTTCTGTATGATGTTAATAGTGTTTTATTTTTTATTTTAAATGATGTGTTTTCTTCACATTATTGGTTTCTGTTGTTATTCCTAATGGATATCACTTTTTCTCACTACTGTCAATATAAATTCTTTCCTCACTTAGACTAAATTATGTTTTTTATGTCTGTTCAGATGCAGGAATAATAATTTTTTTGCTGATCAAAATGTCGAAGATTCAATGTTACTTCTTTTACATAATTGTTAGCCGAGCCAATGTTTAATTTTTACCACTGATGTTTAATTTTTACCACTGAACCATCGCAATATTTAAACTAAACAATAAGTCCGGCGTTAATTGCTGGGCAGTTTTGATTCGTGGCAATTTTCCAGCAGTTAGTGTCAAACATAAAAGTAATATGTTTGTAATGTACGACTAAATAATAGGAAAAAATACCATATGATACTCTACTCCTGGCGCAGGGCTCATTTCATGCTGAGGTAAGCAAGATTTTAGAAATACTGGTCTCATTAATTGAAGGCTTGTTTCCTCTTAAGTAACATTTCAATGATTTGATTACTGTAAATTTTTATGCCAGCACTGCTGACGATAATATGAGCAAATTTTCTGGTAGGTCGCAACATCGGCTGCGGTCATAAAAGTCTGGCTTTATTAGGAGCCGTGTAAATTACATACTTCTCTAACAAAAATATTTGTTTTTTTTTCATGATTTTTGTTAATATTCACCTCCAAGAGGGAATCTAAATGGACTCCTGACTATGTTTATTATCAATTATATACGTAGTTTGACGTTTTCTTGTTTAAAATGTGTCGGTGGTCATCGTAAGGCGAACAGTAGTCGGGTTCACTACCTTTGCCGACCTAAAAAAATCATTTCCAATTCACAATGCTTTTTCTGTCTAAATTTCACTGTACCTAATAGTGCACGAGAGCTCAAGATTGGCTGGCTCAGCCAGGTGAGTGCAGAAGTGATGAGGCATCAGGACTTCAATGCACAGTTGAAGAGTAATCCTCACAGCCACACGCGAATGAAATTTATTGCTAATTTTGCGCTAATTTCTGCATTACCTATAATGTTCTATCCCCCTTTGAGGCCAATTTTTTCTAATGCTTACTCCTCTTTTGAGGATAATAAAGAAAAATTAAACACTTTCAGAGAATTATTGGCTGATGACTTCCTCTCGTATTTTTGGAAAAACGTTTATATTAAACATGTTTCCAAATTAATGTTGGACAATAGATTTAGCTTGTGTAAACTTGATTCTAAAAAATGTTGATTATTCGCTCCTAAATATAGTTTTTTCATAATTGGAGGTCGACGACTCCAATATATTGGAAAATAATTATTGTATTTGCTGCGAATATGAGGCAAATATGTAACTACATGCGGAGTTCTGCATTGCTCATCATGAGTGAGGAACGTATCCTCTGGAGTGACCTTCTCGCACATATCAGAGGCTTGCTGGCCCGCGACCTTTTCTGAACTCTGCCGATGTCGGGCTGGAATGCTGCTAGGGGTGATGCTGCAGCCTGGTAATGCTGATCTGCAGCCTGGGTGTTGGGCTGGAATGCTGCTAAGGGTGATGCTGCAGCCTGGTAATGCTGATCTGCAGCCTGGGTGTTGGGCTGGAATGCTGCTAAGGGTGATGCTGCAGCCTGGTAATGCTGATCTGCAGCCTGGGTGCAGGACTGAAATGCTGCTAGTGTGATGCAGCTCTCTGTTATGCCTGCTGGAACGTTATATTATTTGCCGTTGCATGAATGCCATAGCAAAGTATAAATGTATAATCTATATAATAATTGCTGTATTGTTTGAGGTTTCTTGAACCAACAACTGCATCCGCCGTCGGATATCCAACACTCCATGATGTAGTAGAGCTAGGGTGGATGCCGACCTTAAGCTGCGCCAAAAACACGCACGCCCCATTTACATTTGTACAGTACAGGGCTATACATCTCGCACGTGACCCGCAATACCACACGCGAAACTTAGGACATGCTCGAAATTCGAAGAACCCGGATTATGAAAACCCCTGCTGCATCGAGTGCTGAAACGTTGGTTGCCTGCATCCAAGAAAACACCGATCTTCTCAATAATAGAATTGTCATGGTTCCAATCAGGCAATTCTAATGTTTCGAACCAACCGTACAATTATAATCATGTTTATGCACCAAAATAAAATAAAGTACAAGTATTCATCTGATGAAGTTCAGTAATGCTCATTCTTACCATAAGCATGAAACGGTTACGACTCTGAATGGGATGTAAATGTTCATCAAAGAGCCTAATTGATTGATTCCCTAGGCTCTTCATTTATACATCTGGAGTGCCGCGCGAGTATCAAGCGCCAGGGCTTTCTCAGGGCCAGCAACGTGGACGCGGAACTCGTTCTATTGGCAAGCTGTTTGCCGCACGACTGCTTCTTCGTTTGTGATCTCTCTTTTCCGCGGGCTCCACATGCACAAAATTTTGCATACATGTGCGTATTTTTTTAATTATCAAGATATACAAACGTATACAAGATATACAAACGATCTGCTAACACTGTCGGTTAGCAGATCGAAAAAAACGCTGCCAAGGATCAGTGGCTAAAGTATGGGATGCGGTCAATTGTTACAGTAGCGACCAATGCACTGTATTACGAACAGTCGTTAACTCACGTGCGCACGTGCGGCTGGAGCCAATTGTTGGTGCCAAAATGCAAAATGTTGGCCTACGTAAACAATTACTAAAAATAACTTTATTATTAGAAAATTTAGTTTTGCGCACCGACATCGTCAATGTAATCGTATATATCATCCTCCGTCTTTTGGTATTTTAGAATAAACTAATTCTCATTAAATTAAACTTGTGTCATTTAACTGCGGAAGAGATATTTGCCTTATTATACTTGCATTTAATGACATGATTGTACATTATAGGGCTCCAAATTTAATACATTAAACCCTATTATCTTCTCTCGCGATCTTTTTAACGATGCTCATTTGAACGTGTAGAGCCTGGAAATTCATGCTACGCGGATGGCATTTCTTTGCAATGTGGCTTTTGACCTGCGCAGGCCTTGAGCTAACGAGTAGCCCCCTAATAATTAGGGCTGTGGTTTTGCTATCTGAAGCTCACATGTTCTTGACATTCTCCTATAGGAAAAATACGTGAAATACGTAAGATTCCATACCTCTTTTTTAGTTCTCTATACATATGCATTTACTTCCAGGCAACTCTCTTTCCTCATTGTTACGGAAATCTGCATAGTTATGCTTTCAGAATTTGACCGTTAAAGTATTTTGAGTTCAACCTAATATGTTTCTGTCATATTTTCAGTTTGATTCAGCTAGAATGCTAGATGTTGCCCCACCCATCCTTGAGTATAACTAATTACACGTTTCACTTACGTGCTAAGATCAAGGAAATGTAATTTCGCTGTTTGTAAACCACCACAAGCCACAAAATGCTAATGTCGAAATATTTCATTGTTATTATTATATAGAAGTGCAATTTTTGAAAAATTTTGTGCTTAAATAACGACACCCGGAAGAAATTGTCAGTGTACGAGGAGAAATTTTATCGCTGACTTTTTTTGTAGCTACGGAGAAATAGAGAATTTGCTCGCGCAAATAAAAAATGTAAGTTATGAAACATTCTTAAAGCTTTTTAAAAAAGTTTCTTATAATCCTTTATGGCTCCTCGCATGATTATTAAATTGCTTCCAGCTGCTGTATGTAGTTAATTCAGGGAATTGGCACAGTAATATCCTTCTAATATTTTCAACGTATCTGGGGTCTCATCAAACCATACAGGATTTGTAAACTAACTCATTAGTTTAATTTTGCTTAGTGGCAAGTTACATAATTATTTGTACTTGGTTTGTATTTGTATAATCATGCTGTATACTTAGTAATTAAATTTATGTCTAAATTACTGAATGAAAAGAATTTTTTCGTAAAGCTCGTATATTTTTGTAAAAAAGCTCGTAAAAAACTCGGACTTCCTCAGGCATGCCTCGCGTTCGGGACGTCCTGGGTCGGAGTGTGGACTGGACGCGCTCTCAGATGGACCGAGGGTCGAAGCGCCTGTGGGACCTGATGACGTCCAAGGCTTCGGTCAAGGAGACGCAGGGCGCCCCTGGCGGGAAACGTTGGCAACTGAACGCACTTCCTCCCAAAGCAAGCCCCCCGCCCTCACCCTTACTGCCCTCGGAGATCAAGTACTCGGCCTCCCTTGTGAGGGGCCAGGCGGTGGTGCACGCCGTCCTGGGGCTGCTGCTCTTTGTTTTCGGCGTCATCGGTGAGTTCTTTGTTATCGTGGTCTTTCTATTAGTAGTTTTCATGCAGTATTTTAGAGGTTAATTGTTTTTGTCCGTACTTTTTCTGAGGGTTGCATTTCTGCTAAGTAATCAAACGTCAATACAGTTTTTATTTTTGGTTGCAATCGACGCAATGATTGCATTTTTCATTATTTAAGATCAAATGTTTGAATCCAATGTAGGCATTATTGTGGTCGGGTCGATTTACGAAATGTAAACTATAACTCCGGTTGAATTAATTGAAGCCCCACTGTGTTTGTCCATTCGCGCTATGGTTCCTGAGCCCAAATCACAGCCTCGTGTGATACCGCAAGCCCTTCCGACCTTCCGGCCACCCAAGCATAGTGCTAAGAACTCTTCGGGATACGAAGCACAGTTCATTGCGGGAGTTCATTTCAGACCACGATGAACTCGGAGCCTCTTTGTTTGGGTGTTTTTATTCACTCTTGTGTCTTCAGTCAATCTTTGTATCGCGAACAATTGCTGCTCCACCCAACCGGCTGTACAACGTGAAACAACGCATTGTACAAGCAACCGGTAGCGCGAGACATTTTACCGGCTTCAGAATAAACCTGCTTGTATGAGGCACTAACTGGCTTCTTAGTTATTAGATTTGTAAGAGCATTTTTACAGATTGGCAATAATATCAATTGTGTGAGAATTCATAACGTCTAAAGAATGATGCTTGGTGCGCTTATACACCAACCTGTTCAATAATAATACCGAATGTATAAGACAATATCAAGCAGCTGTGTAAGAAATTAGAACTCACGACATAATATCCCGGTTGTTCCCTTACGCCAGTCAATATGATGATAAAGCGTGACAAAATTCCGGCTGTTCAATAAAAAACGTAGCAATATCTTAACTGATAAATAAACTATGACAGTTGCACAAGATAAATCGTGATGCCGACTCCTAAATTGTTTACGCAAGACAGACACTAATGGATAACAAAAACAGCCATTTAGTAATACCTACCATGAAATAATGCAGCAGATCCAACAATGTCGTGTGAAGTTTGAGCGTTTACAATACCGCTGCGCCTGGCCCGGAAGCCTCCATCAAGATACACTTATTTTCCTCAATAGCGGACTGCTTCTCAACCTGCCGAGTGTGAATGACCGCCTCGTGCTTTGTGTATAAACATTTAAACGAGCCGCTGAACACAAAAATGGAGAACGGCAATTGTCCTCAGATGATCTATTGGGCAACGAGGAAAGAATTTAGGAATTAAGCTTTTGTTCTCAGTGAGAACATCTCTTTTGCACGTGTTAGAAAAACATTACAGCCTTCTTTGAAATGATTTTGTATTTCTGAATTGCGGCTGTGCTCACTTTCAACGTCTCTTGAGTAATTTTTATAAATAAATTTCGGCATTTTCTTGTTACCCTTTCTTTTCTTGGTAATATTTCCTGGATATTTTCGCCATAATGCAGTAATTTTCACTTTAAAAATTCAATCATTATCTCGCTTCTTAATTTTTGTGGCTGTGTCCTCAGGGTCTCACCGGTGGGCGGCGCTAACCTGTGTGCCGAGCTTGGTGTGCGGGATGACGGGTGTGTGGGCGGGTGTGTGTGGCGGACTAGCCCACAAAATTTGGTACAAGAATTGGGCCATCAAAAGTTTCTTTGTATCGTCGAGTGCCGTGGTTGTGCTCTCGGTGCTCGCACTTGCGCTCACTTTCTACCTTGCGCTCACAGCGTCGCCAGCGTACGACGAGGACCGCTTCGTGTACGAAGACGTCGCGCTCGATCGCGTCGTCGCCAGCGACAGCGGCCGAGAGCAAACAGAAGAAATCGTCGGTGCGACGTTTTTTGAGTGAGTGAACAGGAGCGATGTTGTTGATACGTGTTGGTGTCTGTGACGGTACTTTCTTCTCACGCAGTGGCGAGTGGTGGCAGACATTTGGTTTATGTTTTATTACTTTATGCTTACTTTACTTTATGCTATGTTTATGTTCTATTATTAGAAATTGCTATTCATATCTTTTTATCGCAACTGCTAATAAAGTCTGGAAAAATTCAGAATTTTATGCGAAGTATAAACAACTTCAATAAATACCTTGCTGGACCTTCCAAAAGTTTAAATTTCAGGGAATAAAATGAATCAGAATAATAATTAGTTATTAGGTATCTTAAAGTTGTTTTACTAGTTATTAAATTTCTTCAGGGTCCATAAGACGCCTCCCAGCCAAAGCCTCATAGGCAACATAGTTGTGGGTCTCCTACTTCAGCTCCTGATGGGGTTGTGGTCGCTGGTGACGTCATGGCGAGGTGTTCAGGCCCAAGAGTTCACCACCGCGCGCAGGGAAGAGCTCCTCCAGCAGGAGCTTGCCGCCCAGGCCTCCCTTAATAAAAAGGATCGGGACGCTGAAGGTGGAGTCCCTTGCACGGTGCCCCTAGCTGCCATCTACCAACTGCTGCAGGTCAGGCTAAGCGATGCGCGTGCGATCCACTTAATTTTGTTCTTGTTTGTATTCAGTATTGATATTATTATAAACATAATTAAAAGCATTCTAAATCACTAGCACATATAATTACGGAACATATTCAATTGTTTACTTCCTATAGAACAAGTACACGACAAGGAATGCTATGTTTCACTTATCGGCCCTGTATAGGCCTGCGTAGCGACTAAGTACACACAGGAGCCTAAATACACTTAACGGCCGATTTCTCGTCCGTGATTGTCGGGTTTAGCTGTAAAAGCCGTCAGTGATTGGCTGATGTAGTTATACGAGCTCTTAAATATTCTTTATTGTTCGGCTGCTGGTGAGTGATCACGAATCATGTTCAACCCATCAATCTCATCATGTTCAAGTTGTTCGGTCTCATTACAGTGTGCGCATTAGTGATGTATGGGTCAGTCGTTCTCGAATATAAATGTTCTGTGGGTTCAGATCACGAATACGTTCTGAAATAATTTAAGTGTCTGGTAAGATTGAATGTAATTTCAGTGTCATTATTTTCACAATAAAATAAGAGAAAAAATAATTAACCTCGGGACGTATTCAAGAGATTTAACCTAAATTCCACTTTCCAATTGTTCATCGAGTTAAACTTCAATTATCAATGAACTTTGACAATTTTTCTTGAAGAATAGTGACATTTTTTGCATGGAAGTAAAAAATTAATGTTATTTTTATTCATATTCATTTTAAGAATCTTATTCTCAATCATTATTTCTTAATTTATTAGGTAAACAGTTGAGAAAAATCAGGTAAATATTAGTTAATCAATCTGAAAAATATTAGGTAGGTAAAAAGTCTTTTGACGAATTGAAAGGATTATTTGCCTCATATTCTCTCTAAAGAAGTGAAAATGTACAAATGCTGGACAACATAGCACAGAGATCCAGGTAAGAGATCGAGTAGGTCTGAGAATATTTGCTCGGCACAGAGACGACATTACAAAGAAACCATAGCACAGAGATCTAAGTAAGAAATCGAGTTGGTCTGAGAATATTTGCTCGACACAGAGACGACATTACAAAGAAAACATAGGACAGAGATCTAGGTAAGAGATCGAGTTGGTCTGAGAACATTTGCTCGGCACAGAGACGACATTACAAAGCGACGTTAGCGCGTGTAGCCGCACACGCTTCACTGGTAAGCTGTTGTGGGGAGGCGGTCTTTTGTTCAACGTCGCTTGCGTTTAATGCACCAACGCAATGCTGCCTCACAATACGCTCTCCGAAAAAATACTCAATTCTTTAAGTTTATCGATACAAATGCTTGAATTATAAGCAATGTTTTACTTATTCCGTATAATAAAGGCTGTGAAAATGAAAGAGTTTGTGTAAGAAGCTTGGGAGCGGAAAGAATGATGCAACTGCGCCACAATGAAAATAGTAAAGAAATACTTGTAAGTGTAACATTGAATTTGAATACAACTCGGCAACTCAAGCATAGATTACATCAAATACTGAAATGCAATGCTGTGCCAAAATAATACAATTTCCATGAGTTGTATCACTATTTTTGCTTCGAATGTCAGTGAATGTCTTTTATAAATATTATATATAAAGTCTTGATGGATTAGTTGAATTATACAAACCTTATTACAACGCCTCGTTCAGTGCTCCCTTATGATAGATTAATAATTTAGCCCAGGTTGTCATCTATATAAATTTTGTTATTTATACCCTAATTTTCCATTGGTTTATAAGAATATATCATATATCATACTCACTTGCTTGTAGTACGTGGCCTATGGATATGTACACGTTTTGACTTGCTTTTCAGTTGTTGATTTCAATTGAATTTCATTCTGTTTATTTTATTAATTATCTCTGCATTTTCAAGGCTGGTTAATAAACTAAGCCTTTTTGTTGCTACTTTTTTATTTATCTTTTTTTAAATCACTGTTCTAATTTCTATCATTTATCATTTAATTTCTATCATTTCTATCATTTCTTCTAACAATTGTTCTAATTTCTATCATTTATTATTCGCTATTTTACTCACTTATTAATTATACTTACTTGGAAAAATCGAATACACCGCGTGCCAGTCTAGCAATACAAAGGCGGAACATCATTCGACAACAAAACATTTACAAATTTCTATTAATTATGTTCTCATTCTTCAGGATCCGTTTTATTGAAGTTCAGGTATTGTGGAATGGTTGATTATATCATCGCAATATTAACTAGTCATTCACGCTAAATACACTATGTTTAAAAATCAATTCATATCAATTACGAGACTGTAAAAGGATCAGAATTACAACATTGACTTTCACGTCTGAATTCCATTAGATTCAGTCATGATATTGCGAGTTCGAAATCTTCATGGCTTGATAAAAAATCACATTCTATCCTCAAGTATTTCGCTTTTTGCACCCTCACCAACATACCTTATTATGATTCATGGCCGGGTTGCGACATGAGGGCGCATGTTCACAGAGTTCATTACATTTCAGTCGCACCCCGAGCTGCTACAGAGCACAGCAGAGCGTCCTTCGTCGCGCCACTCCATGGACTACCGCGAGCGGGTCTCCAGGTATCTCTCCAAGACGTGCGAGGCAGACCCCATATCGATCAGGTAACATGATCGTCATAATGACTCGATGTGACCATAACGTTCATGTTAATTTCCTAAAATAATCTTAGAAAATACTTTAGAATTTGCAACAGCGCCACCATGTGGCTTCAATGTTCATCCTCTATGAATTTGGTTGTTGTGCAAGTCGTCACCCTGTAAAATTATATATCTTACTATCATCGGTACACAAAAATGTCATGGTTTTATGGAAACACTCAAAACGATATTAAGTCTGTCATACTACGGTTCATCTTGTCCTAATATGGGCTGAAGACTAATTCAAATCAAAACAAAAAACTCTAATTCATTGTGTGTTGCAGGAACGCATCCCCTTCTCTCTGCGAGTCGAGCGGAACATTAGGAAGCACCAAGCCGTCCCCTATGGAGATCGCAACACGTAACGAAATGGCGGCTTCTGGAAAAACAGACGCAAATAAAAAGGAGCTTTCCGATGAAAAATCCCCTTCGGTGCCCACTATAAGTGGGAATGACCCTGCCACCATGAGCAGCTCGTCGAATTCACCGTCACAGTCTTCGTCTCCCATCGATGCACCAAAGTCAAACGAAATTGATTCCGACTCTTCTTCATCATCGCTATCCAGGAAGGGTTCGGTGTCATCCAAAGGAAACAGGCGAACATCGATGAAATCGGTCGAATTCAAAGAACCGCTTTCTCTGGTTCTCGGTGCTAAGACTTTTTCCCCTCTTTCTGCCCACATTATTGACCCATCAGAACTGGCTTGGATAAGAAGCCGCCAACGAAACACGAGATCTTTTAGCGAAGTAAATTTTCCTTCTTCATTACAGAGGGATTTGGAATATCATGCAAAGTTTGGACAACCGGGGAACAAACCCCCTACAGCATCAAAGAAAGATTTTTTCAAACCAAAATTAATTTTTAAGAATGATCTTCGCAATCTTCTCAAAAGGCCTGGAAAACAGAGGAGAGGCAGTTTATGCCCATCACAATGCTACGACGAAGCGGAGGAACGCAACGCATGGGAAGAAGGCATGGCTAGTTTTAAAATTAGACTTGATGGAGAAGTAAATAAAGACCCGACAACAAAAATTATTACTACACCTGAGCCAGTCAGGAGTTGTCTCGTCAGTCCGTCCCGGCGCAGGAAAAGGAAAGATAGGAAGCCACCCCCAATTCCAGTAATAACTGAAAACGGGGCAACATCGCCTGCTGAAAATGATAGTTGTGAAAAGGAGGTGAAAAGTGTGGAACTGAAAAAATCCTCATTGACCAAAAACGAAGAGTTGTTCAAACTACCGACTGCAGATCCGGAGATTCCTACTCCACCCAAAACCTCCAGAAATCCAAAAAAGCGCTCTACAAAATTTAGGGTGACAGCTGCAAAAATTGATGAAAAACCGACTCGCTCTGAGCCAGATGATGACTCCATCACCACGACTCCATCATTACGTGATGACGCGAGCATTGCGACCGACATGGCCACCGGAATTGATGTTCCGTCTACTGACAGTGGCGTTTCTAGCATCGATGGAAGTGTAGCTAATGTTAGCGCTAACGATTTAAGTCCTTCTGTAAGTAACATCGAAACTCGTGATGTATTTGCATCTGATTCAAGTTCTACGAAGGCTCCGTCGGACATTCACTCACAAATCGACAAAAAACTTTCTGAAGGAGAGTCAAGTGCTGCAATAGTTGCTCGTCTATCCACGCAATCCGTCCCGGCAGACGAAACTAATAAAGACGAATTTAAGAGTTCGGTTACAAATATTCCCACTGAAAATGTATGTGCTAAGACAGAAGCAGTTTTCAAAATTATTACCATTGTTGAAAACGAAAATCTCCCAGCTATAGAAACAAGTGCTACAAACCCTGCATGTCCCAGTGAAGTTTCTTCAGATGACGACGTAGCTGTACCGATAGAGATGCTTAAAGTGAACTCTGAGAGCATTAGCAGAGAAGTTTTACCCTTGAAGAAAAAAGAAAGTTATCGTGGACAAATTTCAGATTCTCCAGATGAAAGTTCGAAACCGATAAAACATGAAATCGATTCTGGGCACTGTAAAGTTCTGCCAAATGTAAACGATGACAAAAAAAGAAACGAAGAAACTTCTTCGATTACAAGAGAGGTCCCGTTCGTGAAAAGCGTAATCCTCAAGAATAAAGACACAACTATTGAGAACGATGCTCCATCCGCAAAGAATGATCGAGTATTGACCAGAGAAACCGTATTGGCTGAAGAAGACCCAATTTCAACTCTTAATATTGCTAAGCCTGCACAGGTTGAATTAAGTGCAAAAAAATCTTCCTCTCCTGTCCCCGCGAAGCAGTCAAGAGACGTCAAAATTTCTTTCCGGAGCCTCAAAGATGAAACCTCAATACCAACATCTTTTGGTTCAATCAAGTGCAACAAATCTTTTGAGAAGATTCTAGGCGCTATTTTAAGCCGAACCCAGAACAGCGAAGCTTCGAAACCTGAATCGCCCAGTGAAGAAAAGAAACTTTCAGAATCGAAACATGAAGCGATGGCACAAGCTTCAGTCACTAAGAGCCAAATAACAGGACCAGTGGATGTAGAAATAGTCGAGTTAAATGAAAAAAGTGCTGATGTCAAGGAGGTTCCCCCTAAGGCTCTTTCTATCGAGATAAGGCCTTACAAATGCACTAGTATCAGAGACGAAATAAACGCGGCCAAAAAAGCTAATCGATCAACTTAGCTCGCAATTTTACTGCTTCGAGAGAAGTATGTGTGTGTATATTGTTATTTCGTAGTAAACAGGTTATAATAAGATTATACGGCCTCTTGCTGTAAACTAATAAAGCGAATTCCGCGCACGAGTAAAATTTTGTGCGGGTTTTATTGAAGTATCACCGCGTCCTGAACCGCTGTTTCATCTTATCTATTATAATATTTTAATAACTGATCGGGAATTTTACCGAGCCATGACTATCTTGGAGGAATTTTTCGAATATTTAAATATTATTGTATATATAGTCGAAGGTCATTCTGCGTCCACATTTTTGGTTCTCAATTTATCTCTATTCTATGTTTGTTTTTGATGTCAAGCGGAGTTGATCTGCTCCAAAGTTTATGTGTGCTCCAGATTTTGTTCTCGGTGATGCACTGCACCTTTATCTTCATTCTCAACTGTAATCGTGCAAGCGCGATAGTTTAGTCTGTTCATATTCAGCATTTCAATCCTCTAATATAAATAACAATTTCGTTGTCATTATTTTCCTATTTAAGCTGTTTCATATGAGTTCGATTTATTAATTGCTATATACTCTTTTGAATTTGTTCAAGCTGAAACGTGAAAAGTTCACGAAAACGATTCGAAGTTTGTGTTGTATGTTCTTATTTCTTCCTGATTATCACCATTGAAAAGTGGAATCGAAATTAACTACACTGTGAAATTTAAACTACCAAGCCCCACCATAACAGTGGCTCCTAAAATCGTTCATAACCTCCAATTCAATTGATTAGGCACAACTTATTGCCAAATTTTAGGACACGTTGTCCTAAACTTTAAATGATTACCGAAAGCTTTTAGCGTGTTTGTCTGCCACTGGCGTTCTATGGGGAAGTGATTAATTTGACCGGCTTACCCTTGGAGGAAGTCTTAATCAAGTGAGGGGCGGATGGCGGGCAGGCAGAGGGAAGCCTGTGGTGGGATACGAGGGGAAAAGGAGGCGAAATATGAGAGCCAGCTACCCTCTGTCCCAAGCTTGCCTGCGCAGTATACTAGCAGAGAGACGACTGGCAGGTTCAACGTTTGCTGTGCCAATGAAGACAGTTTGCTTCATTGCATGCATTTGAATTAAGAGTTATACAATAGGGAGCTGCCAATTTAGTCCCCTATTATACCACTGAGGTTTTAATACAATGTTTCGGTCCACTCTCACATGGATAATTTGTTAAATTTAGATGAATTAATTGTAATTATTCATTATTTGAACAAAAGTTGATCCCTCACCTACGCAGAATGAATTATAGCGAGCAGTGTAATGTTACTCTCTGCACTAAAAAGAACGATGACTTCATGCACACTTAGACGCGCCATAATACATTAGTTGTATTGTTTATATTTTATTTATTTATTGAAGAGAAGTGGTTACCTCGATGGCTCGAGAAAAGCTCCACTCTTTAAATGATATTCGATTTGAATATAATTTAGAGACGAAATTTCCGCATGCGATGCCTGGCGCAAGATTAAATGCTGATCGGCATCACTGTTTATACTTTATAACAACCTTTATTCGGTGTTGAGTATATGAAAGTTTTGCATCACTTTTGTGCCATGAAGTATTTCCAGAAATTGTAGGGCGCGACAAGTAATCTCAAATGAAAGATAAAATATTACAAATAACTGAATGTGACCCATAAAAATTGAGTATAAACTGCAGAAGGACGATCAAGGGGCGTGATTTTTGCACGATGCTTCGTCTTGTCAGAAGATGGCGGGTGCATTAACACTGTTTTTCTTTCGTTCGAACCCATAACAATGGGCGAGAAATTGCAACTGAAATTTGTACAAGGTATGTTTCGTATGTTCAATATGATTCGCGATTGCAGTAGTTATTATTTTATTATTCAATTTTCTTTAGTCAATGCTAAGCTTCTACAATCATTATCCTCCGTTGCATAGTCATTTAGTTTCGCTTCGTGCAGTTAATTCGTAATTCGTAACTAAAATCGAGAAATAATTAGTTACAAGATAATAATGCATCGTAACACAGAATAGTACGACAATTCACTACGACAATTCACAGTGAATTAGTGTCATTGAATACTGAGCAAAAACTTGAGGACTAATAGATTTGCTCACCCCTCGATAATTTCATTTAAACAGTAAAACAATTTGATAATTAGAAAACCAATGGTATTTATTTAAACAATGGAAAGAATCAACTCAAATCTCTACACAACAAAATTGCGCACCGCAAAAAGAATTTATTAGCTGCAATTAATCGTATGAATTGCAAAATATATGCAAATTATTACATTATCCATTCGCATGTTTGAATATTATTAGACGGCACAGCTTAAACTGGTATCATGTGTTTCAGTATATGTTGTGCAGTGAAAGAGATCCAGTATGTTGTGAAGTGCGACTTCCTTTCAGTATTTCAAAAGAATCTTAAAACTACTTACCAACTAAACACCAACTAATAATGGTTGGTCCCGCTGCAACTCCAGCTATACGTACCTCACTCGAGCTTTATATTTTTTAGCTTCTCTGACTATTTTATTATTCACAAATCCCTGAACATAATTCTCCTTTCATTGTGAACGATCTCAATCATAAATCGCAGCATGCATTTCTCACGGTCAAACGACACAGCCAAATGACGTCGCTGACACGTAGAGATTACCAGCAATAGGCAGCAATTGTTCGCAATTGAAGCGGCGAGCTAGGGCTGACGAACCCGGGCATTTCTTTGTCAACAATTATACTATATAAAAATTATTTACCTGCAGCTTTTATTGATGTAATCCTCTCGCGATTTTGAATGAAAATTGAGGCTGTAAGCATTTTAATTCTTGCGGTTGGATAATCAGTATCACATAGTTAAGTGCAATCGTTTTAATGTTCGATTCTATGCGCAAATAAAAAAAAATAGAACATATCTCGAATAATCATGTCCATGAATTTGCCTAAAGATATGAGTCGCTAGTCATTCACGCTAATTGATTCCCCATGAGGGTACTTCAGCAAATTCAGCTAAGAACGATATTTTTTACTTATTTCTTCTTTTTCCAGTTTTTCAAAGATAAACGCAATGCTTCGAATCACAATTCGAATAGTTCTACTAATGACTCTTTCTCAGCAAATTCTGGGAAACGTGGTTATCTTACTGGCTGACGATTTGGGGATCGAAACTGAGGTACGAAAATAATTCATAACAAATGCATTTAACAAGAAGGCCAAAACTTCCCTTGTAATTTGTACTAATGTCACTGAGATCACAATTTGAGAACGGTATTATTAAAAACTTATACCAGCTAGCTGTAGAATATAGGGCAAAAAACTTGTAGCTATAATTTAAACAAATGATATTTGATTCACCGATTTAGAGCAAAAAAATTTGATATTTTTTTACAGCTCTATGGAATGGATGCCTGCAAGACGCCGCACCTGATGTCCCTGGCGCGTCGGGGTGTCGTACACGAGAAGACTTGGACCGTCGTCAGCAGCTGCTCCCCCAGCAGGGCGTCCATCTTAACAGGGCTGCCACCCCATCAGAATGGCATGTATGGTCTTCATCAAGGCTACCACAACTTCCAATCGTTCACTCAAGTTAAAACGATTTCCAACATATTGAGTGACAGCGGGATTAGAACTGGAATTATAGGCAAAAAACACGTCGGGCCAAATGATGTTTACAAATTTGACTACGAAGTAACTGAAGAACATTATCCCATTATGCAGGTTGGTCGAAATATCACCTTGATCAGAGATAAGGTGCGAGAATTTCTTTCAGTGAATGATTCTCGCCCATTTTTCTTATACGTTGGGTTTCACGACCCACATAGATGTGGTCACACTAATCCTGAATTTGGACAATTCTGCGAAAAATTTGGGAATGGAGATCCTGAGATGGGGACGATTCCGGATTGGACTCCTGTTGCTTATGAAGCTGATCAAGTTCATGTACCTTACTACGTCCAAGACACACCAGTAGCTCGGGAAGATCTTGCAGCTCAGTACACAACGATATCTCGTCTGGATCAAGGAGTCGGAGTAGTTCTGCAAGAATTGGAGAGAGCGGGAGCTTTAGAAGAAACTCTAATTCTCTTCACGTCCGACAATGGCTCGCCTTATCCAAATGGTCGGACAAACACGTACGAACCCGGCCTGCAGGTCCCGTTGATAGTCTCGTCCCCTAGAGATCAAAACTCGTGGAACACAAGAACTAACGAATTAACATCACTACTTGACATAGTTCCTACTGTTCTAGATTGGTTTAACATAAGTTATCTGAACTACACAATGTTTTATTATAATATGACAGTGACCCTAACCGGAAGGACACTCCTAAGAGATGACGTAAACACCACATGGTTCAATCACAAATACATCTACGCCAGCCACAATTTACACGAGGTTACCATGTATTATCCCATGAGAAGCGTTCGCACCGCTCGTTTCAAACTCATCCATAACCTGGCGCACAGGATGCCTTTTCCAATCGACCAGGATTTCTTTATTTCCGATGTTTTCCAAGATATTTTAAATCGAAGCCTTGCAGATGATCTGCCATGGTATAAAACTTTAGATGACTACTACTACAGGCCTCAGTTCGAGTTATTTGATTTAAAAATTGATTTCACTGAGAAGAATAACATGGCTGACAATCCTCACTACAAAAAGGTGTTCCATAAACTTTTCAACCACCTTCACAAGTGGCAAAACATCACGCAAGATCCATGGCTTTGTTCACCTGGTGGAGTACTACAGGATTCTGGAGATTATGCGGATGAGCATCAGTGTTTCCCATTGTACAATGGATTATGATGGTGCGCCCCTTCGAAATCTAGTTATAGTTTCACGAAGATTCATGAATCAAATATCCCTTCTAGCCCCGATAGCGCCAGCTTGTCGCCAAATCGTGACTAATGGGCGAAAAAAATTCCTATTGCCCACTCTGGCGAGGAGCGAACTTCAAGTTGAAGCTCTCATTACGTTGGCCATGCACTGAGAGAAATGGGTGCGTCTGTATGACCTAATTTGATGAGTCAACCGCGTCCAAATATCGATGCACTTTTTCGACTCACTTGCCCCATTAGTGGGTCATACTGACCTATTTCCGGCCCTTTAAATTTCAGGTATAACTCACTTGTGGCGTTAAATCACTCTGACGCCCAAATACTCCCTACGCATCCATGCTACGGTTGGTGTCAAAAGCAATTTGACGACACAAGTGAGTCATACCTGAAATTTAAAGGGCCAGTATGACTCACAAATCGGGCAAGTGAGTCATAAGTCCATCGATATTCGGACGCGGTTGACTAATCAAAGTGGGTCATCCAGACCCACATACTTACTTCCTTTCTACAATAAGATTTTCCCTACTATTGGGTCATCATAAACTTTACTCTGATAGATTTGAACGGACAGCAGTGGAGTCGACAAGCGTTTCAATTTAAAATCGGTGCGTGTTCACTGAGTTATCATTAACTTTTAGATATTAAATTTTTTACCATCTGATTTTTCATTGATTTCGTCTCTATGATGTTGGTGAATGCAGATTACTGATGTGAGATATCTGAATTTCACTTTAGTTTACAGCCAATGGGACAGAGACGAGCATGCTCATCTTTTATTTTTTGAGAAGTACTTAGATTTTATTTTGTTAACTGGCATTCATATCCGAGTTGAGACTGTATTTGTGATATTTTAAATGTACTGCGTTATTTTTTTTAATTGTATTATTCGTTTTTCTTCGTTTTATATGTGCTCATTATTTCTCATGATCTTACATGCATAAAATAGTCGCTAATCAGAAGGGTAGGCGTCAAACATTCAGCATCGTTAAAACATGAGATATGGTAGGCACGATCTCAACATCGTAACAGTTCTAGCGGCGCGACACGAACGCTGTACCTACTAACAGTCCCAAAAAAAGCAGTAGGTTGCAACCACTACCCGTCTTGAAGTTGACTGCGAGAAAGCTCGGCTGTGTGACCTGGAAATTTGCTGGCAGAATCCGCTATAAGTTACAGGGCCACTACTGGCTCCAACCGGATCCTTAATCATTATCAAAGACTTGCAAGGGTTGGACAACATAATGCCTGCGTGTGCTTTTTGATGAGCTGAGTCTCGTGCAGAGAAAGGAACTTCGTGTTAACCAACCGTTCCAATAAGTGCCTGAGGATGAGCTGGCAAGAAGAAATAACTACGAGACGATAATTCAGAGCACGCGAGCTCAGCAAGTAACGGTAAATTGCTTAGAGCTGCACTGGCTGCAGTGTACTAACTGTGGCTGCTCTGCTGCGGTGAAGTCAGCTGATTCCAGAGCTCACAGTCGAGCTGGAGCTGCGGTGGTGAGAACAGCAAATCCTACGGCAGCAATACAACTGCGAACGATTTCTCTGGTGAATGCAAGAGAATTACGACTTTTACTGATCATTTAAAGTTTTAAATTCCTACGTTAAAAACCGAGAGCTTAAATAAAATATGGGTGTCATTAAAGCCACCGCCGTCTTGTTGATGGCATCGCTAGCCTATGCCTATCCGCATTTTCCCGGACACCCTAGATTCTACGACGAGGGCCTTCAATCTAATCAACCTACTGTCAACGTTTTCAAGATTTATGCTCCAAGAGTCTTCTACATGCCAGGATACAAGCCACAAGTTGGCAGGAGTGAATCCAACTTCCTTGAGAACAACAAGCAGATGATCAATGAGCCAACAGAAACAATCCTCGATGGTCTCATTCGCACAGAAATGTTCCCGGAATCTCTGTTTGGTGACGACTCGGATATGATGCAGTACAACGAGGAGTTTGTGCCGGAGCCAAGCAGTGTTGTAAGCCGTAAACTTCCGCTCTACAGCTCGTTCAGAGGCCCCTCTATGATGACTGAGATGGAGCCGTCCATGAAAATGAATGATTATTACTCTGCCAGAGCAAATGGGCGACAGAATTTCCAGGACGAGTCTGTTCAATTTTTTCCAGATAATTTGGATATGCACGATGAAAATTGCAACCACATGCACCATTTCCTGAGCACAGACGGTGGTTATCCGATTTCAGGACTGTACCCTGATTTCGCGACTATCCAAATTTTGGACCCTCTCTTTTTAAACGAAATCGCTCCTAAATCGAAGCCAATGCGAAGCATGGAGAATGCTCCTCTGTCTGTTGGGAATGATAAATTGTTCCATGCAAACCCAATTGGACCTTTAAGCAGTTTTTTCAAGAACCTAATCTCAAGCACTGATAATGGAAACGATGAAATTGAGGCGCAACTGGTTACCACAGTCTCATTCGGTGCTCCAGAAATCGTCAAACGCAATGAGGTCACGCCAGCGAACGCGCCGGCCAAAGCGGATCCGAAGGAGTCCAGAAGCGACGGAGAAATCGACTTCATTATCACTGAAAAACTTGAGCCTACAGCCGAAGTTGAAAAAGATGGAGACGGAGAAGATAATGACGATGAAAGTTCAGTGGAAGAAATCGAGAGAAACTTCATCAAAACTGTCCTGCCAGACAGAACTTTCGTCACCACAGAAGTGACCAACGAAAAGAAAGTTGACGATAGCAACAACAGAAGCGCTGAAGATAAGGATGATGCCGTTCCTATGAAGGAAGTGGAAGTTAACATCGTCAAAACCATTCTTCCGGACGATTCTTACCTGGTTAGTGAGGCTGGAGGTGAAAACGAAAAATTCCAAGACGACGTCATTAGCATGATCCAGAACTCAGATGTTACTGCGACTGACAGATCGACGGGATCGGTCTTCATCAGCCGTTATCTTGAAGCACCTTCTGCTCCATAATTCGTTTCATGCAGTTTAATATTTAGTTTGTTGTTATCAGGTTGTGATTGCTGCAATAGATGCCTTTTTATGTTAAAGACAAAAAAAATGTTAGAGAAATTTTTCCGAGACAGCTTTTGTTTTATCCGTGTATATCCATCCTGTGCACTGTACAGCGTTCATACCTCTTTTACCATGTGTAACTTAGTTCAGTGCCTCCAACGAGTAAAATGCTGTATATCAATATAGCTGGATTTTTTTCATGCAGTTAATTTCATTTATTTCATTGGTGGTCTTCTGTGATAAAGTATCTTTAAAATCTGTAACAAAAGTTTCAAAAGTTGACTTGAGTTTTAAGTAAATTATGCTAAGTTATTTTATTTTCATTTTGACCTCATTGCGTGTTTGTTTGACATCGTTAACTATCAACTTTAGTAACAGCCGGATCTTCTATTGTTAATAATAAAAAAAAACTTTTAGATGATATATAACTTATTCTTTACAATTTGTTCATGCAGACCAAACTGGCCTACTTATATTATCATAATGGTTCAAAATATGACCCTATTCTCAAAACAAGCTGATTGGGAGCGTTTGAAGATTTTCACTATTTACGCTATTGATATTGACTTACTATCTACGATATTAGAGATATCGTCAATTTTACTGTGCCGACGTACTTATATGCTGTAGAACGTCATCACGAAGATAGAGAATATTAGGCGCAAAAATATCGTTATATATGTAGAATAATATTTATAAAAATGAGTACAACTGAAATTTTGTTGCTTATATTTCTTATCACGAACAAGCAATCGATAATATGACTGTAGACTTGTTTTAAGTTCGATTCGTATAACGAGAGACGAGTTTCTTCTCGAAACTGAATGTAAAGAGAATTACTGCACCTAAAGTGGAGAGAAAGCTGGTTTGTTCGGCGCTCTCTCTATCATCTGAGAATATGGGACTTCTGAGAGCGTCCTGATATTGTATGCAACTGACGGAACGTAACCGGGAGCAGCAGAGGAAAGTTAGGTATAGAGAATATTTTATATAAGGGGACAACCCCACATCCTCAATAAACAAATAATAATGAATATTTTATACCAGAATCTCGTTACCGGCTCACCGCAAATGTAATTCTTTCGATTAAGATAGCTATACAACCACTTTCAGAAATCCTCAAATTTATCACATCTCTAGGGGTAATGTTAGTGTATAAATTTTCATATATCAACAATTTTTCGACAAAATTCTATTACAAAAAATATATTTAGGTATAGTGGTATACTTAAATAGGTATGAAGCTACCTAAACTAAAGCTCGCTAAGAGTTAGAGTAGCCTGAGTACCTAGGTAGGCTGTAGGCCTGTAGCCTGTAGGTAGATAGCTCATTCGACAAAAACGCTGAAACTTTATATTAATTTCCTTCAACGCGGTACTATGTTAGCTTAGAATGCTCAATTACCCAAATTGTCAAAAAATTTGCAACATTTATAAATATTGATTAGTGATTAGCCTAACTTGCCCCTTCACGACTTCACGTCAGATTAAGAAATTTTATAGTACATACCTAGGTAGCTACGTGCTTTGTTAGGCAAGCATCGTACAATATACAGAGTTATGTAGGCTATACTATACTATAGAATTGTAGCTAGTACAATTAAAATTTTGCACAGGTCAGCAAACATTTTCGGGGGTTTATTTATTTGAATAGTTGAATTAAATTTTGCTCCTAAGTCAGTAAGTGGGCTGAGGAGTTCCAATTTTGTGCAATTTGCGGTAAGCACTCCTCTTTCAGTCAAATTATTCTGTTTGACTTTATTATATCTCTCTTAGACCTGGTCACCTGGAGGCTGGACACTGACATAGTATCAAATCAGAGATTTTTTTAGAATTTACTTGATGAAAATTGCATTTTTTAGAACATTGCCATCCATTAAAATGTCATTTGGTACTAACCTGCTGCTTTTTGATCTCTTGGTGCCAGCAAGAAATTTTCTTTGACTTGTTGGAAAAACAAATAAGATTATTAATAAAAAGTATGCTCTGGTCTTTAATTACACTTGCATAAAAGAAAAGTGTCTGCCAAATTACACAAAGTTTTTATAACCTTCCTTAAGTTCATTTTTGACTCCTAAAAACAGTAAAAAGCATAGGTAGGTAAGTACCATCAACTGGGGTGACTTTGGCCAACATTTATTATTTTGTTTTGCTTCCATTTGTTTCTGATTGTAGGTGTGACCGTGTGGGCCTGTACCTGTGGGACAGTGGGCTGTGGCCAAGCCGCCAATGCCAAATTCACCCCTGGTCCCTGGACCCTGGTGGCCAAAGTCACCCCAGTTAATGGTAGGCAGTGCCGCAGTAGGCCGGTAGCCCTGTAAGCTGACAGCTGAGTACCTAATGTATCATGAATACCAGCATTTTAAAAGATAAGATATCTGTTTAAATTTTGAGTAGACTAGCTACTATAATTATAATGACAACAACAATAATAATGTAATTGTAAATTTGTAATAGGACAAAATAATTTTTTGGGTCTGACTGTCTGAGTCTCTTGAAAGATTACAATATTTTATTAGGTATGAACCTTGAAACTACTTGGCAATAAGTTTAAGTGGGACATACCTACTACATAGCGTTATATAATAGACCAAATAACTTTCACCTTGAACTTCTTTCCTTTGTTTTCATCTTGCCTTGACACAAACTTTCCCACTTCTCCAGCCTTAGCTTAATATTCATATCATCTCTATCTCACCCTGTTTCTCTATCCTCCTAACCAAAACAAGTATGTGATGACTATCTAAAAAAACTCAATAAGTTGTATAATAACTTGAGTATAAAACTCATGAAAGTGCCAACCGTAGAACTATTTAGCTAATACATTTTAGTTTTTAATATCAGATATCTAGCCTTTTAATACCTTAATCTAACATATTTAATCTAATCTCGTAATCTAACATATTTATTGTTATTATTTTCAATGGAATAAATATTCTAAAACTAATAACTCAAAGTTACAAAGATTTTGAAAAATGAGTAAGCAAAGTTTTTTTTAGTCACTTTTAGACAGTCCTATGACAATGCAGTGAATGCACTGCATTGTGACTGCAGCACATTCAGCTCAGCACATTTCAATACCATTCAAGTTTCTGGCTCCCTGCTCCCTCCAGCAAGCTTCTTTAATATTTATAATAGACAAGTCAATAGTGGTGGTTTTAGAAGATGATGCGTGCAAATGAAACCAAATATTGCAAGTTATATTACTCACAAATAATTGACTTTGCCTTAACTGGAAAGTAATTTCTGTATTATGTATTGGATTTTTACTACCTACCAATAATTTTTAAAGTGCTTTAGATATTAAATATTCAAATATATTTCTTATTTTTGGAAGATTCACTTCATTGATTTAATACATTTTTACCTTCACAGCATACTTGTAACTGAGCATTCCGATTAATTGCCTGAAATGTCTACTGAAGGACAAGTGAGTATAAATATTCATTTTTTTTTGGGGAGGGGGGTTTGAGTGCATTGTAGTCTGTGAACAATGTTTAATAGGATTATTTTGCTCCCTAATCTCTGAAAAAATGGTTGATAGTGTTAATAGCCCAAATAAATTCATTAACATAATTATTGGAATATTCTTTCTATATTTTCTATATTCTAAAATTTCTATATTATTAAAAATATTCTATATCTCAAATATTTTTTCTGTGTTTTCAATTAGTTCTTCTAGAACTATTGTCTACTTTTCTCAAGTTACTCTACTTTAGTCTGGCTACCTTCTGAGGCTCTTGGCCATGGTTGATTCTTCGACTACCAACAAAGATTATATTTTTTGGTCAGAAATTTGTTTTCTGGCAGTGTACAATGGTAACTTATAAAATGTCAAAGATTTTAAAATTTTACTTCTTAGATTTTAGTCACTACCAGTATCTTTTATAAGATATCTTTCATACTATTGAAGGACAGTAATTCTCAAAGTGACAAATTTATGTGCCCACTTCCTATGATAGAAATCTGTAGTCAATCTTCTTCTTGAGTCAATCTTCCTGCTCTACTAACTTGCATCTGAAAAATAACAGAAATGCTCTATTCTGATATTTATCAATATTATTAAGAAAAAAAAGTCTCATACTCCTTAATCGAATGTATTGACACTTTGACAGTGACCGTCTTCAAAATCAAATATTTCTCTTCTCACACTCTGTCAACAGGATCACTTATTCACATTGTATTAAGTCATTGATGAAAATAGAATTTAATTCATATTCAAGTTGGTCTCATATGTGCAGGAGTTGATTAAAATTTCATTTGAGTCCATCTTCAACAGTCTGCCACACTGGGCCTGATTGATGTTCATGTGTTTTGAAGAACATGAATGTTGAACAGTGTGACTATTCATTCTTAATTAACATTTCATTGTTTTCTTTATTCAAGCATACCTATCTGAAATATCTTTCTTATCTTTTCATACTTTCTCAATTAACAATTCAGAATTTTTTATGTTAATTACGTGATGTATCTTTCTTGTCTTTTAATTCTTTCTTCATTAACAATTTATTTTTATTCAAATACCCTAAAATATCTTTCTCGTCTATGCATTTGTTCATAATCAACAATTCATTGTTGAGTTATATTTTTTATCAAACTGAGTTATATTTTTTATTAAAATAATCTGAAATATCTTTCTTGACTATTCATTCTTTTTAATTAACAATTCATTGTTTTCTTTATTCAAATAATCTGAAATATCTTCATTGCCTTATCATTCTTTCTTAGTCAATAATTCATTATTTTCTTTATTCAAATGATCTGGAATATCTTATTTATCCATTTCAATTTGTTTCAGGTGATTCATTGTAGAGCAGCTGTCGCTTGGGGACCTAAGCAGCCTCTTGTAATTGAAGATGTTGAAGTAGCTCCTCCTAGAGAAGGAGAGGTTAGGATAAAGGTGAGTTTAATCTTCAACTTTTTCAATCATGTTATATATTTTCTAGTAGGTATTTGAAACCCTAGAAGCTATTATGACACATGCTACAACTCAAATTAGCCCTCAAATTAAGGGTGTAATCTTGAGTTTCAGTATAGGTCAGACCAGTGTTTTAAAAAGAAGTGTGTACAGCTCATTTTCATACCAGCTTATTGAAGCCACAGCTTCTTAATAAGTCTTCAGTTTAGGAGCTTGAATGCTAGTAAGCACCTAAGTGCATTTAAGGTATGTAAAGGCAAAGATTTTCTGCATATTTTTTTTTAGAATTCCATTCCATTGTTTAACCATCTTATATAAGTAGACTAATGTTGCAAAAATTTTAATGCAAAAATTGTCTGCTTTTATTTGACTCAGATGCTAACTGCAGGTGCTGGCTAGTGGCGTGTGCCACACGGATGCCTATACATTGGATGGTCATGACCCAGAGGGCCTTTTTCCTGCCATCTTAGGCCATGAAGGCGGTGGCATTGTAGAGAGTGTTGGCCCTGGAGTTTCTTCTGTGAAGCCAGGTAAGGTTTGCACTAATTCCTCTCCATATATTAAAATTGCTGCTAGGTTATTATTTGATAATTTTTTAATATATTAACCTTGATGATACTTTATTTAAATACCTTATGAGGAATAAATATGAGATATCATATGTATTGTTTTATCCTGCAATTGTTGAAGTCCTGCACTGATGAATATCCTCAGTTTTAAGTTTCAACCTCACATTTTTTATTCAAAGTACTGGAATTGAGCACTACTTCTACATCTTGATCAGTTTGATATGTTCATGGCGTCAGAGAGGCTCCTAGTATTCAATTACCTATAGGTCTAATAAGCTGATATGTAATTAGCTTGTCTGCTTACTTGTTGAACGCAACTTCAAAACAAACATATAGGTAACTTGCAATATCAAACAAGAAGAGTTGAGATGAGGCATCATAATTGAACTGAAATAAATGATGATGAGTGGTTTGTCATGATAATGTTTTTTCAAGTGCAAAGATGATAAATACATGTAGAACAATAATAATTCATAGCAATGTATTTTTTCAAAACTTTGGGTTTCAGTTAAAAAGTATAAAGGTAATAGTGATAATTGACTAGCTAAGGGAATTGCTACTAACTTGCTTGGTCTTTTTGGAAAGATTTCTTCTTGACTTGTTCTTACCTGAGGAAGCTGACAAGGACAAGAATGGTTATCACTAGAACCTTTAAATGAAATAATCATGAATAAAAAATTGAGTACTAGGTAATAAGTCTTAATATTGTGATCAGCATTAACTTGCAACTGCAATTAATCTTTAAGAGATCAATAGTAATTAGCTAGTGATCTTTAATGATCTGTTGTCAATCATTCTACATATAACACTTATATTTCGGATCTGAAATAATGAAGAAAGGGTGGTATAGAACAAAGTACAGAAAATGACAGCAAATGGGAACAAAAAGCAGAAAGCCATTCTCCCAAAATGATCTTGAATTCTTGATGACTGCATGTGATTTTAATTATCGTGGAATTTCATATTATAATTTTTTTGCTATTCTGTGAAGACTAATGTGATATTTATGTAAAAAATTTTCGTCCTGTGCCAAACATAAATATTCTGAAATCTGGTGAAATAAAATCACAGTAGTTAGTTGGTGTAAATGTTACTTTATTTCATTCCGAAGCATGCACAAAGTTCTCTTGCTTATCAGTTCAATTTTATTGATTTCATGGTTTTAGTATAGTTTTTGGATAGTATTTAGTTCTTGCAATGATAACTAATTTTTAACATTTATTTCTATATGTTGATGTCAGGTGACCACGTCATTCCTCTTTACATTCCTGAGTGCGGTGAGTGCAAGTTCTGCAAGTCTCCTAAAACAAATTTGTGCGGAAAGATACGAATGACCCAAGGTAAAGGCGTCATGCCTGACGGCACATCCAGATTTACCTGCAAGGGAAAAGTTCTTCATCACTTCATGGGCTGTTCCACCTTCAGCCAATACACAGTAGTGGCTGAGATCTCCGTTGCCAAGGTTAGCAGCAAAAGTTGCACTATCTTTCGTTTTAGCCTCGGTAAGAAATTGTCCAACTTATGCTTTAAATTAGCTTAATAAAAATGTATATCACCCGACAAGGTGTGGCAGAAGATTGGATTTTTTCACCATTCTATATTCTATAGTGATGCAAATGCATTAATGTCATGAATGGGTGTTATCATCTGTATTAAATATTTATTTCTAGGTCCTTACGTTAATAATAACGTCGCCATGTCAGTAGTGTTCATAGAAGATAAAATTACTGATAATTTACAGAAATTGATTTTAAAATTAATACATGTCTTAGTACATTCATTTTTAATCTTTATATCCATGCTTAAATTATAGGAATCGTGGCTTCCAGTAGATGGGTATTTTATTCACCTGGTCATATATGAAATTTTCAGGTTGAAGACTCGGTTCCTCTAGACAAGGTTTGTCTGCTGGGCTGCGGCATAAGCACCGGTTACGGAGCTGCTATCAATACTGCGAAGGTAAGGGGTAGTGACCTATTATTTATAACAATGAATGAGTAATTTTACTTTCAAATTTGGAATATTTTAAGCCCGCAATGAAGTTGGGTGATTTTAATCCTGTTGTGCCTCAAATTCCATGCATGATGGCATGAATTCGAACACTAAGCTTTTCTGCAAAGTTCGTTAGCAGCAAAGTTAAGAACATGTAGGGGACAATTGTTTTTTTTAATTCAAGGAGCGTATTAATTTTTGTTGGAAAATTTTATAAAATGATTTTACAATTTGTCTAGGTTGAGGAAGGATCCACATGCGCCATTTGGGGACTAGGAGCTGTCGGCCTCGCCGTGGCTCTTGGCTGTAAGGCCCAGAAAGCTGCTCGCATTATTGGCGTTGACATCAACGAAAGCAAATTTGAAATGGGCAAGTGAAATTTGTATTGATTGCTTCATTTCATAAGTTTTTTGAAGATCAATGAATGCCAGTTAGTGGCTTGGCAAAGCTAACAATCCTAAGCAGTAAGTATCCTAAGAAAAATAACTTTACAAAATTTTTTTCTCTGCAAAACATATTGTTTGTTGATTTAAATTTATAAAAAACGGCACAACAGTTCCAGGTTAATATTTCATTGAACAAATTTATTCTGAATATATTTCACCGACAGTTTTTAGAACAATCTAGCCTACTTTTTCTTATACCTTACACTCCTATAAAGTTATACTATTTGTTCTGCAGCCAAGGCCTTTGGAGTCACGGAATTCGTCAACCCAAGCAAGCTGACGAAGACCGTGACCGAAACCATCGTCGAGATGACAGACGGCGGCTGCGACTACACCTTCGAGTGCATCGGCAACGTGGCCACCATGCGGGACGCGCTCGAGTCCTGCCATAAAGTAAGTGTTCCTGAAACATTGAAAAGTTACTTTAGTTCTAGAATTATCGGCATACACGAAGAATATGGAGGTCTAATTAATGACACGGCCAGAGAGTGCAAACATGGTAATTTTATCATTGCAGTGGTAACGGGCAACCTCTGCCATAATGTTTCCGATTACAAATCATGTACGTAACAACTGCCATAAATCGGATCAAACGTGTTCTTACCAGAATTACAGAGTTTTGATTATTTGATTTCTGTAATACATGCCGTTGATTATAAATTTATGCCGTTGGTTTTTCTTGGCGTGTAGGGTTGGGGTGAGAGCGTCATCATCGGCGTGGCGGCCGCCGGGCAGGAGATCAGCACACGGCCGTTCCAGCTCGTGACTGGCAGGGTGTGGAGAGGCTCTGCGTTTGGAGGTTGGAAACGAAAATTATTTATAATAGATTGAATGATCAATAATTGTGGCCTTTCAATGTGGGCCTTTTACTCTTAGTTTCTATAAAATCAGTGCTATTTTTACCCTGTGCATCATTTCGCCACTTAGTTTTAATTGTATTCTTTATTTCAATTTCTTCACGCTGTGCCGTTTTCTTTGTTAGGTTGGAAATCGCGCTCCAGCATGCCACGCCTCATCAAAGACTACCTGGAGAAGAGACTCATGGTGGACGAGTTCGTGACCTTCACAAAACCTCTCGATGAAATTAATGCTGCTTTTGACTTGATGCATCAGGGCAAGGCTCTCAGGACCGTTATCGACTTGTTTTGATGAAGCTTCCAGTCTGAGAAACGCACTACTTGAAAATGATGAAAGTTGCTTCCAAGGTACCGGAGAATAAATGTGTCGTTATGCACGTGGGGTATTATTTTGCTGCGGGTTTGTTGCTATCTGCTCTTATCAAGGTTCATTTTCCGTTTTGACCTCTAGCAGATGTTCTCTGAAGTCACAAGGCTTCCACGTGTCATTTTTACGGTTTATCCAATTCCTGTGAAGTTTATACCCAATTAAAAACTCGAACCTGTAACAATAAGTTGTTTGCTTCTCTCACTGCTCACAACTTGTGTCGTTTATAGTCGCCTAATTTGTTTATATCGATCTGAATTTTTTTTTATAAATGTACCACCAACTGATATTTCTTCTTAACAGATTCAAAATATATCTCGTATGAAATGGAAATCATTTCCTAATCTAAGTAAAGATTTCTCCTAATTCATCATGAATCTTCTATTCCTGGATAACATTGCTATTGACTGCTTCGTTAGAATATTTACTACCGTCATAGAGATTCCAAATTGCGATGTTACAATTGTCAGATAACCAAAATGACGATAGCTACTGACAACGGCGGATTCCTTGATCGTTCTAAGTGCGGAAATTTATCAAGTGTTTCTTACTTATCTTTTCCACTCGTGCCTTATCGTGGGTGATTTAGCGGCGTCGTCTGTGTTTTCAGTGTTTTGCTCGACCTTCAACAGAACAGGTGCTGCAATGCACCGAAAATATCTTCATTTCATGTTATCTATAATTTCGGAGGGACGATGTCGTCCAAAGTAACAAGTTCTTTGGATGCTTTTTATTTGAAGTTCGGTTACATTTGTAAAATTTATTTTTGCGAAAAGAAAATGGTGTTAATTGGCTGACGTGCTTGAATAAGACTTGATGTCATTATTCTTATTTATATTTTTGTATTTCTGAAATAAGTGTTTGCTTATTCGAAACATTAAAATAGAAATATCTGACCAATTGGGTATCATTACGTGTTCAATATGTTATTCGCCTACAGCATGTTTGATAATAAAATTTGATCGTACGTGTGTGTTATAACTTTCCCGTTGCCGAGTTGTGATTACATCACATTTTTGTGGATAAGCACGTATTCCGAATTGCTGCAAAAATTATACAGTTCGTCTGCAACAGCAAATCAACCCGCATAAGATATTGTTTGATGATAATTGAAATCTCTGTATTGATTGTTTCGGGAACAATCGCTGTGAGACGAGCGTCTGATCCGGATAAGACCAGCGCAATCAAGCAAAATTCTACCGGTAGCAACATATGAGCGTTTGAAAGTCAATGTATCATTGAATGCGGTAGAAGACAATTTGCATAAATGAAGCATTGTAGTGCCGGTATTAAAAAAGGTCAGCTGGTCTGTAACCGTGACGTGTGCTCAACGTCTCAATGCTACCAAAGTTACGTGGAAGTCTTCAAATGTTTACACAATCTTTGGGAAAACTGTCCCATGCTCAACTTTTCTGGTTGTTGTTTTTCTCATTTCCACATTTTTTCTCCGGCCAGGTACTTTTCAAAAAGTAGTGAATCCACGAGCGCGTGGCCGGCGCTGTTGATGGTGACGGCTCCTTGCAGAGATGCAGTGCACTGCTGGACACTTGATAGGAACTTCCTTCTTTACCAATTGTGATGCAAATGTAAAAAATAAATTCGAACTATACCAATTTATGGCATCACTCATTGCAAGATATTGTTTTCTAATTATTTCAGTAGTTATTTTTTATCTAATGATTTCGGCAGTCAAATTGATAAATTCACATCATCTTTTAGCCCAGTTTAATCAATATTTTCAGCATCAGCAGTTCGGTTCAACTATGAACCACTCAGGATGTCAAAGATTTTTATCTACATCATTATAAGAATGATTCACGGAGCAGACTCGCTCAGTTCGTGGGACTAATATGATAATTGCTTGCTACTACCGTAATGATAAGGTCAAGCAGAGCATAAATGCAGCCAATGCCTTCACTATCTTGCACTTGTGTGTTCAAGACAGTCGTGTGTGGTATAGATTGCTCCACTCTCATCTTCCCTAGAATTGAATGTTTGAAATTTTCTCACCTTAGTTGCTATTCCATTTTTAGATCTTAACACAGCGATCAATTTTTATTTTAATCAGTTGCTTCAATACTCTTCCACAGAGGAATTCAGATAATTTTTTGTTCATATTTACTCTTTTTATTTGGATTTTTGAGATGATGGCGACAGAAGGAAAAGTGAGTCCACTGCTTTCTTACGCATCTCGAAGATGAGTGCGCATATGATTAATGTTATTTAATTGTATTTTCTGTATTCGCTATTATATATTCATTGGATTCTTTGTTAACTCTGTTATGTGGAATTTGAAAATTGTCAACTCCTTCGCGACAACATTTCTTCTCGCTTCGAGTCACCGACATGTGGAACAGCCTTCCTGATAGCATCGTTGACGCTCCGAGTATGAACCTTCAAAAACAGACTAGACGAAGCTATGCAGGAGCATATGTTCAGTCTTAAAATGCCTAGCAAGTTAGGGACCAGGCAAAAAGTCCAGCAGCTATCTCAATCAATCGTCAGTTATGGAAAGATCGGGTTCCAAAGGCCAGATCCCTTGTGAATCAAGTCACGAAAAATTCAAGAATCGGCAATAGGCCTATTTCTTCAGTGCCGACACTTCTATTCTATTCTATTCTAAACTGTTCTGAATGAGACTTACGTGCTGTAATTCACACAATTCTCCTGGTGGATTTCCTAACATTTGGAAATTAAGTCAAGCAAAGGCCTGAAATTGGGAAAAATAGTCAGTAGTATCGTGGTTGGTGACTAACATTAAATACATGTTGATTGCATTCATTATCAAGAAACTTAATATTATTGTTGTCTACAATTGGATAGTTTGCATTGTCCTCCATCACTACATGGGCACCTCCACCTTCAGCCAGTACACGGTTGTGGCTGATGTCGCGGTAGTCAAGGTTGGTCGGAGTGGTGGCTTTTGTGCTGTAGTAGCAGTAGAGTAGCAAAAACATTGGTTTACAAATTATATAGTAGGATTGTTCTTAGTAGATGCTGTATATTAGGAAAAAGACCGCCTGTGAACTAATATGAAAACTCTCGTCTGCCAAGTTTTGTCTAGAGTCTAGACCGTGAGATTTCCAGACGTACGAAGTTCTCCCAGAGGACAAATCTTAAAACCTCCCGTGACTACGAGGTTAGAATGTTATTTATTCACCACAGTCAATGTATTTGGTTAGCATTATATTTTCAGTTGAATAGTACAGTTTTTAAATATGAGATGGAACCGAAGTATCTTCTGGTGAGCATCAAGCAAAGTCAGACGTAATCTCTCAGTTAGTGACAACAATGACAAATATCACTAATTTTGTGTGAATTAGTTCTCTTTTTGAAGTCTTTAATCACGCTGCTTCCTTGTCGTCGCGAACACGACAGCATGTTGCCACTTAGATTACTGTTCCCACAGTCAGAAAATTACGATTTCCTACAAACACGTTACACTGATCCTGTTATTTGATCCGATTTTTTCTTCTACGGAAGAAAAAAATGTTTCAGATTCATTTCCGATGGGTATATGTTTATTCAATCCGATGTTCAATATGTATCAGAAATAAATAAAAAATGCTAGGAAAAATTCGAACGGATAATTTGACGCGCACATGTTTTACAAATAGCTCTCGGAAGATGTTTTATAATTTACTGCCGGTCTGTTGCAGATCCCAGATTCGCTGCCATTGGAGAAGGTATGCCTGTTGGGCTGCGGCGTCAGTACGGGCTATGGAGCTGCCATTAACACCGCGAAGGTAATAACAAAGCTTGTGCGTAAATGTTTGTATTGTGCGTAAATGTATTTGTAGAATAGTTATCACGTACAATGTATGAACAACATAGAATATCGAGACACAATGTTTCAATAAAGCAGCCACAAGATATTAGCTTCGGCTGAAAGCTCACTATCAATTTTGCTTTAAAATAAACTTGGTTATGTATTCGAATTTGAAAATTTTCTGCAGGAAGCGTATTTTATCGTATTCATGATCGCCATTTTATAATTTTCTTAATAAATAATTAGACTAGTGGACTACTGAATCGTTTGATTATGAATTTGTTTACAAATGCAACTATAAATACAGGAATTTTTCGGTGAACCAAAATACTCAGGTCTAACTATTTGTCTTTAGGTGGAGGAAGGGTCCACGTGCGCCATTTGGGGACTGGGTGGGATCGGTCTCGCTGTGGCCATGGGCTGCAAAGCGCAGAAAGCTGCGCGCATCATCGGCGTTGATGTCAACGAAAACAAATTTGAAATGGGTGAGTACAATTGCACCTGCTGGATGAAACCTTCGCACGGCCCGCTCAATTACTTACTCGTTGTCGAAGAATCTGATGCCAACAAACTAATCTCACCCCCACTTTTCATTATTAATTGTCATCCTATATTTGGACGCCAGTTAGAACCTGCATACATCTGCTATCTTCGTTTCAACAATATTTCCTTCCTTAATCAATTTTCGCATAACCTGGGTTCAGTCTCAAGTTGTGGATAATGTTTTGACATCGCAGCTAAGGTGTTCGGAGTGACTGAATTCGTCAATCCTAAAAACCTGACCAAGCCCGTGCATGAAGCCATAGCTGACTTGACCAACGGCGGCTGCGACTACACCTTCGAGTGCATCGGCAACGTGGCCACCATGCGGAACGCGTTCGATTCTTGTCGCCAGGTCAGACTGTGCGCACTATGCTATTTATTGTTTTAAAAATATGCGTTACCATTTCTAGAAGAAAACTTGAAAAAATCTTGTCATGGAAAAAATGTTAAAATGTTTAATATTGTAAAAATATGTGATATTAAGGTGAATGTTTACGTAAATATAATCTTCCAAAGAACCGCGTACGATGCGACATCTACTTATTGCGATGCAGTTCAGAATACGTCTACACCACAACGGTCTTTTCTGACGTAAATCTTTTATTCCCTGGTATTTCATTGTATTCTATTTACATAGCCGAATCATCGAATAGTTAGTTATCAGCAAGTTCATGGGTAAGGTTATTGTTTCTGAAATATAATATAATGTAATGGCAGGGCTGGGGCCAGTGCATCATTATCGGTGTGCCTCCTGCTGGTGAAGAGATGAGCGTGCTGCCTATGGACCTTCTCCTTGGCAAGGTCCTCAAAGGCACGGGCTTTGGAGGTACGCTGGATTATACTATCAAGTTTATGAAAACCTTATTATTCTTTAGGATAATTATATTAGTTCGTAAGACTAGTTTAATATTCAATTATCCCGATCTTATTATCATCGGGAAGACTTCGTAAGGCTCGGACAATTGAGGGTTTAATTTTCATTTAATAAACTCGAAAACTCACACTGTTTCTTCGATTAACTCGATGTTGCAATAATTTTACCTGATCCCCAAACCGCTTTTTTTTATTAATATTAAAATAGCAACAGTGTCCAATCGTTTATGTGTCTCTGTACGCGTAGTGTTAAAGAAATGTTGGCTTTCGAGGATTTATAATTTCGGTAATTGTGAGGAGATTAGAGATGCGGCGACGCGATGTTATAGCAGTAACCATCATTATGTCAGATTATTCCATGCTATATATCGACCATAGGCTATCACCAGTTACTATAAAGCCTGTTTAAATGATGTGTCCAATTATTCCAAGTCTTTTAAAGGAAATAAACATTTGTTATTTTGGAATAGTGTATTTTAGGCGAATTTTTATTTTTAATTTGCAGGCTGGAAGTCGCGGTCGAGCATGCCACGCTTGGTCAAGGACTACCAGGAGAAGCGGATCATCCTGGATGAGTTCGTGACCTTCACTAGGCCGCTCGCCAGAATCAACGATGGTTTTGAGCTCATGAATGATGGCAAGGCGATCAGGACTGTCATCGACATGTTTTAAATGATTATTGTGTTGCTTTGTAACAATATGATATAGCTTCCATCAAAAATTAATTTTTACGAAATTATAATTTTGTGAAATTTCATTTTTCCCTAGGTTTTGAGCTCATGAATGAGGGCAAGGCGATCAGGAATGTCATTAATTTGTTTTAATCGGTTTTTGCTATGCTTCGTAATAAGATGAAATGGCTTCCTTCATAAATTCTTTGTTGTAAAATCCGTACATTATGAAATTTCGTCTTTGTAGTTGGTTTTGAGCTGATGGATGGTTACCCCATGGATGGTACCCCATCGTTGGGCCATCAGGACTGTTATTAACATGTTCTGATTGTGGCTAACAGGTTTAAATTATCTTGCGTCTTTTTATTTAGTATTTTGATTAGTTTCTCAGTAGCAGCCTAGAAAATTTATAGTTATAGACAATATTTCCATAATTACCACAAAAGTGACTATTCCTCATTTATTCAAGTAAATTATTTTGGGATGTTTGATATCGTACGATTTTCTGATGCTTAACAGCTATAACTCTTTACTTTTAATTGTACGGATATTCTCAACGAAGCTCTTGCAAAAATGACCGAGCCACCATTTTAATATGAATTATTATATGCTAGGGGCCGTATTTCAGGCTTCCGTTCTTCCAAGGCTGAAAATTATGCAAATAACTTTGTTGATCCACTTGTAGGCTAACAGTACCTCTCATGAGTAGCTTAAACGCGTACCGACCATTTAAAATGGTGGTGCTTTAAGAGTGAAATAGAAAGTAGTTCTCATTATTATGTTTCCTGGTAAATATATAAATTTGATTTGCCCGCGGACCTTTGAACTATTTCATGTACGTAAGATGAGTGTAAACAATTAAGGTACCCGAATAATTCAAAATCTTACATCTAAATCATCGCCTAGAGTAAATGTAAACTCTTTCCGTCGTAATGCAATATTTTTGAGAAATTCTAACTGCCGCAATCGGAAATTAACAGAAATAACTTAACGGCGTAAAATTAGGAATAGTAGGAAAAGATTATTATATAGTTTGCTGCATTACGATTGGAAAGTATGAAATCTGACAATGCTAAATCAAGGAATTTTTTTGCATAACTTTCGATTTTTCGAGTAAAAGTATTCTTCATCCTGGAAGTGTGCAACCTTTCACTGAACGTGAATAAGTCCATTCTGTTAAACATTTAATAATGTATGAATTATAAACCTAGGATAGGATTTTCTCTTCTGTACCTCAAGGCTAGGCCTCTGATTACTGGCTGGTCAGACAGCAATTAATGAACCTTGCTTGAATTAACTTGGGCGCTTAACCTTTCTTCCCACTGGGCCTTAAGTTCATCGTAAATAAATTCAGTCACTTCTAATGATTTGTCTCGCACTAATTCAATCCAATTCAAAAATATTGCAAGCACTACCTTCTTGTGTGGGTCGTTTGTATTTGGCTTAACCTTCGATAGAAGAATAAGCATCGCATTGAACCTCCAAATTTATATTCGTCAAATATTGTAAAGTTTTACGTAGCCAATGAAAATTTGCTTCTAAGTAATCATGCTTCGTAGTCTGTATACTAAAATTTTAATTGCAACAACCAAAATATTGTAGTGCCTCACGATCGAAAATTCGATCTAGCGATCAAAAATTTGTTCTAGTAATAAAAAAAAATAAATAAATCTGATCTTTATTTTTTTTATTGCTGAGACTTAAACGTACTTGATTTTAGTGAATATGTCGCCTTTTTGCGTGCTCAAAATTGCTTTAATTTTTTGTTAGGAATTTATTGTATATTTTTGTATAACTATTAGTATAATACACTGTAAATGGTGCTTCTAATAAACTGTTACAGTGATGCGCGTTTGTGCTATTATTAGATCGTTGAGAGTAGTTCAATTTGAATTTGCAGTCAGAAAATAAATGGTTCATGTTGTCCAAATAGTGGCACACTGTCTTGAATTATTTGCGACGACTCTACCGAGCCAAGTTTGTGCCGGTCATGTAGGTACTGTGCTGTTATAATTTTATAATTTAAATAGTTATTCCCAGCTGCAATATGGCAAACCATTCCGTCCGTCATGTGTGACGATGATAGTATATATGGTACAGCGGTGTCAGCGTTCATTAGACCTGTCGCCGATTCTGAACATCGCAGAATATTCACTGCTTGTGGCGGGCCTCGAACACGCAACTCACTAGCTGCTCCAATTTTTCTGTGCTCTACCGCTCAATCACCTTGCCTATATTTGACTAGAACTAGCAGGAAGCTGCAGGGATCAAAGCCATAGCTTAATGCTCTAATCCTGATACTCTGAATTGTAACCATTGGGCCATGAACGTTGCAAAGCATTCTGTCCGTGATGCGTGACGATAATGAAAGTTGCATAACGAATTTAGTGGCAATTTGTTTCATGTGTTTTTGCCCAAATTATTGAAGAATATTCTAGCTATAACTTTAAATTGTGGGCTCGTGGTAGCTATTTTGTTATAGTAACTATTTTTATAGTAAATATATTACTATTATCGTCTAAATTGGGTGACTGCCATCTTACTCGTGACATATCGAACTTCAATAAAAATGTTAGTCTAAATTTGTTTAAATCGATCTATATAGCTGAAAAGTCATCGATATTACGTAGTCTGACCCGCAAAAAAAAGTTTAATACTACTCATTTCTTCGAATTTTGGAATACTTTACTAAAGCTAATACTTTGAACACAAATGAAGCAGTGAAATTTATCCTGTCAAACACGAGATCCTATCAAGACTATAATGTATTTAGCCGCCTTCAGAATATATGAATCTTGTGCAGTACAGTATAAAGTGGAGGCAATTATTTGCTTTTAATCAATTTTAATTATTACCACTGTATGGAGAGCGGCAGAGTTTATCTTATCAGTATCTAAAGTTTTTTCGAAAGCTGTTCTCGATAGATGTGATAGCGTATAGCCCTTCCTTTAGAGCAATGTTAAATGTTTATTGTGGTGTAGAGCCGAAACAAATCGATCAACACACAAGTACCGACCTTGGTATCGGTTTCTCATATATTTTAATCTTCGAAGCTCTTCTTTTTAATCTTTAAAAGAAGAACTTTGAAGCTTAATATTCTTTTCTTGATCAACGATAAAGAAACTTCAGCATGATTCCATTTTGGATAACACTTGCACTTGGTGGGTGCAACCTTGGTCCATGGCCACCATTTGCTATTTTACTAAAGCTAAACGCAAAGCATACGAAGCATGATTCCTACAAGGAACATAAAATAATGGAGGGGATTTTTATACCAGTCATGCAGCCCACAACATCTGATAAAATGCATCTCAAACACTACTTCGCGCAAGAATAAATTATTTATGGTATGTTTTTGTGCATTTTCTGCACGTAATTTCGATTCGTAGACAAACAGAGTGAGACTCTATTTGACGGCTTCCATATCTACGTTAGAATCAAATTTTACGATGTTTAAGCGCTGAAAGATATAATAACGCAACGTGAGGCTTTCAGAAGCATAGTGAGTCTTAATATAATAACAGCTTGAAGCACACAAAGTATGAAAAAACTTATTCCAGTAAGTTATTGTGATGATAAGTATTTGTGACAGAATTAAGATCAATATCAATAGTATTTTTTCTTAGGGCTTGGGAAACACCTTGCGAAGAATTTATGAAAGTCGTTAATTTTACGTAAATTGAATTATACTAATACAGTTTTTCCTCGTTTACGAATACTGTTTTTCCTTGTTTTTGTGGTGGAGCAAGACCACAACGACGCAATTATGTCCTCGAGTCCCAGGCGCCACCACAGCGGGACCGCACCCCGGGAGGCAGTCAAACCACTGCGCTGGAGACCCTGTGAACCGGCCTTGGCTCAGCCGGCACGTAGCCTTCCTGACGCTTTAGGCTTAATAAAAAGACTTCGGGAAACTATTATGTCAAAGTTAATCCTTCATCGAACCTGAAGACCTTTGCACGAATGTTTTGTTTCGATTAATATTTTATTCCCAAATTACCTAATTCGAAGGGCATCATGATTTAGTAATTTGTATATGATATTCGAAGTAAAAACTACCGATCTATTGCCAGGCTAACCTGTTTATACCTGATGAAGCTTTATGCTAATAAGTTCTATTTTGGCTATCAGAAACTACACCTTCTTTAACCACTCTATCAGGATTGTGTCTAATTATTTTGCCCGAACATTAATTATTTGCCTGATGTCTTGGTGTGTAGGCATACAACTATTGGTGTAAAAAAATTGTCCAGTGCTTGCGCAATGATCGAAAGCAAGGCCAAACGGAACATAAAAATTCCAGGCTCTTATAGAATCTGGCACTTGGGCGTCCGGTTCAGTCCGGTAAGGTGTCGAAAATCGTTTTCTGGTCAGGCAGCTGGAATGCGAATGTGTTTTAATCCTTCTACTAGTAGTTAATTTTTTTATACTTACATTTCTGATATCTTAGTAGAACTGCAATATTGTGATTTTTATATGCGATTTTTTTTAATTTTACAGACATACACTGGAATATAATTTCTTGTTGGTCGCCCCCATCAAGCTTCTCGTATAAATGGCAACTGAAGGAAAAGTGAGTATATGACCAACGAATGTTTGTGGGCGTTGCTATAAACGAGTGATTTAGATCAATAATACAAATAAATGATAAAGTTATTGAAACTAACACTTTATTAAATTTCATTAATTTAATAGAATTTTTACTGCCCTTAATTCTTAAACTGTTTTATTAATACTGCCACTTCATTAAATTTCATTATTAATAAATTTTTAATACTCTGAATTCTCAAACTGTTTTCCGTTTCACAAAAAAATAAACGGATTAGGAAGTTGGCCTATAAAGCAGAAATATTTCGCACCGTAAATGTGAAGAAAAATTTGCTCGACAAAACCATGCACGGCAATGTTTAAGATACATGAAATAAATTACCTTTGTGTGTAATTCTTAAGATTTTCGAGTATTGGGAAACAAGTGTTTGAATCTATCAATTTATAATTTACATCGTCGATTACATTTGTGAAAAATTTACCATGCGTGATGTGGAATATCAAATTACGAAAGATACATTTTGAAAACCACTGATTTAGCTAGCGAATTCATATTATTTGGCTGAGGTTTTATTATGACAGCTCCTTAATTGTTAGCGATGATATGTTGGCTCAGGAATTCTACGAATGCTTCCATAAACTATCAGTCTAATCACGGAAGTTATTCGCCAAAATAGTTTAGACTATATCGTTGTTTCGTTGACGCTCTTAATATTTTGTCTTGCTCATCGCAACACATAAGATATCCATATTAACACGTAACATTGCAGGTGATCCGCTGTAAAGCTGCCGTGGCGTGGGCGGCCAAGCAGCCTCTTGTGATTGAAGACGTGGACGTCGCGCCACCAAAACAAGGAGAAGTTCGCATCAAGGTGGGTTATGGCTTCCATATCTAGGTAGGTTATGGCTTCCATATCTAGGTAGGTTATGGCTTCCATATCTAGGTGGGTTATGGCTTCCATATCTAGGTGGGTTATGGCTTCCATATCTAGGTAGGTTATGACTTCCATATCTAGGTGGGTTATGGCTTCCATATCTAGGTAAGTTATGACTTCTATATCTAGGTGGGTTATGCCTTCCATATGTAGGTGGGTTATGGCTTCCATATCCAGGTAGCCTAGGTAGGTTATCGCTTCCATATCAAGGTAGGTAATGGGCTAATGGCTTCCATATCCAGGTAGCCTAGGTAGGTTATAGCTTCCATATCCAGGTAGGTTAAAGCTTCCATACCTTTAACTAGAGCTATAACCAGTACAAGAAGACCTTATCCACCTCAGGCTCCTTTCTTAGCGGCGTTGTTTTCATAATATTGACCGCGTAAATGGTTGAAAATTGAACAATGACCAGTTCGTCAACCCGACCTTTGACCTGGCCCAAACCTGACGAAACAAAACACGTGTTTTACTAAACAGTTCTAGGTAGGCCAACTGGTAAACTCGCGTGACTAATCGCCTACATGTAAATAGCATGAGATTATTTCTTCGTAACTTGAATGAACTCGAATAATATGAACTTGCACGTTGCAATATCGTTCAAGTTCCAATTTAGGAAATATTAGTGTGCCAAAACCACAGCGAATCGACCCTAGCTCATGTTGACTTTTGGCAGGCTTTTAACTTTAAAATTTAGGAAAAAGCTAGTTGAAGATTTTTGAGGTAATCTCAGTTATCCAATAATCTATTAGCATCTGCAGTGGCTATGGTTAGTTTGAAGCCTGAATGGACAGTCTACATCGTGATACCATTAATATTTGCCAAAATCTGGTACAGCACTCTGGTACTAATGAAAAAAAAAACTTACCTTATAATTGGGGTTAAGGGTTGAATCATTAAATTTGAACCATACCAGATCGTAGCTACGGGCGTGTGCCACTCAGATGCCACGGGCCTGAAGGGCGTTGGTCAAGGCATCCTCAAGGGCATATTCCCCGCCATCCTCGGGCACGAGGGGAGCGGGATTGTTGAGAGCGTCGGGCCCGGAGTCACTAATGTCAAACCAGGTGGAAGATCTTAGGAATGCATTCAGAAATTAGATGAAAAGTAGCATTTTAGCACGATAGAGGGCTGAATACTTTGACCATGGAGACTTTGCGATAGGCTCGCAAATGCGTTGTTTAGCTGTTCAAAAGTATGTCCCATGATTATTAAGGAGCTTACGCAAGATAGGCATAATCTGTTATAAATATAAGGTATCTTAAATTGTTGCATAATCTCACGACTGATCAAGTGATAGCTTGAATATCGCGCTTGCCTTTGATCCGACACACATACTCGTAGAGATGATCGTTAGTTATGCTCCAGGTGACCATGTCATCCCTCTGTACATGGCTGAATGCGGTGAGTGCGACAACTGCAAGTCGCCCAAGACGAATTTGTGCACCAAGATCATCGCCATGCAAATGAAAGGCTTCATGTCGGACGGAACTTCGCGGTTCACCTGCAAGGGCAAAGTCCTCCATCACTACATGGGCACCTCCACCTTCAGCCAGTACACGGTTGTGGCTGATGTCGCGGTAGTAAAGGTTGGTCGGAGTAGTAGCTTTTGTTCTGTAGTAGCAGTAGAGTAGCAAAAACATTGGTTTACAAATTATATAGTAGGATTGTTCTTAGTAGATGCTGTATATTAGGAAAAAGACCGCCTGTGAACTAATATGAAAACTCTCGTCTGCCAAGTTTTGTCTAGAGTCTAGACCGTGAGATTTCCAGACGTACGAAGTTCTCCCAGAGGACAAATCTTAAAACCTCCCGTGACTACGAGGTTAGAATGTTATTTATTCACCACAGTCAATGTATTTGGTTAGCATTATATTTTCAGTTGAATAGTACAGTTTTTAAATGTGAGATGGAATCGAAGTATCTTCTGGTGAGCATCAAGCAAAGTCAGACGTAATCTCTCAGTTAGTGACAACAATGACAAATATCACTAATTTTGTGTGAATTAGTTCTCTTTTTGAAGTCTTTAATCACGCTGCTTCCTTGTCGTCGCGAACACGACAGCATGTTGCCACTTAGATTACTGTTCCCACTGTCAGAAAATTACGATTTCCTACAAACACGTTACACTGATCCTGTTATTTGATCCGATTTTTTCTTCTACGGAAGAAAAAAATGTTTCAGATTCATTTCCGATGGGTATATGTTTATTCAATCCGATGTTCAATATGTATCAGAAATAAATAAAAAATGCTAGGAAAAATTCGAACGGATAATTTGACGCGCACATGTTTTACAAATAGCTCTCGGAAGATGTTTTATAATTTACTGCCGGTCTGTTGCAGATCCCAGATTCGCTGCCATTGGAGAAGGTATGCCTGTTGGGCTGCGGCGTCAGTACGGGCTATGGAGCTGCCATTAACACCGCGAAGGTAATAACAAAGCTTGTGCGTAAATGTTTGTATTGTGCGTAAATGTATTTGTAGAATAGTTATCACGTACAATGTATGAACAACATAGAATATCGAGACACAATGTTTCAATAAAGCAGCCACAAGATATTAGCTTCGGCTGAAAGCTCACTATCAATTTTGCTTTAAAATAAACTTGGTTATGTATTCGAATTTGAAAATTTTCTGCAGGAAGCGTATTTTATCGTATTCATGATCGCCATTTTATAATTTTCTTAATAAATAATTAGACTAGTGGACTACTGAATCGTTTGATTATGAATTTGTTTACAAATGCAACTATAAATACAGGAATTTTTCGGTGAACCAAAATACTCAGGTCTAACTATTTGTCTTTAGGTGGAGGAAGGGTCCACGTGCGCCATTTGGGGACTGGGTGGGATCGGTAAGAATCGGCAACAGGCCATGGGCCTATGTCTTCAACGCCGACACTTCTATTCTATTCTATTCTATTCTATTCTAATATGTACTACAGGTTGTAGCCACGGGCGTGTGCCGCACGGATGCCACCAGCCTGAAGGGCATCGGAGAAGACCTCATTGAGGGCATCTTCCCCACCATCCTCGGCCACGAGGGGAGCGGCATTGTTGAGAGCGTCGGGCCCGGTGTCACTCATGTCAAACCAGGCACGTTCATTCCGTAATTAATGCATTTATGTCCTTCCTAAATTCCTAAACATGTCCTTCTCTATAAATTGTGTCGAACCACTTCGTTATTGACCTGTATTTTACGTCTAGAAGCCATGCAGGGGCTTAACTTTGCGAAGCCAAATAATTTTCCCTAAATATTTTCATTCCTCATGTAAAAGTTTGAATGGCAAATTTCTTTTAATCTGACAGCTCATATCGTAGAATTAATCGTTAGTTATGCTCCAGGTGACCATGTCATCCCTCTGTACATGGCTGAATGCGGCGAGTGCGACAACTGCAAGTCGCCCAAGACGAATTTGTGCACCAAGATCATCGCCATGCAAATGAAGGGCTTCATGCCGGACGGAACTTCGCGGTTCACCTGCAAGGGCAAGGTTCTCCATCACTACATGGGCACCTCCACCTTCAGCCAGTACACGGTTGTGGCTGATGTCGCCGTTGTCAAGGTGGGTAGCAGAAATATGTTAGACGAAGAGGTTTTGGGGCCGGGTAGGAACACGGTCCGAGGTAGAGTTGTGTATATATACTGGTAGTATTTTTAGTAGCATTCACGTTATTAGAGTGGCAACATTTAGATAGGTCATAATAGTGCATTCATAGTAGCAATAGGAACAGTAAAAGTTTAGTAACGTTATTATTTGAAGATTTGATTAATACACACTACCATTACAGAACGCGTATTATGTTCTCATCAATTGTTTATAATTTTCCCATACATAGAATACAAAATATTCAATTGCTTGCATATGAATTGACGTGTGAACACATCTACATATACTGACTTGAATTCCACTTGTGGCCGATACATTCAAGTACATTCCAGAACTAGGAACAAATGTTTGCTGTTTCAGATGATTGCCACTGCAAAAATAATTACTAATTACGACCATACAAATACGGAAAATACAATGTATAAATGTATTTACTGTATTGGCTTCAGTTTCCTCGATCCTCTTCATCTATGGACCACAATTGCTTGTGGACTTGAATCTTCTCTATAGTCTCTCTCATCTTGAATCTTTTGTCTTCTTGACAAGATATCTTATACGGTTGGGACGTGAGACCGATAGATGTTCTCAACTCGGACAGATTTACGAACCTCCCGTGACTATAAGCTTAGAAGAGAGAATATCATTTTAACCACCATCAATTTTTTACAACACTTCTCTTCAATTTCACTCGTTGTTTGTTTGTCTGCTACAAATCTTATAATCGGTATCCAACACTCTTCTACCTCTCCAATCGATCTGAAATTTTGCACACTTGTGTAAAGTTGGAGAAAATGCATGAATCAATTGACAGAATAAATAATATTGAAAATGTAAATAAAACTATTTTTGATATTAAAAAAATAAAAATAAATAATTTTGTTTGCTCCATAACTTATAATCGATATTTAACACACTTCTACCTGTCCAATCGATCTGAAATTTTGCACACTTGCGTAAAGTCGGAGACAATGCATGTATCAATTGACAGAATAAATAATTTTGAAAAATATTAAATTTTTTATTTTATTTTATTAATAAAATTAATTTTTTAATATTTCATAATAAAATTGGAAATCGGAGACACTGGATTCTTCAGAAGTGTTGTCTTTAAAAAGTAATTTTTAAAAGCATATCATTAGAAGTTGACGTTCAGTTACTAGATCAAAGGATGTCAACCATGCAACTGCAAGATGATATGTTTTCTCGGTGGACAGCTAGATAGTAAATAGAAATAAATAAAGGTCCAGTCTTTCCCACCGTCAATTTATTATATCACCACTTAGTTATTAGGTCGTAGGTATATGTTTTCAGGATAAGTTAGGGTTACGTGTTACAATTACTTTTCGACCGAGTATCAAGCAGAGGTCTTCACAATTCGTTAAGCTATTTAAACTAGGGCACTTCAATTTTCTATTGCGTCGCTGTTTTCTTGCCGTCGCGCGCGGGTCGACAGAAATAGTCCACCTCATGGATTACTTTGAATGTAGTCACTAACACGTCATGCTNCAAAGTATTTCGTTTGATTATATTTAGCGTCTTTGAATTTGAACTGATAAATTCGAAGTCATTTATTGTAAAATTTTATTGAAGGTAAATAAAATTTGTCAACAGGGCTGGGGACAATGCATCGTGCTCGGTGTGCCTCCTGCAGGATCTAACATGAGCTTGCCGCCCTTCTCCTTCCTCTACGGCAAAACCATGAAGGGCTCCGTTTATGGCGGTACGATGAAATAAATATTTTTCCATTATTTTTTTCTATCCGGAGCTCAATGTTAATCTGTTAGACTCAAGTAATGATATTATTACATATTTATAGATAGATTATTACGATATTATTATATATTATTTATAGATGTTAGATATTGTATAATTTTCAGTTGTTCTATACATAGAATAATAAAAATAATAATAATAATAACATAAGAATAAAACCAGTTGTTATCATCAATAAATTCTCATTAACTTGTTGTGTATCTTGTTGTTCGATGGCGGCGATATGATTCGATTCTTGGGCCGAATGTTGGAGCCGAATCTTCTTATAGATAGCAGAACACACTTAATATAGTAAAATTAATGTTTTTTTAATAAAATAGGCCAATGATTTTTGCCTGATTCCTTTTGAGGTATTCATTGGATCAAAAAAGTTTTGTTTACAATTGCAGGCTGGAAGTCGCGGTCGAGCATGCCACGCTTGGTCAAGGACTACCAGGAGAAGCGGATCATCCTGGATGAGTTCGTGACCTTCACTAGGCCGCTCGCCAGAATCAACGATGGTTTTGAGCTCATGAATGATGGCAAGGCGATCAGGACTGTCATCGACATGTTTTAAATGATTATTGTGTTGCTTTGTAACAAGATGATATAGCTTCCATCAAAAATTAATTTTTGCGAAATTAATATTTTGTGAAATTTCATTTTTCCCTAGATTTTGAGCTCACGAATGATGGCAAGGCGATCAGGACTGTCATCGACATGTTTTAAATGATTATTGCAGTATTTCGTAACAAGATGAAGTGAAACTATTCACAAATTCGATTCATGGTTTAAAAATCAATATATTACGAGAAATCATCTGTCGGGCAACCTATGCTACGAAAATAATTAGAACTGTTGTGAGGTAGATGTTATATTAAATAAAAACTAAACTTTGACTGTTTTGTTTATTTCTTACCAATGACGTCATAATCAAGAAATTCCACTGAATTGACGGTGGATGAATAATGTTCTAATTTATTAGGGAATGTACCTATTAAACTGAAATAATAAAGAACTGGAAACAAGAACAGTTGCTTTTTATTTTAACAATTGTTATGGTAGTTAGTTAGTTATTAGTTAATTATTTTTTCTTACGTTTATACGCTAACCATGTATGCACTAACACAATCGCAGTAATGACGTTAAAATTCTCATTGTTGGAAATTCTAATGATCTTTATTAGGTAGTACCGAAATTTAGGCGAATGCCACTAATAACCAAAAATGCATTCGGAGTTTTAATGAAGAAAATATACATTCGATATAAATTATGTCAAATTGCGGAAATTCGAACTCGGGGATTCCGATGTTTATAAACCAATTTGTCGCTCTGTCGTGGTCACCGTCTCGCATGTTACGACGCATGATCGGCGATCGCATCCAATTCCAATTGCCACATGGCTTTGGTTAGGTGCTGTGCTTGTGTTTGTTTTGTGAGGTTGAGAGCTCAGAGATGTGGCGGCGGAAGTCCTAGTTCCTGATTGTTCATATTGAATGTGTTAGGTATTATGCCAATTCTTTATTGCTTCTGTACTGTTACGTTGAAAGTTCACTTCACGCTCCACATTAGAAGGCAATCAAATTCAAAGCATTTAGCTAGGCCTATTTTGTGGGTACTGGGCATAGTGGCAAACCAGAGATTTTTTAGACTCAGTTAATTTTTAATTTCCTCATTTACTCAATATTTAGACCAATTTCTTATGTATGATAAATTGATAATGCTGGTATCCATGATAGTGATGATACTTTGCAATAATAAATAATAATTCAGTGTGGAATTCTGTCTAGGTAATATATTCTCATGTTAACATGAGAAAATGTATTGAAAAACCTACCCTACCAACCAGTACCACGCATGGTGGAATTCTGACAAGAGAGGTACTTATGGCGCTCCGGGGGGAGGGGGGCGCTCCGGGGGCTGTCTCTTATACACATCTAGATGTGTATAAGAGACAGGTTTAGGGCAATTACTTTTCATTCTATGTTGCCTGGTGCACAATACTATCTATGACTTTCTATGCACAATTTGGTAATATGTCCGATGATGCATTAATTTTTTGTTAAGTGAAATTTTTTGCTGAACAAGATGAATGTAATCAAAATTTTTTGTTGTTAATTGATTTTTTCATTAACTGGAGCCTTTGCTAATCAAGGTTCTACTGTAAATGCATTTTTAGGGTGTCCCTTATTACCCCATCTTGTGGAAATGGCCAACGTTCTTTTTTTTTTGTTATGAGAAACAAAAATTCCATCAATCATGTTTGCTTGTAATCTTAGCAGAGAAATGTGAGTAATTTGTTCTAAAAATATATTAGTTATGAGTTAGATGCAAAATTTTATCAATAAATGCTGCATATGGTATTACGTGATACAATGTTATCAAAGTTATTCAGATCATGAAATATTTAGCCCAGTTCCTAATGGGACCAAGCTATAATTTTTCACATACAAAGAAAAATAAACATTTGAATATATTTTTTATTATTTACATCACAAGTGATAATATTCTCACAGGAAATCAGAGAAAAATTCAAAAATCAGCATTAATGGGTTAAGCCAACACCTGTGGCTGTGGGCAACTTTATTGCATAGTGACAAACCAGAGATTTTTGGAATCATTTCATTTTCTAATTTTCTCAAGATTTACACCAAATTCTTATGTATGATAATGCTGGTATCCATGATAGGTACCTACTTTGCTGGTCTACTTATAGGACTCAAAAATGAACTTGAGGGAGAGTCTAAAAAACTGTCTGCTTTGCTAGTAAGCCACTATGCTTTATTCCCACTGTGCAGAGAGTGGTTTAATATTGCAAGATCTTTGGCGGCGCTTCAGTAGCAAAATTTACGCCTTTAGAAGATCTTGCCAACACATTTAGATTGAAATTCTTGCATTTAATAAATTTGCCAGTCTTCGGCCAAATATTTAGAAAAAAGTAAGGTTTCCGGTATGTTGGATGGATCAGGATGCAGTGAAGCTTGTCCAGAAATCAGTTGCTATGAGTTCCTGCCAAAATATCCTACCCAAACGTAAACAACACGTTTACGATTGCGCAAGGCTGGAAAAGTCCTATTTTTGTCTGAAATATAGTGGCTCTAACATATAATTTCAGTAGGTATGAAATCTCACGGCTCGAATGTCATAAATTTTTGATTGCTTGAAAAATCGCGGTTTGCACTTCACAAACATGTCATTTCATAAAATTTTTAACTTCTGCAATCTGCATTGCTTTACCGTTCCCACCAAAATTCAGTTGTGGCTCGCTAAGTAGTTATATTCCATGCCTGGGGTAAACATGATATATTCCGAATCGGACATCGTGGGTAATTCCGACACATCTCTAGTTTTTTCTTTACATTAAGCTTTGTCTTAGTTCCACGCATTTGTTGATGGCTGAAATAGTGACGTCATACTCATACCTTTGCGCATAGTGGCAAACCACAGCTTTTTTAGAATCAGTTCATTTTTAATTTCCTTGTTTACCCAAGTTTTAAATCAATTTCTTATGTATGATACTGCTGGTATCCAGGATACTTTACTGGTCTACTTATAGGACTCACAAATGAACTTGAGGGAGAGTCTAAANGGTGCTGGTTTACAACTTCCAAGTGATTAGGTACTTTATAGAAACTGAGCGAGTTAGCGTACGTGTTTTAAGCCTTTAAGAAGTTCATTTTTTGCCTCAAATAATGATGTTGGATAGAAAAAGTGGTCTTGGTGGATCGAAATAATATATGAACCTTCGAAATTAGAATTCCATCCTGACTTTGCTTGTCTATGTACTTTAGGACTCATACTGTCATAGGGTAAACGCAGTAGGGTAAACATGATATATTCTAAATCCGACATCGTGGGTAATTCCAACACATCTCTAGTTTTTTCTTTACATTAAGCTTTGTCTTAGTTCCATGCATTTGTTGATGGCTGAAATAGTGACGTCATACCTTTGCGTGCCAAAGCGGCCAAACTACTGCCAAAACAGTCCAGGGCTGGAAAAGTCCTATTTTTGTCTGAAATATTGCGGCTCTAATATCATATTATTTCAGTAGGTATGAAATCTGGCGGCTCAAATGTCATAAATTTTTGTTTGATTGAAAAATCGCGGTTTGCACTTCACAAACATGTCTCTTCATAAAATTTTAAACTACCGCAATCTGCATTGCTTTACTGTTCCTGCCAAAATATTCTGCAGAAAAAAACATAAACATCGTAATGTAAACAAATCAACTAAACATTTTGTTGAAGAATGAAGATCGTGCATAGTTGCGGTCATGTCAAAGCAGTCAGACTGCATCAACACGTGCTCAACTTCCAGTAAAGACAAATTTTATCTTTGCCATTTGACTGTTTTAGGAAAAATTTGAGATTTGGGGTAACATGTCATGTGCATGGACTTTGTAAATAAATTCGCGCCTCGTAAATGGCTTTTCATGACCGACTGCCGAGATATGGAATTCACAGCTCGGTGAAATGGAATCATGGCTCAAAGAAATGGAATCACGGCTGGCAAATCCATAAAACCAAGGCTCAAAAAATTCAGTTGCGTCTCGCCAAGTAGATATATTCAATGCCTGCAAAACACTAGGTTTAAACTGTCTGGCGGGAAAATGTTGAGATCTAAAGAGAGACAGTGCATGCCACCCAGTGAGATCATCATAAAAGGTGTCAAAGTTGATAGTTGACCTTGCTCTACCAAATAGTGATAAACTTTTTGTGTTGAAAGAATATAATGGTTTGAGACTTTTAAATACCTACGTCTGTGAATATATTAGGAATCCTTTAAGTATACTTGTATTTGCTGATTTCAAGTGGTAAATAAATTACCGGTAATAGATGATTAAGTTGAGAAACGGATTTAGACACATAAAAACTAATTTCGACACAACTTGAATTGGACACACACAGCTCGTTCCAAGCTGTGTGCAAAAATTAAAAATCAATTCATAACCATAATTTTGATTACCTATATTTACCTTGCTCATCAAAAAAAATTTTGCTTAACAAAAAATTAATGCATCATCAGTCAGCACAAAATTGCGCAGAGAATGTCATAGATAGAATTGTGCACTGGGGCCAGGCAACATGAAATAAAAACTCAGCGGGTAGGAAAAGTAATCAACCTAAACTATGATTTATTGCTGCAAAAAACATGATGGATGTTACTAGAATATATTTTTTCAAGTATGTTTTTACAATTTTTTCTTGTTGTCGTGAATTCACTTGACCCAATTATAAAGGTGTGAAATTACAAGCCGTCCTGTAAGCTTCAAGCTTGCAGACACAGAAAAGTGCTATACAGCTGCTGATATGAAGCTTGCAGTGGACAAGGTTGTTGTAAATGCTCAATGGCATGTTCATCAGCTTATGTATATGGTAATATCACATCAATAATACAGTAATGAATGTATAAGGTAATATCATATCAAAAAAGGAAAAAACAAGTAAAAAGCACAGAATATGTCATTTATTCTACATCTACTTCATCTACAAAGGAAGAAGGATTTAGATTACTGTTAGTAATAGATGAGTACACTCTCCATGCTTCAAACATCTTAAAATTGAGTTTTATTTCAAGTGTCCCAGATTACCCTGTTCCCAGGGGTAATTCGGGACACTTTTATTTTGCATCCGGCACCTTACAGATAGCATATGGAATTTTTTTTTCAACCTAAACTATGATTTATTGCTGCAAAAAACATGATGGATGTTACTAGAATATATTTTTTTTTTTCAAGTATGTTTTTACAATTTTTTCTTGTTGTCGTGAATTCACTTGACCCAATTATAAAGGTGTGAAATTACAAGCCGTCCTGTAAGCTTCAAGCTTGCAGACACAGAAAAGTGCTATACAGCTGCTGATATGAAGCTTGCAGTGGACAAGGTTGTTGTAAATGCTCAATGGCATGTTCATCAGCTTATGTATATGGTAATATCACATCAATAATACAGTAATGAATGTATAAGGTAATATCATATCAAAAAAGGAAAAAACAAGTAAAAAGCACAGAATATGTCATTTATTCTACATCTACTTCATCTACAAAGGAAGAAGGATTTAGATTACTGTTAGTAATAGATGAGTACACTCTCCATGCTTCAAACATCTTAAAATTGAGTTTTATTTCAAGTGTCCCAGATTACCCTGTTCCCAGGGGTAATTCGGGACACTTTTATTTTGCATCCGGCACCTTACAGATAGCATATGGAATTTTTTTTTAAATGCCATATGATAGCCCTCGCAAAGAGCTACAAAATGAGCCAAAACTTGTTTATGAAATGTTTCATGGTAAGAAATTATTAACAAAAAATGCTCAAAACTGTCCCTCATTAATGGTACCCCATTTGACGGTACTATTAATGTCTACTGTGATGGGTCAGGAAAAGTCCTACTTTTTTCTGAAATATTGTGGCTCTATTATCATATAATTTCAGTAGGTGTGAAATCTTGTGGCTCAAATGTCATGTTGATGACATGTCATGTATTTTTGTTTGATTGAAAAAAATAGCGGTTTGCACTTTTGAAAACCTGTCATTTCATACAATTTTTAACTTTCACAATCTGCAGTACTCTAATGCTCCCGCTAATATATCCTGCAAAATATAATGTTGAAAAGTCAAGCAAGACGTTGATACCAATGTGTCCAAGACGTTGATACCACCATGGTATAAACGAGTTATGTTGAGTTCCTGTGCCATCAACGTACATGAAGAAGAAATTTAGGACACTTATACACAAGCTGGGATATCAAAGCTGAACTGTTGCTCATTGATTTACAGATGGATCAATTGAATAATTTAATCTCAACTATTTTCCTCCTATAAATTATAAGTTAGAATTATTTCATTCGACCCTGCAAGTTTGAATGAATTGTAAGAAGATAAATTGGAAAATTAGGAATGTATATTCAAGATTTTGTTCAAATCTCTTCAGTACTTTGGACGAAATGTCTTGTTCACTGCAAATTTTGGCATGTATTGCCATATAACTTGCAAATGAAGGCAACATTTGAAAATTTTTCACAAGCTTAGCATCACTGCTAGGTCCAAATGAATGCTCATAAAATTATGTTTAAACACTAAATGTAAAAATGAGGTGAAATAATGGAAAAATGATAGGTACAGATAGGCAAATGATAGGTAAATGATAATTGATAAGTACTAAATTAGCATTATCAAGTACTGAAGTGAAGTAGTAGTACTAGTAGTAGCCTAGGCCCCAAGCTGACTCGCACTAAATTTTAACTCACTAAGCACTTCACGAGTTTCACTACTCACTAGTAAGGAAATCAGGACAGGAGGCCTTAGTGGAAAAAATGCAGCATCAAAAAGATTAAACTGTCTGTTCCAAATCTGTTGCAAGGTATTTCAGTGAAAAAATTGCCACTAATTCTGCAGGGTAATAAAAAAGTTATCTGATGTATTGCAAAACTCCATGGAGGAGAAGCAAGTCCAAAATCTTTGGAAAAATCAAATGAAGCAAGAAGCTAGGAATTGTGCAAGCTAATTGCATCAGCTGTATACCAGGGCACAAAAAAGCAGTAGCATAACGTGAACGCAACCAGTTGCATGACTCACAGACTGTATATATACAAGACAACTTGACACTTTCACACCAGAACTAGGTACTACTTCAGAATGTGATTGGGTATCAAATACAGATATTAAACTTTATCATTCAACTTTTCAAGCAAACCTTCCAAAATATATGAAAATAAATGTCAAGATTGTCTGTGTTGCATTTCTTTACAACAAAATAAATTATTTTGCTCTAACGTGCTTTCCCCATATGAAAATTAAGATAAAGTTTAGTGTGGCTCTTGTAGAACATTACCATGCTGTCATCAAAACCTGATTTCAATCATTCCTGCATTAAAACAAAGGATTGATTTGGCAACTGATTACTGAGTTATTGATTTTTTAATTTGTAAGTATTCAGAGAGTATGTGTTCAGAAAGAGTTCTAAGTGCTCAGAGTAAAAAAAAATTAATGAATATTTTTTTGCATTAACCGTGATAAATGCATACTTTTGATTGTATCTGAATGATCCTCTAAATAAGATATTTTAGTATTCATTTTTTTTTGTGGATCACAATTTGTGTATGCTGTATTGTATTGCTCTGCCAACTCTGAAAAAATGGCAACTCGCTCCAACTCCTTACTTTGACAAATGACACTTATAAAGTTACACCTCATCCTAAATATGAAATCTCAAAAAAAAAAAAAGAATTATAAATAATTTCTTTGAATTTATCTTTACATTTAATATAAGAATTGTTGTTGTTGTTGTTATATTAAAAAGAATTTAAATAAGAATAGTCATCTTTGATCTAAAATTAAATTATTGAAATTCCTAATTTCAGTTGGTCAGAAGTCCTGTCTCCTGCCCCTATCTCCCCCAAAACATATGTGTTAAAAACATTTGTGCTCCTAACTGTATGTGGCAATTGCATTATAATATGCAAATTGGATTGCACTACTTGAAATACATAGGTCGTATGGGTGTAAGATGTTGTGATTGTCATTTTAGTCAAGCCAATTAAGTATGCACAGTAATTGCTGTCAGTTGAACTTGGAAATAAAAAATATTTCCAAAAAATAAAATATTTCCTATGGCACTTCAAGGCATAAACTGCTGGTCTACTGTACTGGATCTTTTGTTTTGGTCCATGTGCTGTTCATGCTCGTACCTAGTTTAAAGTAGATGTATGCAGAAAACAGCATGCTGAGCAATTCAAAACATTGCAAGATCAAACCAACAAATTTTGTCCTGTCAGTCTTGACATGCAGTACGTATGTTGTTCTGCTCTCTCTTTGTCAACAAAACTGTGCCACTGCTTTTTAGCATGATTGAAAGAGCATAGCTTCTTGGGTTTTATGTGGCATTCAAACCCTACAAATCCTAATTCTCATTAGTATTATATGATTTTATTGACAAGCTGCAAGTTGAGTGCAGTAGCTGCTAAGTGGGAACTTATGTAGCATTGTAGGTAGTTAAAGAGATTGACAGCAGCAGGAATTGAACTCTTGGTCAATAATGGGCATATGTGCATCACCATGCAGTGCAAGGATATTATCATGTTGCCAACATTTGATGTATAGCCATCAAACAAACACTTATATAGATGTTTGATCATAAGAATATGATCTTGGTGCCCCAGCTGCTGACTATTATTGTAGAATGATGAGACTTTCTTTAACATTATTTTATTCGATGTTAAGAAACTGACAATGAAAATTCCATTTCTAATTCCAATGTTCTTATTACAGTGCAAAACATTTCCAATTTTATTATTTGTAATAAAATATATAACCAATATGGGCTTGCGCAGCAACAAGAAGGTGAGTTTTCTTTTTATACAGTAAAACCTTTGTGTGATATAATATAAATATATATATAGGTAGTGAAAATCTGGTTGTTTTCATGGCAAATGCTGCAGTAAGTTGGCTTTTGATAATTAGTTGAAAACAAGATCCTCAAAGCATAGATGATAAGTGTTGACATTTCATAATACTTAAAGGGCCAATTGATTTAGACATTTAATATATGATTATAAATCTAATTGATATAGATATATATATATATATGATTTTAGACATATGTGATGTTTAAAATAGATTTCCTAGTATGATTTACTGATTTTATTAGGATGGTTTTTTTTCAAAACTAATAAATAACCCTTTTACAAGCATAACTTAAGTTTCTTCAATATTTCAGAAAAGGCGTCAAAAGAAAAGCCCCACAGCTGTGTCATCATCGGCTCAGAGAGAAGTAGCTAAAGGTCCTCGTATATTGGTTATAAAGAGAGGCACTGTGGGTCTGGGCGTGCAACAGCTGCTTAATGATGTCCAGACAATGCTTGCTCCTAGTGTTATCCAATCAATTAAGGTAAGGTGTTCAGTTATTCCAGAGGATTATTAGCTCTTGTTGATTTATTTTTTCATACTGTTATATGTCTGCTATGTTTTTCAATATTTTAGTAATGCCTAGAAAGTTTTCCAATGATGTTCGTGATGATGGATCTGTAATTGCCTTGTAACTGTTACTTGTGCATACAATGTTTTGTATATTCCATTTCAATATACACAGTAAAAATGTTCCAAATTGCATTGTATTTCTCATGTTTGTGAGGTAATAGTGAGCATTTACTGCTCTTGCCTCTGATGAGTTTCTCTCCATAGGTATCAAAGAGATGAAGAGATATTGTCATTAAGTGACGTTACTAAGTTGTATTTCATTTTTATGTGAATGTTGTTTATAATTTTTTGGTTGTTTTCAGGTGCTGCGTAGTAGCAGAGTAAAGGATCTGGTCAAAGCCTCTGGACCTCTACACATCACACACACCATTATTTTCACCCGTACATCTGAAGGAGCATACATGAAGCTATGTACTATGCCAAGTGGTCCAACAATAACTTTTATGTAAGTTTACGTGTGTACATATTATAAATTGACAAACTATGTCTATAGGCGATTTGTTTAGTAATTTCCATAATCCAAAATTTATTATTCTATATTTTTAATGCTGCTCAAATATCTATTGCACACTGTTAGCTTCTTTGCAGTTCATCCTGTAGTATTAATTTGTTGTGTTGTTTCTTCACAGTTTCTTGTAGGGATCTGTCAGCATTTTAATCTCAATTCAAACACATTAGTTATATCTTGTTAGTCAATGCTTACGTATATTAGGTATAGGTATATCCTACCTTGTTTTTATGACTCAGTTTGTTTACTTCTGAGTTAACAGCATTTCATCAAAACAACGGCAGTGAACTAGCATCAACTTTATATGATCTAACAGTTTGTTTAATTTTTCAGGATTTGCCAGTATTCGCTGATGAAAGATGTGCGTGCAAGTCAAAAGAGACCAACAAGTCTACCGCCCATACCGCGCCTCACTCCTCCCTGCCTCATGATGAACAACTTACAACCTGACGCTGGTCCCAAGCACATGCAGCTCGTTGCTGCCTCCATGCTACAAATTTTCCCTAAAATTCTCCCAGATCAGGTAATGTCTTCATGTAATATATCTACTTTTGGGGTGATAGTAGGTGAATTTTTTTCTAATTTGCTGAGTATTTATCCTGAATTAGCTTGCCTGTGAATCCATTTAAAAATAGAAGATAGAACCTCATTTATTTACTTTCTTCTCCTACCTTGTTTATCCTCTATATGGTGGGAAGAATTTAACTTTATAACATACAAGTATATATTATGCCATTTCAGCAATCATGTGTTCTAAGAAATGTGTTTCGATTTTTCTATTCATAATTCATTTATGTTTTAACAGTCGAGCTGTGAGAACATCAAGCGCTGCTGTCTGTTGTACTACGACCCCGCCACAGAGCTGCTCGACTTCCGCCACTACGCCATCCACCTCGCAAGCTCCACCTCGTCCAAGCTCATATCCGTGCTCATTAACAAAAACAAGATTCCTGATCTACACAAATTTGAGAGTATTGAGGATGCCTTAGACAAGTCAGTTCTTTACCCAATATATTAATTGTTGTTGACGTTTTGTATCTGTAAGATAATTATAGTTGATAAATAATTTTCAAATAAAATATTTTCATGTAGGACAGGAGCTGAGGATAATCAACAAACTTTACTGACAAATCTGCATGTGATTTAAAAGTTTTTTTTCTTCAAATTATTGATTTTCTGCTAATGGCGTAAGAAAGAGTCTACCCAAGTTTGGTCTTTGAGAATAAGTATATTATCTGGTGGCTATATATGTTCATGTGTAACACATTGACGCTAATAAGACTGAATAAAACGAATAGTTTGTCCTGCGATCGCAACATCGAGTGTATATTTCATGCAATTAATGATCAATTTGAAATTTAAAATGTGCAAAATCTAGTAAGAAACCTCTCGGAAACTAATTAAATGTGGTACTAATTAATAACGTCAATAATGTATTGTATGATAACCACATGAAATCAAACGATGAGAAAGAAAGACAGAAACACGCGCGTTGCACTGAGATGTGTGACTTAAAAACAATTGTTAAGAAGTGACAACAGAAGTAATTACTGGTAACAGGGACGGGCTGGCGTCAGACAGCGAGTACGAAGAGGACAGCAAGGTAGACCTGAAGCATCTGCTGCAGGGCCGGGAGTCCAAGAAACCGCGTGCGCAGCAGAACGCCGTCAAACTCAAGGACGCCGGTCCACGCTTTACCCTTAAAGTTAGTAATAAGTTGCATTTATCACTAACACTATACACTATATATTACCAACACTATACACTAATATTGTTTGCAATTACCATTGCTAATGCTTGATGCACTGACTCCGTTTGCCATTAAGATTGCTATTCCATGTCATTACCATTGCTTTCCATTACCTACCACTGTTATTGATTGCCATAACCATTGCAACTGCTGGAAACAGTAGCAATGGTTATTCATTGCTTGCCATTACGATTGCTATTGCTTACCATAACATCGCTATTGCTTGACACACCATTCATTGTCATTTCCATTGACATTGCTTGCTATTACCATTATTATTGCTTTTCACTAAATCGGTTTAGCTTATGCCGAGTGAATTGTTAAGCTCTTGTAATGCAAGATAAATTTGTAATCGGTGCTTTAGCACATTAGCAATAATTGTACATGAATGAAATGCATTTCAACTGAAACTTAATTCTGGGTTAGACTGGAATACTTGTGATATACAGAGAAAAAAAAAACGCCTTAAAGCTTACTCAGAGGTATAATTATTCTTGGTTCAATGAAATCTCATGTTCTCGTGCTGGCTTTGTTGGCATTTAGTAGCCGAGATTTTTATCTCCATACATGAACTAATTGCGACATCGCTATTGCTTGCCAAAATTATTATCAGATTACTCCTGCTTTATCAGATTACTCATGAAAGATCCTACATGTTGATATTATTGCTCATTCAATTATCGATATTGCCTCATGACAGATCCAGAACTTGTCAAATGTTTTGATACCTGACGACTAATTTACTCTACAGGTGCATAAAATTGAGACGGGATTGCTGAGCGGCGACGTGCTCTACCACCAAACTATCACAGTTTCTCCTGAAGAAGCAGAACAGAGAAAGCAGCGTCGCCTCAAGAAATTGTACGTTTTTCAGACTCCATTGCATTACATTCCTGCTACATCAGCGTATGCTGATAAATTATTTTTTATTCAATTTTTATTGTCAAAATATTTGACTTGACCGACTAATATAATATTAGAATCTGTTTTTGAAAAATGAAATGTTTGAAATTTCACCCGTACTTGAAAGGCCTAATGGTTTAATCGCGACAAGAACTCTCAATCCCAGGTAGTGTCCTAAATAATTTTAGGTATATATCAATATATGTAACATTGATTATTGAATCAATAAAATTAAAATTAATAAAAGGATTTGTTTTTACGAATCAGTATTTCATTTTGATGGGCTACTGCTCCTAAAACCCTGTGATCTCTGTCTTTCAGGCAATTGAAAGCTGAGCGCAAGAAGCAGCAAGACGAGAACATAGAGCGCAAGAAGGCTGCTGCAGCCGAGCACAAGCAACGATGCCTGTCTGGCATGCCAGCAGAAATGCAGAAAAAAACAAAGATCAATAAAGGAAACGACGAGAGCGGGGACGATGAAGCAGCAGAGGGATACGAGAGTGAAGACGAGGATGAAGAGCAATACTTCAAAGATGCCGTCGGCCAAGACCCTGATATTCGTGGGTGTACACTCTTGAATTTCACAAGTTCTATTGCTAGAGAAAACTTTTGTTAGGATACTTCTGCAATGAATTTTTTATATTGAAAACCTAAGTTTCAGGTTGAATATATTCTAAACTTTTCATGCCAAGCGTCGGATCATTCTTCGACTTCTGATTTAACTCTTAACTGGGCTGGTGAATAATTATGCTAGATAGATGAAATGGAGAGTTTATCTTTTGATTAAGTCATTTCCATCCGATTAAGTTGGCAAGGATGTTTCCTGGATCATCTAATTTACTGAATCACTAAAAATGATTATAGTTACATTTTGATTGTTTTAAGATGAAAATGATTTGAAATGATGGACTATGTGATCGTTATGGGGAACACTGAGGCCGTAATATATCAATTTATCTCAACAACCAACGACCGATTTCCGATGTATATTATGATTGGTGGGTTTAGCTTAAAAATTAAACAGTGATTGGCTGCGAGAGTTCCGAACACGTATTGAATTTTGATAATACTGCCCTTATTCAGCAGCTTCGTGCTCATTTTGTTTCATGTCATATTGTCATTGGCAAGTATTGTTTCATGACGAATGTTTCGTTTCTCTCAGTTACCTTTGGACATCCATCCAAGAGGAAGCGAGAAGAAGAACAAGAAGTTAATGGTAAAAATGGTAAGTTGATGTTTTTCATTATTTGCTTCCAATTTTTTATGATGTTATTTTTTCATCACTCTGCTTACAAATTATTAACCTTAACAACATCGATTCATTCATGATATTTAGATTGCTGAAATTACTTATGCAGGCTATGCACTGAGGACTTTTCAGAAATTTTCATTATATCGTGAGACTCTTTTATCGTTTGTTTTTTTAGCTAAAATATCGTTCACTCGGTATGTTTCTTGAAGCATTTTCACGTTGCTGAACTTATCAAGTTCACAGTCTGTGCCGTGTAGCTGAGCGAATATTCGAAACGCTTTTAACACTCCCATATTATTGTTTCGAATTATATAAACTTATTTGGATAAGCTTGCTATTTTTCATATCATTTTAATTACACTATATCATAAATATGGGTATAACAACTAAAATTTTAATGTTTTAAATAAATTATTACTCAGCAAACAAGAAATCGAAGACATTAACTGAGGCGGAAAAGGCTCGTGAGGCGAAGCGGGCTTTGGCCAAAGAGAAGTTCAGGCTTCTTGACGCCAAGAGGAAGAGCAAGCGTCCGCGATCGTTCCGTAAACGACTGGTCAAGAAAATTAAGAATGAGAAGAAACAAAGAGAGGCTCAAGCCGCTGCCAAGAAGAAAGAAGAACAAAAATCGCAAGTTCCAAAACAAGCAGGGAAGAGAAAAGTTATGAACAATGAAAAATAGATTTTTCCAGCAGTATGGTCATTTTATTATCCTGCCTGTTAGTTTTACATTTTGTGTATTAGTGTGTACTTTGTGTTATTATGAATTTGGCAACGTTTTTGAAATCGTACGAAAATATTTCTTGTCAACGTAACCATATCTGTGGGTTTTTTTAATGTATTTATCTTTATATCTTGTCCTTGATCACTGCCTTAATAGCAGGTTTGTTAGTAATTTGATAACAGTCCTAATTTGAATTAAATTACAACGTGAACTTCATTCCTTGCTTGAATCCAAATTGCATGTAAAAAATTTCTTATTTTAAATTTGATGTGAAATTTTTGCGCTTTACTGACAGTCACGAAACGCGCTGCTAGAAGGCTAGCAAAATTATGAAAATAAAATTTCTAATTGAGTAATTCACGCAACGGTCTAGATGCTGGTATATGACAGCGACTCCTTTGACAAAAAATAAAATCGGCGCATGGAATTTTGGTTGTATTTCTACAAAATTTTTAGCGTGAGAAATTGTATCTGGTGACTTCTGTAGGGAAGTTTCAAGTCGTTTATTCTGTTTGTCCTCTTGGGTGCAGATTGAGTACGATAAGCCTCGGTAGGAATGTGTTTACTTCCGAAAACTCTTATCTTTTTGGTAATTCTGGCATTTCTTGACTCACGAGACTGGGGGAAAAGTTATGACTTTTGTAAGGTACAGTAATACAGTTTTTAAATGGCCATCTTAACTTAACATTATATATTTTTGGTGCTTGGAGGCTGTTTAATCCTTATAGGTAGGGATCTCTGCTCTCTAGTTCTCTACCTAGTACCTACCTACCTCAGCCTACCTGTCCTTAGTGTCCTACCAGCACCAGGCTACAAGCTACCTAGACACCTACGTAGACTAAGAGGCTAGGTAGAGTGACGCAGAGCAAATCTTTACTTGGGTGTAAATTCAAATTTTGATTAGCCTTAAGTCTCAAAAATTAATTTAGAACTAGAAGTAAGTCATACATTATGCACTTGTTTGCATCCTCTTTCAATTTCATGGTGGATTGGTATTTGGTACTGTTACTGTTAGGCTATAATTGAGTAGGATTTGGATTTGGGGCGTGGTGACTCTGAGAGAAAGAATTTCAGGGTCAGGCCTTTGCAACGGCCATCAGCCACGCTGCACGCATCACATTTTCATTTGTTAGTAAGAAGAAGGGAGGGAGACCAAGCCAGGTGGAAACAAGTGAAACAACATTAAAGAGAAGAGGCTAGAAAAGGTGTGAAAGTTTGTGTTAAGGTTGAGAAGTAATCAAGGGGAAGAGAAGTTCAAGGGGAATTCATTGGTTTATTATTGCTATTGTGTCAATTATTGCACTGTGTATTTGATACTTATATTAGCTATGGGGCCGGCCTCGTAGGCCCTGAGTGACTATTCGCGACATAGTGGCAAAGCAGAGAGTTTTTTAGACTCTCCCTCAAGTTCGTTTTTGAGTCCTATAAGTAGACCAGTAAAGTATCATGGATACCAGCATTATCATACATAAGAAATTGGTTCAAATCTTGAGTAAATGAGGAAATTAAAAATGAACTGATTNACGCTATGACCTGTCTCTTATACACATCTAGATGTGTATAAGAGACCAATTTAGGCTAGTCAGTTAGCTATTCATGACCAACCACGTCCACCAAAGTCCAAAATCACACAATTTCTTATTTTCTTTTATTCACTTCTCACTCATGTCTCTTTCATTTACTTCTCTTTCGTTTACTTTTAAGCTAAAACCAGCAAAACGTGGCACGTGCTCGCAAGCCGAACAGTTCAACACTCCACGACGTGTGCTACTAGCACACTTTCCCGCTTGTTTCCAAAACACGCACGAATCCCCAAAAAGCTAATTTAATGACTTTTTGAAAGCCTAAAATGGAACCAAATATGACTTTTGTAAAATGTTGACGTATTATTTACTTCTTTTCTACATTATGTAATATTAAAGCAAATGTTTTGTCACCAAATCAAAATTTGAGTGAAAATATCCATAGTAAGACTTACCTATGTAATTTGTAGTTTAAGTTAGGTAGGTATTATTAATGTGTTCCCTCTTATTTCAAATGAATGAGTAGTTTGCAAACTTATTTGAGGCATTAAACAGAATCCAGGGCTCAAGAGTTTCACTGTCAGGAGTGACTCAGGACACTGAGGAGAAGACAAGACAGATAACTGTGTAGTAAATATTGGAGAAGTCTACATAGGTAATACCGGTATGGCGGTACCTACATATGGATACCTATGATCAGACCCAGATGGCGACTGTAAAATTTGTTACTATTTTAAAAGCTATTAATATGGGTGAATTGGCAAAATTCATAGATTCATAGACCTTTTTGTTTGATTCACTGTGTCTGCAGGCAGTGGCTTTTCCCTTATTTTCCACTTAGGGTCGGTCTAAACTCTAAACCTACTATGTTTTTTAGGGTCTGATCATGGTATCACCTGGCATCACCATTAAAAACTAGAGGTGAAAAATTTGGCAGAAGCCACATCTGAATAAGATAAAAAAGCTATGAATTTGGGCCATTTTTTAGAGGAGGGTATATTGCATATCAAATTTTGTTTGTACAAAATTATATTAGTCATTTTTCACAATTTCACCAAAAAGTTTCAAAATTTACCCATGAAACTTGAAGCATTGTTGAGAACTTGAGATGAAAGGGTATTTGTTTTCTTCAGTGGAAAGCTGGCTAAAAAAGCCTTCCCTGAAGAACAAACAATACAATTCTCTCATTTCATTTTACCCAAAATTTATTTAAAAAATTTGTCAATTTCTCATTTTTACTCAAAATTTTAGGAAAGTTCTCCCCAATATTCCCACTTTGCTGAAAACTACAAATTGTACAAAGCAGACTTAAAATTACTAGAATTGTTGTGGAAAGTTAGCCAATTGTGTTGGCAAGATCAAGCATTTACTCTCAAATATCATTGCTGTACTGCCTGAGGCTGTACAGCTGTAGTATCACTGAAAATGTGTTGCTAGACCCCAGCCTCACTCGGGCTCAGCCTCCTGCTTTAACATAACATAACATAGTGATGTCGGCGCTGAAGTGTAGGCCTGATGTGGCCTGTTGCCGATTCTTTTCCTTTTCGTGCCTTGTTCATAGATCTAAACTCGTGTCATTTGACCGGATCTTTTCATGACTGCCGATAGTTTGAAGTAGCTACTAGACCTGTCTCTTATACACATCTAGATGTGTATAAGAGACAGTGTCTATACACTCGTTTGCGATCACAGCTAACAGTTCACTTTTCTTGTTCAAAACGGAATCCGAGTTCGTGTAAAAACATTTTAAAACTTTTTGTCCACTTTCACTTTGATGTATGCGGTTACTTCCTACATTATTTACAGGCCTTGATCTACGGACATCATTCCTACTAATTACTTGTCCTCCATCTCCTCCGACTGTCCGTGAGCAGCCGGTGTTGTCTTGGCAGCTTGGAAGTGATTGACCTGGTTTTCCGTGCCTTTCCGCCTGATTCTCTCCTGCCACTTCTTGCGCCTTTCCAAGGGGGTGGAATCTTTCTTTACAAAAACTGACTTGTAATCAGCGGATTCTCCAAGCTTTCTTGCTGTTTTCAGCACGCTCCAGACCTGAGCAGAATCCTTTACAGTCACCAGCAAAGGTCTGAAGGTGTTGCCAGCAGCATCCTTCGAGCAGCATCCTCTTTAGGCAGGAAATATTTTCTACATCTGTGCAAAGTTAAACATACATTCATATTGGTGTGAAATACTTATCCCAGATTTAGATTGATTCGTTTATATTACATTACTTGTGTAGAAATATTTTGCATTACTAATAAAGATCAAAAGAGGTAGTGGGACTTGGAGAAGAGAGGTTGCAGGATTTGAATTTGGCTACTCATGAATGAAATCTTGTGGCACCAAAGTGACAAATTTATTATACATTTGGAATATTGTGGCCTGATTGTGCCCTTTTGTTCACAATTTCATAGGAAGTAATTTATCTCTGGTCATGGTGCAAGCAGTAGAAACATTCCATGCCTGTTAGTGGGTTGTATGAAACATGTTAATGCTTTAAATCTATACATTTTAGTTAGCTTTATAGTTTACATGAAGTTATTAACTGTTGCTAAGAGAGAAATCTAGACAGGCAGAAGGAAGATAGCAAAATTTCTAGGAGTCCAAATGTATATATACTGCTCCTTAGTCCTTACAGAATTTTCTATTAAAAATTGTTGACATAACCAAATTTCAGTAGGAACACTAGGTGGGTTGTCAATAATTTTTAATAATTTTAATTAATAATAAATTTTTCAGTAAAATTAGAGGCATAGGCAATTTAGATTCCATCAAAATACGGTTCTCTGACTTCTTTATAGTATTCATTCTGAGATTAAAAGATGGCAGTAAACTTCATCATCGGGTTATATTAATCATGTCTTGCTACAATTTTTTGTAGAAGTAGTCATAAAGATCTGCACTTGGGTTGTATCTTCAATGAATCTCAGGTGAAATGAGCAAATTTATTCAAACTTCTTAAATTTTGGTTGAAAATAATTTCAAATTTGTTCTGCAGATCTCTTCAAATGTGTTGGATAGGAATTCCTAACTCCTGAACCTCCTGAACAGTCCTCACTTCATGTATGTAACAGTGTGTTTTCATCACTGTGTTGCTTTTATTGTATATGAGTAATAATTCATTCCATGTATTTTATTAACGCCTTCTGAGATATCTTGGTACTACAAATAACAAAAAAGCATATATTCCATTATTTTAAATTTGTGGTCAAGATGTATGGCAACTCTTATGGTTCAATCAACACTAGTGATAGAGATAGAAACATGTTCAACAAAGTTGTTGATGAGATAGGAGGAATGACCCTGAACTCTGGAGACACTGGTGCTCCCCAGCAGTCTCCTGGAGGGGGAAGGGTTGCCCCCATGCCACCACCTAAGCCTAGGAAGGCAACAGAGGTGAGTGACTGAAAAATTCTGTTAGAAATTCAGTTATTAATTTGGTTAGATTTTCTAAGCCATCATCATTTTTGTCTGTAAAAATGCTAGTTGCTTTCAATTAATGCATAATTTTATCCAGTTGAAATTAAAAGTATTTTTATATTATAGTAACATAGATTAATTTTTATTTCTAGTTCATGTTACTGATTTCAAAATGAACTTAACATGTAGATAATTTTGGCTTTTCAAATTTTGATGTCTAATCAGAACATGTTTGCTTTAGGAGTTAGTAAAAATGTCTGCAAGCTACAACATAACTCTTATATTTTCAGAACCACTCGCCCATGTATGCAAATCTAAGCTCAGCCCCCAGCGGGAGGTCAGCTCTCAATGACTACTATGCCATCAATGCTCCAACTCCAGGCAACATTGGCAAGGTCTCAGCACGTGTCAATATAGCTGCTATGGGTCCTGCTGCTCACGCCCCTGCCATGCACTCCCTGAATGGAGCTCCTGCAGGAATATGTGACCCCCTGGCTCCTGGCAAGATGGGTCGGTCTGAGAGTCGAGCGTACAATCCTGACGCTACTCCTCCATCTCACTACACGCCTCCGTCCCCACAACCCGCCCACTCATACACGCCCACCTCACGAGCTGTGGTGCGCATGGGTGCACCTCAGCCTCTTTACTCCAACACTAATAAAGGAGGCGACCCAACCCCTGCTGATGGCCTGCAATATGATGTCCAGCAACCTGGTCTGTACAGCAACATTCCTGATCATCAAGGTGATCATTACCAGGCTTATCCCTATGCAAATCAACAAGGCTACTCCAGCGCCTCCTCTGCCCAGAGTTAGTGAAATTTCTAAGAGTTTGCTCCCAATGATTTTAATTAATGATATAAATGAAATATATTATTACTATATGCATTACACAATTATTAATTATCTTTGTGTTTTTCAAAATTCAGTGATTGAGAATTTTGACTTGGTCTCTTGGCAAACATGTGTGTACAATCACAATTTGAAGGATTCTGAATATTTTGTGGTAAATAGTACTTTATACAGGTTAATTTTCATGCTTGTTGTACTCTAACCATAATTTACTTGGGGATTAGGAGGCGTTCCATACGCCTCCTATGGAGTAGACCAGGACTTCCCCTTGCCTCCCCCCGAGGCTCTGAGTGAGTGCAGGGGAGCCGCCTCCCCAGTCTCGTCTGCATACTCTGAGCTGCGCAGGTCTTCCCACGAACCTCCCAGCAACACTCACCGCTCCCATCCCCACTATGCTCCTACATCGGTAATATCTTATGTATATAATTCCTTCTAACTCTTTACTTACGTGACATGGTAGTGAAGGAATATCAGCATCCGGATCATTAAGAGTTTCCCCAGCAACACTCACCGCTCCCATCCCCACTATGCTCCTACATCGGTAATATCTTGCGTATCTAATTCTTTCTAACGTTTTATTTGTGCGACGTGGTAGTGAAGCAATATCAGTGTATGGATCATTAAGAGTTTCCCGAGCTACACTCACCGCTCCCATCCTCACTATACCTCTACTTCGGTAATATCTTGCATACCTTTAACTTTCTAACGGTACTTGCAAGGTAGAAACGAGATATTAGCATCTTGTTGAAAGTTACATCGGTGAGTTATTGCGGCCTTAGCATTGAATCATCGCTGCCCTATTCCGTACGTAAGGACAATGGCCTATTAATATGATCTTAATTGCTCTTAAGAACCTCGAATAACTCATAATTAATTCCTGTATCACCAGCCTGAACGCTGATTGTCTGACAAACTATGAGGTAGGTTTTCCCGCGTGCAGGACGTTGGGTTGGAAGTCACGGCGGAACTTTTGGAGCCGTTCTAGTTAAAAATTATAAATTCTCTGTTAATTCGGCCACTCACTGACGTCTTCACGAGCTAAACCTAGAAATCACAGGCGAGAAATCTGCCGCTTCGTGTACTTAGGCTGCTGTGTGTAGTAAAGCAAGTTTTCATAGTATGGCCCCTGGGACATACCTAGCTATTTCCCGAAGTTGTGGAGCATGATTTTTTAATGACTATTTAAAAAGCCACTAATTTGCTACATGTTCTTTCTTGTCACCTGATCAAGTTTTGGCAAACACAGACAGCAAAAAAAAAAAAAAAATGACAATTCTTAAAATTCTGATAGCTCTTTTGGGGTTATTGCATAGACCAGTTGTACGTTATGAGTGACAAAATTTGCATTTAAATATTAAATGAGTACTTCGAAAAATTACATTCAAGTTTATTTAATTCAATTAGCCGTTTATTCAATTCAATTGCTAATTGAATTTAATACAATTAGCCATTTATTTCTCTTTACATTTCAAATTGATTTCAAAATTTTTGTCGTTTTTATAGTGAGCACAGGACATGTACATAATGAAACATTGTTTATAATATATCGCTCAACGATCTTGCTATTTAGATCACAATTAGACACTCTTCAGAATGATGGGGTAATAAAAATCGTAATGTAGCAACACTAGAATGAGATGAATGGTCATAAATTAAGTACTGCAATTCCACATATTTCGCAACTGCATGGCAAAGTATTTCTAGTTTCTACCAATAAATTTTCCTGGACTAGTGCAGCAGCTTTAAGCCTGTGAATATTGCACACTTAAAACTGCAAAATTTCTTTACTTATTCAATGACTATCTGATATTTAAATTAATTTTACCCTCGTGCTATCTATCGTATGTTAAAACTATTATAGATGGCAGTGAGGCTAGGCGTGGCCGCACCTGCTGTGTGTAGGCAATCAGTGCCGCGTAGGTGTGTAGGGCACGAATTATTACGCGTACATCATGTGGGTTGTACATTTGGCCACTCGCGCTCTGCCAATGAGACGAACTCAGTGCCTTACTAGACGCAGCGTGGTGAGGTTGTGCGCGCACGAGTTGCTGCTGCCGACGCTTCTCGTACTCGACAAAACACTAGCGCTGTTCACTTCCCTGGCAATCTGCCGTGAGTGTTGCATATGTGATCTCATCAGCAAATGTTTATTCTAGATATGACTCATCTTCATGCTACCCCGTCAATATTAATGAAGTTCATGTTTGCGAGATTTTAGGATAGATTAGTGAAGCGTGTGCTTCTTTTTGTTGCCTGATGGCAGGCGTTATGTATGTAGAGCATCCTTACTATGGCCGCAGGACCTTGACTTGTCCTCCATCGCCGTCAGTACCCTCAGGCTAGCGTATTAAAGGCATCCGTAATTCTTCTTGGACCTGGCGCATGTTGAGGTATCGCGTGCCTTCAGTTGTATGTGCCTTCAGTTGTACATGCCTTCAATTGTATGTGCCTACAGTTGTACGTGCCTTCAGTTGTGTGACGTGCCTTCAGTTGCGTGACGTGCCTTCAGTTGCGTGACGTGCCTTCAGTTGTGTGACGTGCCTTCTGTTGTACGTGCCTTCAGTTGTACGTGCCTTCAGTTGTATGTGCCTTCAGTTGTACGTGCTTTCAACTGTGTGAAGTGCCTTCAGTTGTGTGGCGTGCCTTCAGTTGCGTGACGTGCCTTCAGTTGCGCGACGTGCCTTCAGTTGTGTGGCGTGCCTTCTGTTGTACGTGCCTTCAGTTGTATGTGCCTTCAGTTGTATGTGCCTTCAGTTGTATATGCCTTCAGTTGTACATGCCTTCAGTTGTACATGCCTTCAGTTGTATGTGCCTTCAGTTGTTCGTGCCTTCAGTTGTATGTGCCTTCAGTTGTACGTGCCTTCAGTTGTATATGCCTTCAGTTGTACATGCCTTCAGTTGTATGTGCTTTCAGTTGTACATGCCTTCAGTTGTACGTGCCTTCAGTTGTGCGTGCCTTCAGTTGTACCTGCCTTCAGTTGTACGTGCCTTCAGTTGTACGTGCCTTCAGTTGTACATGCCTTCAGTTGTATGTGCCTTCAGTTGTACATGCCTTCAGTTGTACGTGCCTTCAGTTGCACGCGCCTTCAGTTACATGTGCCTTCAGTTGTACATGCCTTCAGTTGTACATGCCTCCAGTTGCACATGCCTTCAGTGTACATGCCTTCAGTTGTACATGCTTTCAGTTGTATGTGCCTTCAGTTGTACGTGCCTTCAGTTATACGTGCCTTCAGTTGTACCTGCCTTCAGTTGTACGTGCCTTCAGTTGTATGTGCCTTCAGTTGTACATGCCTTCAGTTGTACATGCCTTCAGTTGTACATGCCTTCAGTTGTACGTGCCATCAGTTACACGTGCTTTCAGTTGTACATGCCTTCAGTTGTACATGCCCTCAGTTACACGTGCCTTCAGTTGTACATGCCTTCAGTTGTACATGCCTTCAGTTGTGCAAGCCTTAAGTTGTATGTACCTTCAGTTGCACGTGCCTTCACTCATGCTCTGGTCCCCCCCCACAGAGTGTGGGCTACGAGAGCCTCTACGAAGCCATCAGCCCCCGCCCCCCCAGCCAGATGTCCACCAGGAGCGCCGCTCCCCTCGCCCCCTATGGGGCTAACCCGGGCTATGGCGCCCGCAACCAGCCCCAGGTGATGCCTTGTTGCGCCCAGTCGCCTAGAAAATTATTCTTAATAAGCTATAACCTTGATCAATAATCTCAATGAACTAGAACATTTCAATAATCTAGGACATTAATCATTAATCGGTTGACGGATTGAACGTTCATAATATTATAATAGCATAGTAAGTGCCATTTATTATAGTATAGTAAGTGACATTAATAACAGGGTAGTATGATGTTCTTGAGTTGGTCCAAGAACCGACATGTGAGTTGAGGTCGAGTGTTGTTTACTTGCCAAACAAACATGGGCGGCTGCCTCCAAAGCACTGAACACAAGCCCTCTCATCTCTGTGTGCTGAACTCATGGCTTGCAACGTTCCTAATGATGCATGTTGATGTTGAAGAGACACTCTCCCATGTGGCACGCATGCTGTCATCTGAAACTTCTACAGTGATAATAACTGGATATTTTTTAATCTAATTGAGTATATAATAAGTATAAAATAGTTCCTGCAGACGAACATAGTTTAGTGAGGCAGTGCAGGTCTAATTTCTTCTCAATCTTTCCCAGTCGAGCGCGGCGGGCAAGGAAGCTGAGGTTGACGCTCTCACGAGTCTCCTCGTGCAGTCCATGGAGAGCAGCAGTGATCCAGAGTTCTTTGGTGAGCAGCAGCATGATTTTGATGCATTTATTTCAGCTGTGCTTTTCATTAATTGAGTGCTCGTGATGTCGAGGTAACTTCTTTGGAATGCGTTAACATAAATTTATGTGATTTTCAATTGACCAAAGCAATTCTTTTTGTTAAAAATTCTAACTAACGGGTGGTAGTGAGGTATCTATAATTATAAATGTGTCTTTGTATATAACCAAGCCACTTACTTTGTGAATGTCAACAATTTTAACACGATTAACAGTATGACAACTAACCATTTGATAACTAACTTCGGCCAGTCCTGGTCCTGATGACCGTAACTATGCTGAGTATGACGAACATAACTGCTAACCTGTCTCACTAGCCCTGCTTTATCCACAGTCGCGTCGTGCGCAGGTATTTGTGGCCGGTGTGGTGGCAAGGTGGTGGGCGAAGGCAGCGGCTGCACCGCCATGGATCAGGTCTTCCACATCCGCTGTTTTGACTGCATCGTCTGCCACCTCCAACTGCAGGGCAAACCTTTCTATGCCGTCGACAGCAAGCCTTACTGCGAGCAGTGCTATGTGGTGAGTTTGGACTGATTACTGGTAATGGTTATGGTCACAAGAGTACTTTTTAAACTTTTATTTAGGAAGGAATGTTACCAGGGATTAGGGAATACGGCTACTTAGCATTCTTGTCCATGTTGAATGACACACTGCATCTAAAATGCATTATTTCACCATTCGTATTTTCCTGGATCGTGATTATTATAATCAGTCAAAGCATGCTCATTGTGCACTTACATTGCTTAATTTATAGCCATAGCTATTTATTAATACGGTTACACTGTTGAAGTCACTAATTCAACTTAAACGTTGGTTACAGAACACGCTGGAAAAGTGCTGCGTGTGCACACAACCGATCCTGGAGCGCATCCTGCGCGCGACTGGCAAGCCCTACCACCCCGCGTGCTTCACGTGCGTGGTCTGCCACAAAGCCCTGGACGGCATCCCTTTCACCGTGGACGCCGCCAACCAAATCCACTGCATTGACGACTTCCATAAGAAATTCGCGCCGCGCTGCAGCGTCTGCCAAGAACCCATCATGCCCGAACCTGGTCTCGAGGAAACCGTCCGAGTCGTGGCTCTGGACAGAAGTTTTCACGTTAATTGCTACAAGTGTGAGGTGAGTGGCACCAGCACTGTCTGCTGAGGGAACTTGATAATTATTGATGTCAACAAGAACGGAATTATTGAGGATATGTAATGTGTGTAAGAACATATTAAATGTACTATGATTAACGCTGGTCGTCTCAATCTGTCAATTTTTTCTTCCTCATCTACTTGAATAATTATGAATTTATTTAAAAATAACTTTTTATTTACAGTAGCGGTAGATTGTTCATTTGATTATTCCTACCCTGAGCGAGTGATGGTTTGTGTCCCGTATAGAATTAAATCAGCATAGTTATTATGAATATTAATAAATAAATAAATCAGGCATCGACGCATGCTGTGCTATCTTGGCAAGATAAAAAAATACGCGAAGTAGTCGCTTGAGTGATATTTTTTTTTGTGCAGGATTGTGGTTTGCTGTTGTCTTCAGAAGCCGAGGGGCGCGGCTGTTATCCGCTTGACGGTCACGTGCTTTGCAAAGCCTGCAATGCTGCTCGCATCCAAGCTCTGTCCAACGCCGCTTGATTCATACTGAAATCTTATTGCCCATCTGGTCCTGATCAATGCTTCCCAAACTATTTCTGTCGTGCCCCACCGTGGAAAGTGGTACAAATTTCTCATGGGCACAGCTGGGCTTACAAGCCCCACCAGCACTTGTTGCTCCAACGAAAAGATCAATCAAATAATTTTGTTCAGCCTTCTTGTGCGTCCAACTCAAATTGGGTGGCCCCCAATTTTGTGGGAAACGGAATTTTGGGAGTCGAAAAATATCGGAAAAGACAGACATTCGACTATTTCACCCGTGGCTGTCAATCTCATTTCTGTTACGGCGTCTCCAGTTGATGGTTTTTGTTACATGTGGGATTTTATTCACTTTTTTGGACTAATTTAACTGCCCGTTTTTGCCAAGTACGATTGCATTGCTCCGACGCGAGATTATGCTCTATTAAAAGCGGAAAATTGGCTTTGTTTTCAGTAGTTTCTATGTATTTATTTTGCCCGAGTTTATATACTTCTGTGGCTAAGAAAATTCATATTTTTTTAGGTGTTTTACTGTACGAACACCGAGTCATGAACTTGCCAGCCTTGAAAATAGGTGCTTATGAATGCTTCGAATTATAATTTAAGATGCTTATCTCGTGCTATAAAGCACTAATTTTATGTTGGATGGTACTTGAGGTTTCGATTCAATTGTTCATTCATCGATGGAACTAGATTAATTTTTGATTTCCTGTTCCGGGGAAGCATTTCCTGTGCTTTAATTCCTAGTGAAATAACTTGTCATGGATTTTTTACTAGTTTGATGAATGTGTATGGAATGAAGCCGATCTTTTTACGCCGATCTAGAGTTTGGCATGAGCGACATTGACACATGGACCATCCACTGTACTGGGTTGGCAGCTTGTATTTAACGCAAAACATGTCATATCATAATTTTGCTTCAATTTTTAAGTATTGCTGTTTTTCTTAGAATAGACATTGCATCGTGATGGTGCTTGTAAAAAAAGATTTGGGTCTTGATTTCGGCTGGCAGTGATCATAATACATTCATGTGCTAGGAAATGCTCACAGAAAATATAAAACAATCATAGCTCGCGAGGTTATTATAGCACAGTATTGGTGTGCTGATGTTTTTAATTGTGAACGAAAAAACGGATCTCGAAGTTGCTGCCATACCGCTGTTGTTTTTGTATCTCTTGGCAGGAATGGACCAATTGAAATTTGCTGTAGTTTCGACCTTAGCGCTGTCAGGTGCCGTGCCCACAACAGGAGTTCGTTTTCTCGTTGTTGAAGATGCAGGATTTAGATTTTTAGGCGTTCCCATGAAGTGTTGATTATAGAGCGTCGGTTGCCATTTAAAGTTGTATGTCTTAGCGTTTGCTGTTGTAAAACAACTACATTCTATATTCCGTATTTGCCATCTATAGTTAATAAGATGAACTTATATTGATGTTGTTAACAAAGTTTGTTTTGAATTTATGCAGTAAAATTTGTACGGTTTTTGCCAAAGTTGAGCATTAAAATATGTTAATATAATAAGCTTTATGATATTATTCTAACTGCAACACTAACTAACTTTCCTTTTCCGTGAAATTGTCTCGATATCGTCTAGTTTTGCCTGAATAATCAGTTATTCCTTCGAATTGTTCATATTTAATTTTTAATATTCCTAATGTTATTTACGCGTGTTTCTATAACTAGAGCTCATCGTTACGACTATCGTTTTCATGCTTGCAGTGAATTTGTAGTCTCTTGTACTTTTAATTTCGAGGGAGGCTCTACGATTCACGGATGACTCAAGAACCTCGCTCAAAAAACAGACAACGGATTATCTGACGTAAACTAAAAGTTTTCTGAAGAAAATTGGCCATCCACATGTCTATGAGGGAGGCTGGTCGTATTACATAGATACGGTGATATATGCACGGTTCATGCTTTATAATCGAGCAATTCTCTCTTTTTATTCCAACTAATATAAGACTGGGTAAAACCACTTTTTAGAAGGAACCAAATTGTTGGTTTTACATATACGATGTAACCTGCGACTATTAGCGAAGTAGGTAGGTAATATCCGTCGCAATTGGTTCTATGTTTTTGATAGCAATTCTTATGGTTTAACTTGTATAATGCTTCTCGACAGTAAAATTTGATCAAAAATATGTCGAATATATTTTATGTAGCTGAAATATGTTTCTTATTACCTCCAAAATGTGGGAAAATGACGGATGTTGTTTTGCTTGGTTTTCTTCTTTCGGAGTGATATTCTAATGCCAATTATCGCACGTATATGGAAATTTCGTATAAATCTTACAGTTTCAAAAATCGAATTTCCGTTTTAACTACTGAACTTGCAAAAGTTGTATAAAAGGAAATTATACACGTTGAACCTACCTACATGCAAAAAAAATTGTGCACAAAAATTCATTCTTTTTCAAATGCTCATAAAACGAGTCGGTAAAAATACGTTATTGACGAAAGGATATTTTTAGAGGGGCGTAGCTTGCGGATAGGCAAAGTTTTACCACAGTTTGTCACGATTGTTTTTTAGTCCCAACGTCGTAATATTCAATGTATAAAATTAGGTTCATCAACAGTTATCTGCTTTTGTATCTTGGCTACAATAATCCCTTCATCTTTATAATTAAACTTAACATATTTCGGTTTTCGCATATTCAGCGTCGGTTAGAAGCGGCCGGTTGTATGTAGATTTTAGAAGAACATGGATTTGCTATTAAATTTTCGTAAATATACAACAGATAAAATTTCGAATTAATAGTATTTGAATTCGAGCTATTACTGTTTCATTTTAAATTTGCACTTTATTTCACATCGTGTAATAAATTTCTGAATAAACACCATCGTAATAACATACGCTGGCGCCTGGCGGCCATTGTTCAGGTGGCAACAGAGCTGTGAAGTCGAACGGAGCATACTGTTCTCGTTGATCGTTGACATAAAGACACGGTGTTCAGTGACCCAGTTATCAGTAACTGTTGAGAATGAAACGTGGTGCCTCTCGTGATATGTCGCCGACAAGTAAGCGATCAAGGTCTAGTCTAGCTCGTTATGACGAAAGTAGCGAAGATGAAGGGCGTCGCGGTGCTAGCCCGTCCATTTCTGGAAGGCGTTATCCCGATGCACCAGAGCATCGGCCTCCAACTTATAAAGTTCTTTGTGTTTCTAATCTGCATGCAAGAGCAAGTGACGATATGGTCCGTGACGCACTTTTTCGTGAGTTTAAAAGGTTTGGTGATGTGAGTGTAAAGATTCCACTTGATGCTGACCCTCGTGTAGCCTATGTTTATTTCCGTACAAACGAAGAAGCTCGAAGTGCAAAGCACAGCAAGACTAGGATCCTGTTTTTTGATTTACCCGTATATGTGGAACCTGTTTATGAGCCTCCTGGTCGAGACTACTCTCCCCGTCGTTCACGTTCTCCCCTTGAGTATAATGAGAGGTCAGCTTATCGTCCACGCAGTCCTCCAATGCCGGAGATGGACGATCGTTATGAGCCACGATTTGATCGTGGCCGACCCCCTCCTCCCCCTAGGGATTATTACATGGAATCCCCAATGATGAGGCAGGATGATTATGGATATAGGCCTCACAGAGGCCGTGGGCTACCTTATGGGCATTATGGACCACCAATGCATAGAGGAGGCTTCAAACCTCATTTTGGTCCTGGTGGTGGTGGTATGGGAGGGGCTGGTGGTGGTGCTGGTGGTAGAATGATGATGGATAGCAAACGAGACAAGTTTCCTAATTATCTCCATCATGTTGCCCCTGAAGAAGATCCTTTAGCTACTCGTACTCTCTTTGCTGGAAATCTAGAACTCAATATCAGTGAAGAAGAACTACGAAGGATTTTCAGTCGCTATGGCACTGTTGACGACATTGACATCAAACGGCCACCTCCTGGTACTGGTAATGCTTATGCATTTGTTAGGTACCAAAATCTGGACATGGCTCATAGAGCTAAAATTGAACTTTCAGGTCAATACATTGGCAAATTCCAATGCAAAATTGGCTATGGAAAGGCTATGCCGACAACAAGAGTTTGGGTTGGTGGTTTGGGACCTTGGGTTTCTCTTGCTCAGGTCACTCAGGAATTTGACCGATTTGGAGCCATCAAGAAGATAGAATATGAGAAAGGTGACAATCAAGCATACATCCTTTATGAAAGCATGGATGCTGCTCAAGCTGCTGTAAAGGAAATGCGTGGAGTTACACTTGGTGGCCCTGACAAAAAACTGCGGACTGACTTTGCTGAGGTTACTCCTCCACCTGGTTCGTACCCTCCTCCTGGACCCAGCTCGGGAAATGGTGCTCCAGCTGATTATCCTAGAGACGACTGGAACAACCGTGCTGGGTATGAAGAGTATGGTGAATACAGTGGAGGATTTCCTCGTGGCAGAGGCCGAGGTCGTGGCATGTGGCATGACCGAGGCAGAGGTGGTCACCGTGGAGGATACCACGGTGAGTTCAGAGGTCCTGATTACTACGAAGGCCATTCTGAAGGTGGTGATGGACCTGAAAATCATAATGATGTAGGAGGAAATCTCTCTAATGCGCGCACATTGGCTGATGTTGCTCGTAAGACCAGCGCCTCTTGGACTGGCTCTCTAATTTTGAAAAATTCAGCCTTTGGAACAAAAATGCACACACTGGAAGGTATGAGCGACCTCTCCGAATTGCTTCAGGATGATAACAATCGTCCACTCCTGCGTATCACTCAACGTTTGCGATTGGATCAATCTAGGCTTGATGATGTGAGTCGTAGAATTGATGCTTCATCAACTGCCACAATTCTGTTATCTCTGCCTAACACAACTGCTCCGCCTCTGCCTGATGATGCATCTGTGCAAACTCGACCTTTGCGCAATCTTGTTGCCTATCTGAAGCAGAAAGAAGCTGCTGGTGTTATCACTCTATCAGGCCGAGATGGAGGAGCTTGTAACTCTTCTGTAGGAAGTGTCCTCTATGCCTTCCCTCCATGTGTGTTCAGCTTGGATCTTCTGCGTCGAGCTGCACCCAACCTCACTGAAGAGACCACTCGAGATGATCATCTGGTGGTTGTGGTGGTTAGAGGAACTGCTGCCTGAAGTGGACTGCAGCCTCTCAATTGGAGTTCTCCTCCAAGTTGTTTTTGGAGTTTACTATAAAATTTGTTTTGATATTTTGCATTGACTGAGCTGCATAACTAATCTAAGGTGTTGGAAGACTTAGTGTCCCTAACTGCTATAGATATAAGTGTCGGAGACTGCATTTCCAGTATATACTTCATTACCTTAGGCCTAATTGAGGTCAATTATGTCTATATAATTACTGATGTCTGACATTTTTCTCAATTAATTTCTTTGGTTCATGGACTTGTTACTCTTAGAAATGTTGAACTAGCTCTTCTTAAATTTTTCTCTTATGAATTATGCACCATTTAGAATTTTCATTCTATGTAGTTTTTAACTAAAATTATTCTAGTGCTGAAAACCAGTCGGCAGTGACATGAAAAGTTGAGATGCTATGCTGGAACAGAAGTCCATATCATGAAAATTCATTCACTTGAAATTTCCAACAATAAGAATTTTAATTTTATTTATCTAACTTTGGTGAGTTATATGCTTTTCTCATGCTAAATCTGTTTCAAAATATTACTGCTACAATTTTTAGAAAGCACTTTTGATATGTATTTATCATATAGGTAATTATTTGTCCTGCTCTATAATATGTGAATGACTTGCACAACTGGATCCATCTGTACTGGAAAGTAAGCCACTCAATCACCAGGGTCATGTCTAGACAATAAGTTGCATCCAGTGAAAATGAAACTTTTCTTTCATATTGGCTTTGTACATACAGTATGCTAACAGCTTCAAGTGGTTGGTGACATTCATATTATTTTTTCAATTTGTGGCCCTAAATTTCAGTCGTGACTCAAGTAGTGAATTTATTAATGTTCTTGAATTTGTTTTGAAAATATTTAGCCTGCAAAACTAAGTTCAAGTTGTCTGTGTGATGGTTTCTCTAAAGTGGAAAATTTAGAGTATAGTTCAATCATTAATAAGCTATAAATTGATAGAAAATTGATTGATGTTAACTAATTTTTTCAAATGATATCTTGTTTTTTGTCAGTTCTGTCATTGTTCAAGTGGTTTATATATATTGTAGTGGGTGCAGTGTTAACATTACCAGGAATGGTTTCAGTGCATTGTTAACATTAGTTTGTGAAGTGAGTGCAGTTATAGTGAGAGGAAAAATGTTCATGTGTTAGGATGTGGGTTTGGTGATACAGTGAAACAGTGGGCAAGTGAAGCTTTAATGCCAAACTTCGATGGTGTATCTGAATAGTCCTGCAATCTAAGCTTATACTTAAGCTCTGCCTAATATAATGTTCCATGCTGCCCGTGTTGTTTTTATCCTTCCTCTAGCTGGCGTTTGTGAAAGTGATGGTATACGCAGAAAGATTAAAAATGTGTCCCTAAAGATTTCTATAGTTCAATTGTTCTTTCATAGTGTTTGTGTTAAATTTTTTTCTAAATTCTGAAAATCCGTGCAGTAAGGCATTGCTCCTGAATGTGGAAAATATATAGTTATTGTTTGAAGGTGTACAGTGCATTTAATTTGCATTATTGGCTCTAATGACATAAATCCTGAAGTGAAATACAAAGTGCTTTCATTAAAAGTACAGAGTGGCTAACTAGGCTAACTAGGTCTGCTGTTGAATACATGAGGATATGTATCTGCAAACTACTCACTGACAAGAGATGCCTAGTGATTGTTTTTGTTAAGAACTAGTAATGTTAGTTCAGTGAAAAATCGGGTGTTGGCTGTATTTTGTTCTAATCTCTAAGTGCAGAGAAGTACCTACTAGTGTCTTAACAATCTAACAAATAATTGGCACTTAAAAGCTAGCTTCTTATTTTGTCAGCATGATCATGAGATGTTTGAGGTGCTATTAGTGTTCACTCTGGAGAGAATGAATTACAGTATTGTTCATAACAGGACCACGTAATCAATCATATGAAGTTAATCCATCTATATTCTAATCTAGGAAAAAAGTTGTTTCGAATGAATTAATAAAATATAGCACACCATATGAGTAATCTGATCTTAACTTGTGCAATGAGTGCAATAAGTTTCTTTGATTAGCTACTGAAAATTAAGCCTTTGTGACTGACGCACTTTATATACTTGAAAGTCTGAAACTTAATCCCAAGAAGATGGAAGTTATTTTGAAGTTTAAATACTGCTCCTGAGAATTTGCAATAATTGTTCTAACTCACGTTACATAAGTGTATCCTAAAATCCAGCATTGCAAAGGCCTTTATGCACCCATCTGTTAATGCATATATCAGTGAAACACCAATGTTACTCAGATGGTGGAGCCACGCCAGTGCGCGACATGTGCCAACAGTTATTGTGTTCTGCAAGCGTACCGGTGCCGTGGAGGTAGTAAAGTATTGTGCCACATTGTGCTAAGTAGTGTTTTGATGGTGATGTGCTTGGAAGGTTGGTGAGTGATGGGGCAGCTCTTGTGGTTTACAGTGAAAGTTTTCAGAGTTGTGCCAGTGTGATATACTAGTGATGTGCAGTGTTGTGTTGTACCAGTGATGTGCAGTGTTGTGTTGTACCAGTGATGTGCAGTGTTGTGCCGTGGCAGTGATGTGCAGTGTTGTGTCTGTCTCTTATACACATCTAGATGTGTATAAGAGACAGGNCCGTGCCAGTGACGTGCGGTGCCAGTGACGTGCCGTGCCAGTGACATGCCGTGCCAGTGACATGCCGTGCCAGTGACGTGCCGTGCCAGTGACGTGCAATATATCAGGTTGCAGTTTAGTTCGTCCCGAGATCGCGTTGAGCTCCCAGGTTACAGGCGCCACTCGCCAGTCAAGCTCATATTTTCTCAGGACACGTTACGGACCCACACAAAATTTCTGTTGCTGCGAAGGATCAAGCGTTGAGGGACCGTCACTGTGTAGTGTGTGACCTGAACTCTTTTTTTCTCTCGTGAAGCACTGCAGACGAAAATGTGCGTTAAGAGTTGGAATATTTATCCAATGAAACGAGTTGAAAACGTCCGTGTTATGATCACAGCTGACTATTTACGGGTTTACTTCAACCCAATTGCTCATGCGAGTAGTCGGTTTGATATACATGCGGCATGAGCGGTTATTTCTAAGCAAAGAGCATGTTAAATTTGTATTTATTTTTTCAAGACAAATATGTGCCCTCTAATTTCCGCAAGAATAAATGCTGATGATTTCATTGTTATACTTCATTGAGAACTGTGGCTACTCACCAGCTCTTGTATGTTGGTATTATATTGTCAGAAAATTTTTCGAGCAAGATGAGGGACGATTACTTTCGAGCAAGCATTCGCAATAATTCTTGAGATTCTTCACGTGTAAACTACATTAGCTTCCATAACCTCAACTTTATCATGAATATTGGCATCCAGAAAAGCCATTGGTGTTCCGTCAATCATGTGGAATGCACAACAGAGGCGTTCACCGAAAACTGCCGAAGTATTTGGGTGGGGTGGGCATGCATATTACATACCAATTGCTTTAATAATCTTGAAGCTGGTGGACGACGTATCTAAATTTAAATGCGCTTACGCGTTCAATATTTAAGTGAAGAAATGGAAGAGAAACTGGCCTTTGTCGGGAATTCGTAAGATATTTTTTAACGATATGGCCTCGTGATATCGGCATACTTTTCTGAATGCTGAAGTGAATCGTCTTTGTTACCAGACGGTAGTTGCAACGATCCCTCATGACGCCGTGATCCGCTGACTTTCGACTGGACAAACTTCTGTATTTAGTGAATAATATTTTATCATTTAAGACAGCTGCCGGAGAGACGCTGTTCCCTACGTGCAGACTGCATTGAAAAAAAGCCATTCGAATCTTCATTTTTTTTTTTTTTTGTCTCTTTTGTGGAGCTTAANTGTTTAATTTCCTACCTATTCTATTTCGATTCCGTGCATAATTCCTGTCTCTTATACACATCTAGATGTGTATAAGAGACCTGTGCTGATGCCTCCATCGTTTGCTACTCTGGATTTATTGGTGCACTGAAGTTTTCGTGGAGCTGGAGGTCAACGTTATCACGAACTTGAAATTGATGTAAGAGGTAGGTTGAATGATTTGCCGATGCTTCTTTGTTGGTCATATGGTCAAAATTCATTCTTCATAAAGTTATTGAATCAAAGTTAAATAAATTGAATAATATTTTATTCTTTCTAACTTACATATAATGAATTGCTTTTTATCGTTTTAGAAAACAGCATATTGCTGAACCCTATTTTCTAATGAGTAACAATAATAACAATTATAATGTTCTTATTCGAAGTAGATGTTACAAAATATGTGTATAACCCACTCTGTTTATGTATTGTTCCTTCATTTATATTGCGTTCTTCATGAAAATTTAGATTATAAAATTGAGTGCTCAAATAAATGCTTAAACTAAAGTTTTTTTTCTCCCCTAACGTGTCAAAACTTACACATTTTCAATGTCTCCTCGTAAATTCACTATATATATATATATATATATATGGACAAAAATTATTGACCAACTACCAGTTTGCGAATGTTTAACCTCCGCTGGCCCAACAAATTTGTACGAGCTTATATCATTTCTATATCAGTACTTATTTAAATACTGATATAGATATATCAAAATAAATATTTTAATACTTATACGAGCCTAGATCAGTATTTAAAACGTTCCAAGTAATCAGAAACCATATTTTTCCATGCCAACTGAAATAAGGTTCGACCATTGCTGTCGGAATCTATTTCTAGGAATGCCTTTGCAAGTTATAGTTTTCACTAGAAACAAACAATAACGTTTACACAACCTGAAGTTGAAGATAATAAAGCTGAGGCTAGTACCAGGTCACTAGGTTATGTTTTAAATGAGGCATTCGTTCAAAGCATAGGCTATGTACCTGTGCAACTTGTGAATGAACGCTAAATCATATATATCATTTGTAACTACCTAAGTACATGACGACGGAAGGTTTTCATGAAGTGAAGAGTGAACAAGTGAACATGCTCGCAATTTCTTTGGAACCTAAAAAAAATTCTGGCAACGCTTGCATGAACATATTGTAGTAAAATAACCTCGTTTTTAACAAGATTACTTTTCACTGGACAAAATTATGCGCGGAAAACGTGCTATGTAGCGGTTTCAGCCTTTATTAGGCCTGTCGCCGGTTCTAAACATTGCAGAACACATACAGCATGTTGCGGGCTTGAACTAGCAACTCGCTGCTTTAAATGTTCATGCTTAACTGCCCGGCGTCCTTGCCGATTCTGACCAGAAAGTGGCGCACATAGCTGACATCGAACCCGCACCTCTGTTCTTCAATTTGTTACTCTGAACATTAACCACTGGGCCGCCCTGCCCATCCTATGAAACCTAGACCCTAAAATTTATTTTGGAAATTTGACCCAAAAGTGTTCCTTCTTTCGTTTGGTCAAATTAATACTCCCTAGTTCTCGAGTTTTGCCAGTGAATAAATTTACGTACTGCATCAAAACCAAAATTCAGTGAAGGTAATAAAATACATATATTAAATTATTCATGTGTGCTGAAAGTATTTAAAACGTTCCAAGTAATCAGAAATACTCTTTAAACTATAAGTATTATTTGAAAGCTAAAAAATTATGACGTTTTCCTAATCATCTCTGATTATTAGTAAAAGTTTCGAGGGTCCTTTTCGTCGCAGAATTAGGCTACTAGCGTTTGTCAACAATCAGACTAATTAATAAAGTATGGTTTAATGTAAGTTATAAGCTCCCATTTTGTTACAGAATAAAAAATGATATAATTTTAGTCAGAAAACCATTTCTAAAAAACGAGAAGGAAGCTGAACCGCAATCAGGGTCGTTTACCGACCAAACTGTTCTGGATGTAAACATAAGTCCTCATGCTCATCTGCTACTTGAATTGACAGTTGTTTCTTCTGCAATGTAAAAAATCAAGAATTCACTAAGATACAGGATAAGGAGGAATTGTCACGGAACTTTTTAATCTTGCAAACATTTGCAAAAAAAGGGGGCCTGGCAGACCCCCCGGGCCCCCCAGAGAGTATTTTAGTTTTCTTCTAATGATTATTTGCGTGAATTTTCTTCAATCTTGGTCTATACCCGTATACCAAGTTATAAGACCTTTAAAAATCAAAGCATTTGAGATGCGGCGCCTTCACGTTTGGGCCCAAGGACTACAGATACATGGCAGGGAGCAATTTTATTGCTTCATTAAAATGATTTTTAACGGTACATATGAGAAGTTTTTTCACAATATTAATGCTAAAGAGCTGAAGCAAATAACCATATACGAATGGAGCGTCTAACTTAAAGTGCCTAATAAAGTATTTTAGAAGTGAGCAGAACCAAATCTTGGTTTATTTTTGATCGTTAAATTTCTAATAGAAATAATTTTTTTGAAAATGAGTTAAATATGCAGTAATTAGTGCAATTTTATCCTCTGTCGATACCAACTTACAGAAAGCTTCCTAAAATTACGCAGCTTGCACAAGAGTCTTTAACTCGTAGAACACGTTCAGAGCAGCGCCCGGACTAAGGCCATTTGGACGAAAATTTTGTCAATTATTGTCTACTTTGAAAAATCATATCTTGATCTCTATAGACGTTAGGATCATGAAACAGGGTCCAAATTAAAGGCAAAGACTTTTTCTTTATTGTTAGGGTTGTTGAAAAAATATACAAAATTTTTCCGTAGAGTTATTAAGCTTTTAATTGAGAAAATTCTAATTTTTGCATACAGCTTGGAATGAGCTGTGTGTGTCCAATTCAAGTTGTGTGGGAATTAGTTTTTATGTGTCTAATTCCGTTTCTTAACTTAATCATCTATTAATTTATTTAACCACTTGAAATCAGCAAATACAAGTATACTTAAAGGATTCCTAATATATTCACAGACGTATTTAAAAGTCTCAAGCCATAATATTCTTTCTACACAAACAGTTTATCACTATTTAGTAATGCAAGGTCAACTACCAACTTTCATATGTGTTTCAATGTTCTCACTAGTTGACTTGGACTTTTGCTCTGCGGAACTTAACATTTTTCCGCTAGACCTAGTGTTTTGCGTAAATCTTGCAAGCAATAGTATGATGTCACTATTTCAACCATCTATAGTATAGTATAATATAGTATAGTATCTTCAGCATTAAAGAATAGGCCTGGATAGGCCTGTTACTGATTCTTGTAGGTACTTTTCTTGACTAGATTTTGCATTATATATTTAAAAATTAATATTATTCATCAATCAAATTATGAATTTTATATATGGTTATATGAGTTTAGTATTAAAATTTTCAAAAGCATCATTGCTAGTAATTTTAATAATACCCAAATTAAGTTTTTGAACTTTTCATGCCTCTAGGAAAATTTTCATTGTTTAGTAGTAAGAATTACTGCATTTTGATAAATCAGAGAGGCAGGATTGTGAAAATTTAGGAATGTACATCAGTAAAATTTGAATATTATTAGAATTTGGATATTATTAAAATTTACTAGCAATGATGCTTTTGAAAATTTTAATACTAAACTCATATAACCAAATATAAAATTCATAATTTGATAGATGAATAATATTGATTTTTAAAGATATAATGCAAAAATTGTTGTTCGATTATGAATATCAAAAACATTATTTAAAAATGTTTCACAATTTATAGGAACATTACCTAGACAAGTAACATGACATGAGGTATTTGTAATTTAAATGCTCAACATTCATTGTGGTTACAGCATTCAATCATTCATAGAACAACTCCATTATTGTCCATTGATTCCAAATTAAATGACCATAAATGGATTTGGTTGGTAATTAATGAATCAATATTGCATATGGGAATGAAAATTTCCCTATTTTGTCAGAAACCTTTCATGAATGAATATGATGAAAAATTTATTGTTTGTAGTCAATGCAGTCTTTGTAATCACCAAATAGTTAATTTTAATATGATAAAGTATAAGAGTGAGATGGCCATGAGATTTGTAAGATCGTTGTCAATGTTAACAACAAACAAACAAACAAACAAACAAATAAACAAACAAACAAACAAACGCGAAGCTAAGCTAAGAAAAACGTGTTAAAAAAACATTGTTGTTCTTAGCATAAAAGATAGAATGTTTTTAATATAAAAGAAATATCAACAATTTCAGTAATAAATATAAGCCCTGACTCACTTGGCAACTGCCAATTGAAATGCCATGAAGCACTGACAAAGTGACAACTGCCTATTGGAGTCTGGACCAATCAGGGAGATGTAAGTTTTGTTGTGTGTGTATGTATGTCATTTTGCTCTCCTAAATAACCTCTGCTGTGTGTTATGTTGAACAGTAAACTCTGTATCTTAGTGTGAAATGATATTATTTCATTTAAGTTAGTTTATTGTCTTCAATTATTGTTAATGGACTAGTACATATCAGTACAATTACATTTTTTGAACATCTGTTTGAACTTTCAAGTGATTGCATCAAATGACATTGAAGGAGTGAGTTTGACTTTTTCACAAATTAATAAACACAGCCTTTCAATTTTTCAAACTTGAGTTTTTGGATTGAAACACTGGCTTACATGGATGGAAAGTAATATATGAACTACCATTTTTTAAAAATACAACCTGGCTCCATGGCTTAATCTGGTATACATGAGGCTCTAAGCCTCACTGGTGTACACCCGGGTGTACAAGGAGGCTTGTTGTACCCTGGAATTCTAGAGGGGTACTAAATTAACCAGTATGCATTGCATATTGGACACAACCAATCACAGTCTGGAGAGGATGGATGACATCACAATCCCAAAACATATTGGACACAACCAATCACAGTCTGGAGAGGATGGATGACATCACAATCCCAAAACTAAATCAAAGTCTGGAGATGATGGCTTACAATTCCACCAACCAATCACAGTCTGGAGTGGATGACATCATAATAAATCACAGTCTGGAGGTGGACATGCATCTGTCTAAAGATGACAGAAGCTTTATGCACTATCCTAGAATTCCTGCCTGCAAGGAGCTGTATATAATTATGTTCTTGGTGTACACACTGGCCTGCATACATCTGGGTCCAGCATGGGTGTTGCTTGCCTGCAGCTACTTAAAAGCCTCAAAATCTGCTCCAACTATCATCTGTTACAATACTGGTATTGCGAGGTATGAACCGGTATAAAATGGAACGTGATGTAACATTGCTTCTATCATTTTTCACATAATTGGCTGCATTTTCATTTTGGGCTCAGAAATACAATCTTCTCATTGAAATTCCCAAGCTAGACATGATTAATCTGCTCCAACATAGGATTGGAATTTTCCCACTTGTTACCAAAATCTCATGGTTTTAAAGGGAAATTTTTTCTAAACTTTCAGCTCAATCATGAATTTATGTCAAGAATTATAAGAGGTAATCCATCTGGTGGGCATCTTGCTGTTCTGCAAATGACATGAAAGCTCATTCAGGGCTCAAATGGTAGATGCCTGGCAAAAGAATTCTGTGAATCAGGTATCAACTATACTTGTATCTACTTTTATTGCTTCAACTAGAGCTTTCCTGACATTTTTAGAGCCATAAGATTCCCTCTAGATGAATTAGCTCCTATCTAATTGTTGACCAAAGTGCATGATCAAGCCACTAAATACCAAAATTATTTCATACTCCTTCCATTGTGTCTACTTTACTATGTTTTATTATAAGGCTCAAAATTTTCTTATGACCCCCATGTTGCTGCCAAGAGTAAAAAATATTTAATATATATGTGTTCAAATTTTCATTGTCAGATACTAAAGGAATCTGCTGCACCTTCTGACAGGTCTTTAGAAATTAATTGTATCTATACTGGACAAGCAACATGGATGAGGAATTTGATAAGAAGAAAGCCCACAATAAAAGGCATGCTGGCCGCAGTGCTGACAAAAAAGCTGAAAAGAATAAGCATATTCAAGAATACACAGACAAACAGCGCAATCCCAAGGCATTTACTTTCAAATCAGCTGTAAATGCAAGAAATAATTTTCTAAGGTAAGATAGTTTTTTTTGAAATGACCTTGTTTGCTTATATAAATCTTTATTTAGTTATGGATCATAAATATTCTCTGTTAGGAAGTGGAGTCCTGAAATAAAATGAGTTGTTGACTTTTTCCCAATATTCTTATTTTCCTGAGGCTTAATTTTGTGTCTAATACATTTTTTATTTTATTGTATAGGAAGCAGAATTTGCAGCACAAGAAACATCACATCCCAGTGGTAGACAGAACTCCTCTAGAGCCTCCACCTGTATTTATTGCAATTGTTGGTGGTCCATGTTCTGGGAAGAGTACTCTGATGCGCTCCTTGATTCGGATCTACAGTAAACAGAGGCTCACATCTATTGCTGGCCCTGTCACTGTTGTGTCTGGTGAGTGAAATACCATTGAATCCACCATCAAGACGCTGTCAGTGTTAGCACTTATTCCCCTCATGTATTATCAACATGAAACTGACCTTTAATTCAATGTCACCTCATTAAATATCATTGTAAGTTGGACAAATCCCTAAATAAAATATGTATATATACCCTATTTTTGTTCTCAGTTCACTCTCATTGAAAAGAATGGCTTGATATGATCAGGAAGTATAGTTTCATTTTTATCTGATGAATTGCTTTATTTTTCCAGGCAAGAAGAGAAGAGTGACATTTTTTGAAGTGAACAACGATCTTAATTGTATGATTGACATTGCTAAAGTGGCAGACCTGGTCTTGATGCTAATTGACATCACTTTTGGTATCGAAATGGAAGTCTTTGAATTCCTGGAGATTTGTCGAGCTCATGGCACTCCAAAAATTATGGGGGTGAGTAGTCACTGTTCAACTAAAAGCATATGTTATTCTATCCAACTTATGAATGACACTTGAATTAGATTTATAATAAGCTTTTTTCTTGCAATTATGTTTAGTTAACATTATTTTAACATCAGATGCCTGGTGTGTGACACTAAGCTGTAAGAATTTAATTTCCTTTAATTAGGCTTCAAAGATCTTCTGATGTTTCAATGTCTAGAATATGAATTAAAGTATGACAGCAATGTTATCTTCTAGCACAACTTCACTCAGCTTTCTAATTTCATTTGTGGGCATTATCTGCAACTTTCTTTTATGTTTGCCTACACTTCCATGTAGGAGATGCTTCTTACTTTGTCAATTTGATCTAAAATTTGAAGAATGTAATTATAGGCTCTAGTATATTTTATTAAATTAAAATTATTTTTATTTCTGTTCTTTTCATTTGAGAATTATTTTATATCTCAGGTCCTTAATCACATTGATGTCATGAAAGATAACAAGTCTCTCAAGAAACAGAAGAAGGCCTTAAAGCAACGTTTCCAGGTTGAACTTTATCCTGGAGCAAAACTATTCTACTTGACTGGTGAGTAGCTCAGTCAAATATGTGTAGTTTGTTCCTGCTGTGGTTATAAGATTGATAAGATGGATAAATTTATAGGAAAATTATAGCTAATAATTTCTTCACAATAACCTCATTTGAAATTTTTAAATTATATTTTTGTTAGAGTAGAATAAGCATGATTGCAAGGTGAATAAACGGTAATTAATGAATTTAAAGTACGGTATGTGATTTGTCCTCACCTACGGTACATTATTATTATTTTTTTCAGGTATGATCCGTGATGAGTATATGCTTCATGAAGTCAAAAATTTAAGCCGCTTCATTGCTGTGAGCAAATTTCGACCATTAACATTTCGATCTTCTCATCCATATGTTGTTGGTGAGCAGACCTTATTTATCTCCAAGATGTGTGAAGATTTTTCAATATAAAGAAATAAATATTGTTGATAAAGTGACAATTTATTCATAATTCATATCATCAGCTGTCGATTGAATGCCTAAGTGTACGGTATTAATGATTAGATACAAGAAAATAAATTATTTGTATTTTAAAATTTTTCTGAAGTGCTATGATGGTTTCTTCTAGAGAAATGAATCATTCAAATTAGTGAAATTACTCTTCCTTGTCAAAGAAAGAGTCATTGCACTTCCTTGCATCTGAATGTTTCTATTTGCATCATTCACTTGTGCAGTTGACCGATGGGAAGACCTCACTGATGCTGAAGCTTTAAGAAATACCAAGTGTGACAGAGATGTGGTGCTCTATGGTTACGTCAGGGGCGCCACTCTCAAGCCCGGCCAGCAAAAAGTAAAGTTCATAGTTTCCGTTTGCAATTTAATTATTCTTTGCAGAAATTTTACTCTCTCTGGCTTTTAATTCCTTTTACTAGTAAGTTTTTCTCTTAACTTTAATTGTATATTTCTCTTATGTTTTCCTTTGCAATTAACAAATGAACATTTTTTCATCAATTATACATTATAACGCTACCATTCTTGAGGTTTCCTGTATTTTACTGATAGTTATACCCAGATTTTCAGGGTAATTTGAATTGAAAGTTCCAATGTTGGCAGTATTTAAAAGATTTATTATTAGTCTCGGAAATTTGCCAGGTGCACATACCAGGTTGTGGGGACTTCGTGTTGGACAGCATCCAGTTTCTGCCCGATCCTTGCCCCCTGCCGTCGCACGAGAAGAAACGATCGCTCACCTCCGAGGAGCACCTACTGTATGCGCCCTTCTCAGGCGTGGGGGGCGTCGTGTATGACAAGGACGCCGTCTATATTGACCTGGGTGGCTCGCAACACGGCCGCTACATCAAGGAGCAGCAGGAGAAAGAGAAGAAGCTATTGCAGCAGCAGTTTGTGCAGTCTGGTGTGACTGTTAGTATCATTACACTTGTTGTTGCTCTAGTTGTATATTTTAGCTTATCTTCAATGAATCTTCCATTATACATTCTGTTCATCTTAGCTTTTCCTACATTTATTATTGTTATAATCTTCTTTTATCTCACTAGATGTTTAGAAGCTCACTCAAATGCTGTCTAATTAAAACCAACTGGCTGGTTGTGTAAATCGGTGCCAACTGGAAAATATTGGCAAAAAAGTTCAGTTCAAATCTTCTATTATTTATTTTTTTGCTTATATTTTGCTGCCTCACTGTAGGATGACTGCATATCCGCAAAATTCGAAGCATTCAATTTTCCGATGAATATCCTGGCATTATTATATTAATCTGCATCTCGTGCTCGTGAACGTTCATATTTTGAATACCGCCAACAAATACATTGTGTGTTTGTGTATTCAACAGAAAAGTGTGGAGGCTCGTGCCGATCAAGACGATGAAGATGATGACCATGACGAGGGCAACGCTGATGAGGACAGCGATAACGACGAGGAAGCAGAAGACGACGATAACGAAGGAGCAGTGCAGCTCATGAGCAGACTGCAGCGCTTGTCAGCGAGCGCCGCTGACGGCACACGTCGCGTTCAGCTCTTCGCAGGCGGCGAGCACATCATCTCTCAGAGACCCGAGCCTCGATACAACAACCCTGGGTGGGTAGATCTTGCATCATGTCATGTCATTGATTGTACAAAGCTACGTGAATATGTAGAAATCGATTCATGAAAGATTATGATCATACTTGATCATGATAAAGTATTCATATGGGGTCATGAAAATGCGAAAATCATTTACATTTGCTAGATGACTGTGGTGGGGGATTGCAATCATTTTTGGTGCGAAAGATGTCTAATAACATTGATGTCTTTTTAGAGCTTACACAGGTGAAGGGTCTATAATGTGATGACATACATTTATCCGCGTCATTTAGATGCTCGTGTTCGAAAATGTTGTTTTAATTAGTACTTAGAAGTAGTATTTTTTCTCTGTAGGTATTATAATTTGAAGGCAACCTAAACAGTGCGTAGGTTCACAAATTAACTGAAGACGTCTTCTGAACATCAGCGCATCTACAATCGACCTTGCATGATGTGAGCGGAGAATTAGATTATTTTTTCACGAGGTGCCGATTTGTGATACCCCTAACAAAATTAAAGTGGCGGATCACAATTACCTTTACCTCACGCTTGAATTTCACTTTTAACTTAGAATTAGTGCTTGTGTTTTTGCTTCTGGTTGTTATTAATTGTGGGTTAATATATCTTCTTGGACGTATATTTTTCAAGAATTAAAAGTGCAAATTTATTTAACGCCTGATAGTGATTCAATGTAGAAATACGGGCGTTTAATTTGTGATTATCAATTACGAATGGCCTATGTGTACAGTGCTGGAGGGCTCCCGAGCTTCGAGAGCGTCGTGGACCAGACCGGCCGAGTGCGAAGGCGTGCGCTAATACCTGAGAACGAGGAGTACCGCACCAGCGGCGGCATGGCTGATGCGGGGCGCGGCCCAGCTCCTGCTGGGGGCGATGATGACAACTCCAGTGATGAGAACGACTCTATTGACGACGACAGCGAAGAGGGTGATCAAGATGACAAAGAAATCGAGTCTGATGGTGATGAACAAGAAGATATGGATAACGATGAAAATGATGAAGTAAAGTCGGATGATGAATCAGATACGGAAGTTCTTCCCAAGAAAAGAAAGGCGCATGTAAGTTTTTTTTGTTGGGCAGCTCATTATAAACTTCAGGTCATGAAGACTTAAATTATATTATGTGAACGGTTCAAACCGGAAAAGAGTTATATGCTTGACCGCATCCTGTTACGTGTCTCATAGTGTCAACCTTGTTTCGTAGAATGATAATAACTATCTGTTTGAAAGGTCAACTGTGGTATATACTCTTACATTGAAATATTTGATTACATTTGGTGGTTTCTAAATACTTGTTAATAATATCTATAACGCCTTGATTATGACGGTATTCCATTCATAAATCGCCACTCACGTCTTTCCAGTAAATGTTGAAGAAGAAAAGTTTTATATTGTACCAAGTTTATTACAATTAACATAATAACTCTTTGGTTGAATTGAAGTGATTAGTTGTATTATTTGTGTTCTAAGGATTCGGGTGTCATCAACACAAATGTGACCAGCAAGAAGAAGCCCAAACTGGAGGGCACGGACGCATTCTCTAAGATCCAGAGCGTCCTGCAGTCGCTCGAGGAGGATGAGGAGGGCCAAACCTCGTCAGGAACTGATGACGTTGGCTATGCCAGCGGCGACGTAGGCACCTCTGGCACAGCAGATCCAGACGATGAAGATGAGGGAGATGAAGAGAATGATGGCGATGATGAATACCAACGCCTCATGTTCGAAGAAGCTCGTCAGAATTACTTCGAGCATCAGAGCGATCCTCTCACTGTGGATGCTGCTGTGTATGGCGATGGTATGACGCATTCCATCCAGGTTGTTTATTGTTGATTTACTTGTTAGTTGCCATGAATTGTTTGCTTTCTTTAGATTATGGCTTTCCAAAAATTTGAAAACGTTTTCTTATAATTATGATCTCAGGAATTTGTTCTTTTAGTTAGAAATCCCGATCAATTTTCAAGCTAATTATGTAGTTTATTTCTCCATATTGCGTATGTCCATTCATGAACCACTCCTCCATGTCTCACAGAATTGGTTCGTGGGTACGGGGAGGAAGAGATCTACGGCGGACAAGGGGACAAGCCTAGGGTGCCAGTGGCTGACGAGGACGATGATGACGGATTCCTGCAGCGGGTCGAAGTAGTCAAGACGATCTATGACGAGCGCGATAGCAGCTGTCGCAAGTATGGCAATGTCCTGAGGGAGTGGAAGGACGACTACAGCGCCGTAAGTTCCTCTCTAACGGTTCCTCAAGTTTCTTTTTCTTTTCCAATATTGACGTGACGAGTTCACTGTAGAAGAATATTGTAAGTTTTTTTTTGTATTATTCTGTTGCCACTGGGTATTTATTCTTATTAATACCCTGTCGTTGTCGGCAGTATTATCACCAATTCTCCTATTGAGAATTGTTGGCTAAAGGAAAAATTGTTGGTTAATTTGAAATCCTCCTCCTTGGTGAATTGTTGCTAAAATTTGAAATCCCGTTTGCTCGGAACTTGGAGACGATTTTCACAAGCATGCAGCTTTACATGAAAAGTTGATGATATGTAAATATGTAATTTGATGAGCAGGCAGAACATGCTTGTTGTATTACCATGTTCGCATTGCTGACAGAACATTTTTTTTTCAGGAAAAAGATAGTATAAAAGATTGCTTCGTAACTGGCAAGTGGAAGGACAGTGAAGACGCCCAAACGTTGCTGAAGCTTGACCAGGGCGACCTCTATGGAGACTTTGAAGATCTGGAGACTGGCACCAAGTTCCAAGGGGAGGATGATGACGAGACCGACAAGAAAGATTCTGGTAAGGGCAATTTCATAAGAATTTGAAAATTTCTACGACCAAGCCCAGTGCTTGCCATGAACTTAACTAAATGTTCATATCTGAAGGAAATTTCTAATTATTTTCTTACAAATTTCTTAACAAATGAAATGATGAAAAAATTAAATTGTTAATTTTGATGTGTGTGTGTATTTTTAGCTCTAAATAAATTATTCACTATCGTGCAATTCACAATATTTCCCCACACAATGATTTTATTTACGGAGTATATTCCTCAGAAACTCTTTTAAATAAAATAAATTCTAGAACATTGATCTCGATTTCTTGATTTGGCATCGATAAAATAGATTTTACAAATCCTTGTAATACCAGTTAGGTGTTTTCGTTACTATTATTTGCGCACTATTGTTTTGGCCAAGGTTTCCTGGTTTGTAGTCATTGAGTGAATTGTATGTGTTTCAGCTGCGGATGAATTTGCTGCAGCAACAACCAACAAATCAGAAAATAGTCGCAAGCAAAGAATAATAGAAAAGAAGAAAAAAATCAAGGCTAGGCTTCTGGAAAATGAAATGGACTCAAATACAGACTATTTTGATAGCTGGAAGGCAGACATGGCTCAGCAGGCTGAAGTAAGTCAACTTCCAATCAACATATTGGTTCTTCAAAATGACGAGATGGGGACTTAGTGCTTTCCCATACTACTGGAGACAGTAATCTTCTATACACATAAAAATACTTGTTTGTTTATAATGCCTGATGTCAGTTTGTTTTTATTCATGTTTGTATATAAATTATTATTTTACCTAATTCATCATGCTACTAGTTTTTTACTCCGATTTTCACCTATTAATGACTTCCAATTTAGCTATGAATCGTTCATTCCCTCAACTTTTCTGGTATAAATAAATAAATAATTTTTGAAAAGAAAACTCCTGGCCATTTCCGAATAATCAATAAATGAACTAATTCACAGTTAAACCGGACCGAGTTCGAGAGTCTGAGCGATGAGGTGCGAGTGCAGTATGAAGGCTTCAGAGCGGGCATGTATGTAAGGCTGCGCTTCAAGAGCCTGCCATGCGAATTCGTCATCAACTTTGACCCCACATACCCTCTGATCGTGGGAGGACTCAAGGAGGAGGAGAGCATGAATGTTTACAACCGAGTGAGTAACACTCTTCTAACAATGAATAGATATTGCTGGACATCTGTGACTGCTAACGATTGTTAAATTTTTGCCCTTACTTTAATTGGTGCGAATTCATATTCTGTATTGTTGGAAAGCTGTAATTTTCTTTCCTACGTGCTCGAGATTGTGAATTAATAACTGCAAGAAAAACTTGTTTTCTTGCTACCGAGACCTGCTAATGTGTATTCTGATCCCTTGCAACTAACAGACCCCTAACAGCTATTGTTTTCATAAGGTGCGAATGAAAGTTCATCGTTGGTACCCCAAGATCTTGAAGAACCGCGACCCCCTCATCCTCTCGGTGGGATGGCGACGTCTCCAGACGATGATGTATTATGGCAAACGTGAAGACGATCTCAAACTTCGGTCTCTGAAGTATGCCAAGAAATATTTACACGTTGAAGGCCTGTTTTGGGGCCCCGCTTCGCCCGTCGGTACGGGGTTTGTTGCTTTCCAGAGCGTGTCTGACCGCGTGAGGAACTTCCGCATTGCCGCCAACGGCGTCTTGCTGGACAATGATAAAAGCACTACGATGGTGAAGAAGTTGAAGCTGCTTGGTCACCCCAGAAGCGTAACAAAGAAAACTGCTTACATCACAAATATGTTCCATTCAGAAACCGAGGTAGCGGCATTTTTGGGCGCCAAGATACAAACTCAGTCTGGCATCAGGGGTCTCGTTAAGGCTAGCAATGGTCTGAAGGGCGATTTTAGGGCCAAATTTGAAGACACCATAAAAATGAGCGGTGAGTTCAAGACTTGAAATTAATTTAGCACTTGTTGCCATTGCCAGTTTTTTGCTTTAGGTTGACTTAATTTGTCTATTACTTGAAAACAATTAGAATGATTCCTTAACTGTGGTTTTCATCTTAGAACAAAGTGCAATCATGCTATTAGTATGAGCACTGTTATTACAAATTAGTCTAATTCATGTTCAAAATTCGAGTGATCAACAATAGGAGTCCTGTTAAATTACTGACAGAACTTCTGTTCCTGTCGATAATGTGACAATTAATTGTCATGACTCGAAGTTGTGGAATTGTGAGACTGACATTAGTGTTAACGGCTCGCTCTGATCTACTCTTGTTGTTTGCAGACGTTGTCCTATTGAAGACTTGGACTAACGTTGAGGTTGCCAAGTATTGTTCGTATGTGCGCTCCCTGCTGTTGACGCCGGAGCAGAAAGCACACTGGCAGGGAATGAAGACGGTTGCTCAAGTTAAAAAGGAGAAGAACATCAGGAATGAACCCAACAAAGACTCTCTGTACACGGTGAGACCAATTATTTAAATACAGCCACTGAGCTTTGACGTCAGATCAATAGTTTTGAAATGATTTACCAGTCATAATTATTCATAGTATTGGCGCTTCTTGTGGTGGAAAAGTATTTTTTTTTTTAATTCCATCTCCAATAAAAATTCCCTCGTGAAACAAATGCAAGCTCCGGCGTTCCATCTGTTAGTCTGTGACCACTTGTTCCGCCCTTCTGTTATAAAATTTGGAAATGTTATAGAGTTGTTTCCGTATAGTGATTCAATCCAACACGGCGTTTACGCAAGTAAACCACGAGTGTCATCATGGGGATTGCTTTCACTTAGCATGATAGAGGAAATTATATTGATATGTCTTATGGGCCAATAACGATGGAGTTGCTCTATTTTGAAATTATCCCATTACAAAGGCAAAACTTCTCATATTATCTAAATTTCATGTTGCTTGAAACATGTTTGAATTGTTCAGGAGATCACACGGCGACGAACGTACGTGCCGCAGCCGATGAAGGTACCGCGGTCGCTGCAGGCAGCCCTGCCGTACAAATACAAACCAAAGCACCAGACCGCCGTCGCGGAGGAGGAGCGCGTGCTCGTCGTCAAGGACCCGCACGAGGAGAAGGTGAGATCTGCAACCCACTGCCTTACATTTCTGCATCCCGTAACTTTCTCTTCGTCACTGAATTTGTCGTGTCGTAACAAGCATGTTACTCTTGTTAATTTTGTAATAAAAATCCACTTGTATTCATAAATCGCACAAGGTCTATTATTTGCCAGCGATGAATTAATTAATCATTTCCTTTGTTTTGAAAACGGTTGCTTATCATTGTTCTCGGCCTTCATCATCCTACTTGCGTTCACGAGTATCATCCAAGAAAAGTGCTGACTAATTTCACTGTAATTCGTGCACTCACAAGGACCTGAATCAATTTTTCATTCATAGCCTCGAAATTCGATAGCATTGTTCGTGTGATATTTTTAGTCTCGAGCTCAGGTGTCATTTTACAAACATTTTATCGTAGTAATGCCATCATCAATCGCGGATAGAATTTTGCTTAATATTCTGTAGTTATGCATCATAACGCGTCCACTGGTCACCTTGTAGTACGCTTGCAACTCTTTCATTATTCTGGTATTCACCTATTACGCCCATTCTTTACATTTCGAGTAATCATATTTATCTCTGCAAGAAGGTAGCTATAGTGAAAATGCTTACATATCAGTATAGCATCGGGAACGGTTAATGTATCCATATGCAGAGGTTTGAAAGTTTGTAAAGCCGTTGAAGCATCAACTATTTCACTAAAAGTTCGCGATGACGTACAATATGGGGGGACAATTGTACGTCGCGATGACGTACAATTGTGTACGTCGCGATGACGTACACAACCGGTGAATCAATAATATTTTTTAGTGTTTAACACGTGACGCCTACCCTCAGATGGACCGCTTCATGAACCGGTACCGGGAATTGCTGGAGGAGAAGAAAAAGCAAAGCAAGATCGCCATGAAGGCCAAGAAAACAAAGTTCCTCAAGAAGAAGAAAGAACAGGACATGTTCAGAGCAAACAGGGAGAAGAAACAGAAAACAGCCGCGTGCAAGAAATACAGCCTCAAGCACCCCAAGAAACCATGAAAATTCAAATAAATTTATTGCGAGATTTGGTGGTTTTCGTTCCAATAGAACATTTTTGCGAGCACGATGAAGCATACGGTGCTGCAACGTGTATTTTTTAGCAGAGAAAAAGTTCTTGTGTGCATTAGGCAAATTAGAACATAGTTTTAGATCTCGAACATTTTTTATTACAAATCTATAACAATAGGATATTTATACAGCATTTATTTTGAGGTTTAAATCCTTGTACATGATGAACAGTCGTCATCAAGCACATGCTTAGCGAGACATCAACACCAATTAATATAACTAGAACTACATTTCACAGCATATTGCTGTCTCGTGACCTGACCCTCCTAGTACGAGTAAGAAATATTCACGAGTTCTAAAAACTGTTAAAGCTGCAAGCACTTAGCCTTTAAACTGATAATAATCTGGAGTTACACGCAAATTCTCTACTAATGAAGCGAATATTTCAATGAAATTCATTTTTTTGGTCCTTCGACATTGTACTGACCGCATTCTCACGACTCGTTATCACATATTAAGTGATGATGAGAGAGAGAGACCAACTAGCTCATTCAGTAATTGTCTTCACAGTAATTTAAAACTATCACAAGCATATATGCATATTTTCTCAGTGCAAGCTCCTAATTAATGAGAGCCAGACGTCTTACCAGACTTAGCATTCGCAGGAACTTCTCTTCATTATTACGCAGGAGCTTTTCGTTATATTACGTCTCTTAGGAACGCTGTTGTGCTGAGGAAGATGCGCTACAGAACGCGGTCTTTGAAGGCAAGTGCCGTGATGACTTTACGGTGCCCCTGGTACCGTCGCTTCACGGACGACGTTTTGATTGACCATAGCCGCGCCACGTAATCCGATGATCCTGCAACACGAAAAACTGATGAAAATTTGCTGCTGCACCAGCAATTAATAAATAGGGATATAAGCTTCAGTTGATGACGAAAAAACAAGGAACCTTATTTTCAACTGTTTATGGATTGTTTGCATTAAATTTAATGTTATCGATAACTCACCAGTGAAAAGGTATTGTGAATCCCCCGAGTAAGCAGCATCCCACACCCATTTTTGCTGCGTGTCAGTCAGAGTTGTCACTAAAGAAAAATCGTCGGTCCGCCATATTTTTGCCGTACAGTCAGCTGATGTTGTCACCATCGTACTAAAGAATAAGAAAAAAAAAACTCACGATTTTATTCAACTGAATTGATCATTTGAATTGCCTCCAAAAAAAAATAGATCATTGAGTCTCGTGGCTTTGCGTGTATTCTCTCAACTAGGTATTCTAAAAAGTTGCAAGGCGGGGAAATTTATTGTTACTAAGTGCACAAAAATGGCTTGACTCACTTGCAATCGGGTGCGAAGCGTACTTTAAGAGCGTATGTTGAGTGGACGTTTATCTTGTGGACAGGCACAATTCTCGGAGGTGCTCCAGTAGAGCTGCCATCCAGCCGCCAGACGTACGCCCTTCCTTTGTTGGTGACGGCGGCAAGCATCTTGCCGTCGCTGCTCACGTCTAGGTGCTGGATGGAAGCTTCCACCTCGGGAATCTAGAGCACAAAATACATCCAAGTGGCAAATGAATTCATTTCCTCATCTTTTTCTATTTACTGAGTTTCCGTAAAACAGAATATCTTTTTCCTGGCAATGATGGTAGCAATGATAACTGACCTAGGTACATGAAATAAAAAAAAACTGGAAGGAAAGCAAGTGAAAATCTAGATTGTTATTAGGCACTACTGGATGCAACTTTCATGTCTCCACATAAATAAACTTATAGGTCAACAACAATCCTGGGAAATGTCACAATGGAGAATCTTGTATATAAAATAAAAATAGGATATGAAGTTAGCAACAACTACCTACATGATTAAAGCAATAATGTCTTTCTGTTAATTTTACTTGCTTGTCTGGTAAACTCACCAGCTGTTCACTGTGTTTGGTCTTCACATCCCAGATGTGGATGATACCTGATTGGTCCCCAATGAAGAGCTGGGCTTGATTAGGATGTAATGTTGCACATAACACTGGTGAATCTATTTGGAATATTCTTGCCACCACCAGACTTCGTGCTCTGAAATAATAATAGAATTAAAGACTTCAAGCCAATCCTGGACCATGTCCCCTCAAGGCATCAAAATATTTTATTTTATTATGTTAAAGTAATATAAAAACAGGTGACTAATTAATTGTATGTATCCTCAACAAATATTCAAAAAATTTATATTATTGTAAGACTTTAAGAAGAATGTTCAATGAACATTGTCTGATGAAAATTAACAAATCAAAAGCTTTATTTTTGACTTGTTCATTTATGGAATGAAAAACCAAAATTACTATAACAAACCCTGCAACAATAAGCTTTATACCTGTACTTTTAATTTTAGAATATCATGAAAAAGCAACATACATACCCTCTTATATCCCAGATTTTAGCTGTGCAGTCTTCCCCGCCTGTGTACATCCACTTTCCATCTTCTTGGAAGCCAAGTGCTGTGACATTTTTTTGAATTCCATCATAGCTGATGAGGTGGTTGGGGGAGTTGCTATTGATGTCATACATGCGAACATGTTGGTAACCTGCAGAGCCCAACAGGAAGCGGTCTGGACTGATGGCAAGTGCATTGGTTTGCTGCAAGTCATTTTAAGGAAAACTATTTTGTAAAATTGGTGATGAAATTGAGTGCTTATTGTTCATGCAGCGCAACATTAGTTTAGCATATATATTTATGCATGTTTTTTTAATATATATATATATATGCTCTGTGATTAGGCTGTCAAATAAATTTCCACCACAAAACTGATATAGCTGGTACATGTAATCATACACCATAAGTGGGACATTATTCAATGATTACTAAACTGAGCTTGACTCAGTTACATTTTAATAATGAAGACACCNACCTCTTATCCGAAAGCTTGAGAGATTAAACTCAAAAGATGTCCTCAATAAAACTGGCATTATTTTTAACCAAACATGTTTAAATGAAGGGCTCTACCCTAAATATCCAAATACAATGCATTATATACAGGATCTACCCATCAAATCTGGCAGCAATACTCCATCTGATGTTGGTAATTTTTAGTATTTCCAATACAAAATCTGTTGTATATTCTTATTATTTTGTTATAGATTTCTCATATAGTATAAAGCATTGGCCTAGTATTTCTGAGCCAGTAGGCACAGGAGAAAATAATTCAATAAAAATCATTAATAAATCCTAATTTTTTTCATAATTTGAATAATTGTTCATTAAGAATATTGTTCAAGTGGAAGATTGTTATAACTCCTGAAAACACTTTTGGCAAATAACGTACCAACGCTCAATGAACTACAGGTTATGTCTCTACGCCATATTGATCGTAAATAGTGTGCATCCATGTCAATCATGCCGCATTGTTTGCGAATCGTGAGTGTCCAAATCAATCATTGGGCATCGGCTACATTGATCGTAAAATGCATGCAACCATGTCAATCGTGCCGCATCATTCGTGAAAAGAGAGAGTCCGCCACGTTGATTCTAAGATGCATGCATCTGTGTCAATCTTGCCGCGTCATTTGCAAAGCATGTGCATCAAAATCAATCATTGGGCATCAGCCACATTGATCGTAAAATGCATGCATCCATGTCAATCATGCTGAATCATTCGTGAAGTGAAAGAGTTGGCCACATCAATTCTAAAATGCATGCATCTGTGTTGATCATTGATCATAAAGCATGGGCATCTATGTCAATCATTGTGCTCATGTCAATCATGCCGCATTGTTCGTAAAGCGTGAGCATCGGCCACATCAATTGTAAAATGCATGCATTTGTGTTGATCATTGATCATAAAGCATAGGCATCTATGTCAATCATTGTGCAACAGCCGCATCGATCGTGCAAGTACTTACGCCATTGTTGGTCATCGGGCTTCAGCTGAATAAATTGTAAAGCATGCGTATCAGCATCGATCATCAGGAATCATTCATAGATGCACTTTTGTTTTTCCTGCAAACATACTGGCAAATTTCTTCCCTGGGGTACTGGCGTACATCCCAAATAAACTTCCAGCGCCCACACTGCACCTTCCAGACCATGGGCAATCAATTTTGGTGTCCTCAGCCCTTGCTGTCTGTTTGCTGCAAACATTGGCATCCACAGTTTATTTAAATGGTGCCTTGGCATCTTTTGGGCAGAATAACAGCATCCTTGACCTATGTTGTGTAATGTAAACTCTACAGACTGGATAGTGATCAATTTCTTACGTATGATAATTGATAATGCTGGCATCTAAAATATTTACTAACTTACTATTCTACTTATAAAACTAAACAATGAACTTGAGGAGGGGCAAAAAAAAATATATTCTCCTTAGAACCTATGTCCTCTATGGGCCACTGGCCACTGGGTTTCCTTTGGATGCCAATGTGGGGTCAAGCAGGAATGGAATATATCTACTTGGCGAGCAGCGACTGACTTCTTCAAGCCGTCGTTTTATGGATTTGCCAGTCGTGATTCCATTTCTCTGAGCCATGAATTCTATACCTTGGCCATTAAAAGCCATTTATAAGCCGGCAGCTGCAAACCTTTTACCAAGTCCCATACACGTGTTACCCCTAATCTCTAATTTTACCCTAAAAAAAGTCAACACTAACATTTGTCTTTACTTAAGTCGAGTGGCAACTGATCTCACGACAATGCTGTCTGACCACTCTGACGTGACCGCAGCTACATAATCTTTAAGGAAACGTTTTATTTTGACTTGTTGTACTGTAAATGCACCATATTCTGACATTATGGAAAATTTCAACACTTCTCAACTTCTTCCTTTACATTAAGCTTTGTCTTAGTTCCACGCATGCGTAGATGGTTGAAATAGTGACGTCATACTATTGCACGCAATATTTCCGCAAAACACTAGGTCTGGCCAGAAAATGTCAAGATCCTCAGAGCGAAAGTCCACATCACCCAGTGAGAACATCGAAAAACGTGTGAAAGTTGATAGTTGACCTTGCTCTACGAAATAGTGAAAAACTGTTTGTGTAGAAAGAATATTATGGTTTGAGACTTCTAAATAAGTCTGTGAATATATTAGGAATCCTTCAAGTATACTAGTATTAGCAGATTTTAAGTGGTAAATAAATTAAGAGATGATTAAGTTAAGAGATGGTTTTAGACACATAAAAACTAATTCCGACACAGCTCGGAATTACACACAGCTCGTGCCGTGATGATGCCGAGCTGTGTTGTATTCTGACAAAGCTCACAAAGGGTATCGGAATTCCAACACAGGGCGTCAGAATTACGATCTTGAAGCGCTGTCGGAATTAGTCTCTTAATATGCAGCACTTAGTCACACATGTGTTGGAATTCAGCAATTTTGTAGGTTCGAATTTTATAGGCTTTTAAATAAATATGGCAACAGTTTGTGACATTTCATCATTGCTGGCGCATAGTGTGGTGTTTTGAGAGTGACGTAAACCAATCAGAACTAGAGTTGCGCATACGGTGATCTATTTATAGCCATTTATTTCTTGCTACGTCCTAGAGGTGTCGGAATATGGTGTGCTTATCCTAATTATGTTGTGCAGGATATTTTTGGCAGGATTGTCATTTGTCAAGTATTGCGGAAGTTCTATTTAATTTATGACATGTTGAAAATTGCAGAAAAACGTTGCAGAAGTTTTATATTATTAATGACATGAAAATTTTATGAAATGACATGTTTGCGGAGTGCAAACCGCAATAACCACAGTTTTCACTCCGCAAACATGTCGTTAGGTGCATTTTTTCAAACAAAAATACATGACTTTAGAGCCGCAAGATTTCATGGTAAACGTGGTATATTCCGACATCATGGGTAATTCCAACACCTCTCTAGTTTTTCTCTTTATATTAAGCTTTGTTTTAGTTCCATGCGTTTGTTGATGGTTGAAATAGTGACATCAAACATTTGTGCATCAAACTACTGCCAAAACACTAGGTCTGGGCCATCTAGCAGGAAAATGTTGAGATCCAAAGAGAGACGGTGCTGCGGTGCATCTAGCACCTCAGCTGCTTTTGCTAATATGAGTGGGTGGATATCATCCGGGCCCGCCGCCTTGGTAGGGTTGAGTTCGGAAAGCAGCTTCCTGACCTTCTCCACTGAAAAGTCAAAGTCCACCAGTTCCTCTCGGAGTGTTGCTGCGGGGGGGTCAGGGAGGGGACCATCCGGTTCAACTGTGAACAAGCTTTCGAAGAAAGCGTTGAGGATATCAGCTTTTTTTCATTTCTCGATGCGTCCTTAATGTGTCGGAATATACCACGTTTACCCTACCTACTAAAATTATATGATATTAAGAGCCACGATTTTTCAGAAAAAAATACAACTTTTCCAGCCTTTGTGTCAAGGTTGCTGTTGAGTGTTGACTGTTGAAGTGTTGAGTGATGAAAATCATCAAAAAATGTCAATATCTCAATTTAAGAAGGCCCTAATATAGGTACAGCTTGGAATTGGTGTGCAATGTTTCATATACCTACATATACTACTAATTGTCAATGTATGACTAAACAAACAAAATAAAAAATTCTCATGCAGCTTGAACATCTTCCTCTTCCTGACTAGATATAAGGATTATTTCATTATTTGTCATATATATAATAATGACATACATTTAATGAGCACACCAATTATTTTCACAAAATTTGGAATGATGCGAGATTAAAACTTAAAAGAGCAGTTTGCATTTTGCAACAAAGGATACACTCTCCGGATGAGAAAAAGTCCTTGCGCATTCTCCATTGTGTGCGTGCCAAATTTTAATATCAAAATCATAACTTGCCGTTGCCAATATTATGCTGTCATTTTTAGTATCCATGTCGAAGCCCTAAACGATAAAATACGAAAAAGGCGAGTCAGTAAATGAGACCTAAAATTTCCATTCCTTCACGCTTTGGAAGGAGACTGCTAGCCTCCAATTCAAAATTACTACTGAAACTGCCTTGTGCCTTCGTCGTACAATTTCCCATGGAACTGTTGCAGACGCCAGACGGCAGATGTGTGGTCTGTGCCTCTGTGGTGCTTCACCGTTCACAAGCGGGAACGCAGCCGAACACGACCTACTTTGAAAATGCTTTAGAATAGAATAAAAGTGTCGGCACTGAAGAAATAGGCCCGTAGCCTGTTGCCGATTCTTGAATTTTGAACCAATTTTGAACAGGCCTTCCAAAGTTCATCGGCAAAATTTATGAAGTCAAAATTTTCTGGGTTGTTTCATTTTAAATGCTCATCAAGTTGACCGAGTCCATCGTCAAAAAAGATTGACAATTCAAAATTAAATTCCTGATATTTTTATAAATAGGTATTTTATGCGAATTTCGTTTTTCAGCTTACAGATTTGAGAAACTGAGTTGAATAAATGAAGTTGCCTATAAAAAAAGTCACGAGATAATTAAATTCAGATAATACTAACCCAAATAACTAATAAACAGTATTGTGCCTAGTAGCAAGCGCAATCAATTGTGGGAGTCGGGGGGGGGAGATTCGCGCGTTTATCACTGTTAAATGTTTTGTTTTGAGTTAGTACCAAGTCATAAAGCATCGGGAGTGGTTGTGCGCAGGGAACTCCGAAAAGTTCAAACTCTGTCTCTCTACTTCATACGATAATTTAAAAACTTATATTAGCTTTAGATATCGAATAATCAATTTATCTATAATGTTGTAATAGAGAATTTGCATTTTGAAATTTGAAGTGAAGTTGCTTTATAATTATTCTAGGCATCTATATTTCGAGCTTTCTACGTTAAATTACTCGGGCCTTGAAAGTTGCATCAGTAGCACTATTTCCCTTTTTTGACGTTTTTTGACTTGAATTGAATAGCAACATTCTTGAAAGTGCATAAGAAAGAAAAGGGGAGCAACTAAATTGTTTGAAGGTGAAATTCTTCTATGTTTTGTCATTCAACCATTAATTAAGATTTTTAAAATTAACTTTTATTGCAAGTGTCCCGGATTACCCCCTTCCCAGGGGTAAATCAGGACAGTTTTATTTTGCGTCTGGCACCTTACAAATAGCATATGGAATTTTTTTGAAGATGCCATTGGATAGCCCCCGCAAAGAGCTATAAAATGAGCCTAAACTTGTTGCTGAAATGTTTCATGGTAAGAAGTTATTAACAAAAAACGCTCAAAACCATCCTTTTTTTTTGCTGTTTGACAGTATATATATACAGTCATTTGCAAAAGTTTAAGACCACCTTCCAAATTTGGGTTTTTTGCATTAAAAATTGAAATGAGGCAAAATATTCAAACTGTTTGTATTTGATGAGACAAGGTAAAGAAATAACAAGCAATTTGTGATATATTTGATATATTCAGTACTTAGTTTGTCTCCCTCTATTGTCAATAACAGCCTGGATTCTTCGTGGCATACTGATGATAAGTTTCTGACAGTACTCATTGGAAAATTCTTTGCACCATACCTGCTTAATGCATTTTTCTAATGACTTCAAATTTGAAGGCTGCATTGCTGCTACCTTATCATTCATGACTGACCACAAATTTTCAATGGGATTCAGGTTTGCGCTAATTTGCAGGCCAGTACAACAATTCAAGGTTGTTTGAGGTCAAAAAATCTTCACCTGCCAGGCCCGATGACATGGAGCACCATCCTGCATGAAAATAGTACACTGGTGTATTCTCATGTGTAGTACAAGCTTTTATTGAAGCAGCTTGAGGTACCTTGCTCCATTCATGGTTGTTTTCTGAGGTAGAAATTATGATCCAGCTGTCCCATTATGGCTAAATGCCCCCCAAACCATGACACTGGGTGGATGTTTCATGGTAGGTACTGTATATTTCTCTTCAAATCTTTTACCAACTGGTCGCCTAATGTGTTGATGGCATGACCCAAACTGCTGAAATGTAATTTCATCTAAAAACAACATTGTGTTCTACTTGGCAACCATCCAATCTTGATGTCTCCGAGCAAAATTAAATCGCTTAATTTTCATGGCTACAGTTAACTTTGGTTTTTGAGCAGGCTTGAAACTCTTTGCTTAAACGGCGTGAAATAGAACTGATGCTCACCGCACATCCTTTTCGAAGCAAAATTCCTTGAATTTTCTTACAGGAACTTGTTGGAGATCTTGCAACAGTGAGCTTCATGATGTTGTCATCATGGCTGGTTGTTTTCCTCGGACGCCCCGATCTTTTCTTGTCTGAATAATAGCTATCATGTTCAAACTTGCGTATTACATTGTTAACTGCAGTCTTGCTGCATCTCATCTTTAGAGAAATCTGGCGTTCAGAATAACCTTTGTCATGTAAGATCACAATTTGAGCCCTCTGGACTTCGGTAAGAGAAGCTTTTCTACCCATGTCTAATAAATGAATATTCTGCTGGCTTGTAGCTACAATCTTCTCATGCAAGAGCTGGGAGGTAGCTGATGCATGAACACACTTCTCTGATTGCCTGCAGCTACTGTTAGGCCCGCCGCAGGCTCAAACTTGTACACCACTCATCCAAAAAGGGTCATTTCCTGATTTAGGTCAAATTCTGTGGGTGGTCTTAAACTTTTGCAAATGACTGTATATATATATATATATATTTATATAAGTAGATCGATAGTGCGACGTTTTTATGATATTTCGCGACAAAAATATATTGTGCGACAAAATCACGTCGCACTATATTTTCGGTGATTAATCTGTACTCAGTTGTGCGACACCGACAAGATGAACGCTATTATGCGACATGCTAATTAATAAAAATCTCGTTAGGTTATGGTTAGAATTAGGGTAAGAAGTGTAAAAAATGTTTCTTTAGACACTTTTTTACAATTTTACTAAGGTTAGGTCCAGCCAGGAAAGGTTCTATTATATTAAATAACCAATTGAAAAACGTCGAAAAATCACTGTCGCGGAATTTCAATGTATAGCTATATAATAAATATATATATATATTACATATATAGCGTATAATATATATACGCTTTCATTAATTAACCAGATGTTGCTTTGAGTATTTTTTCTACTTACGCAAGAATAATTTCCTTCGTTAATTCATGTTCAAATATTTATGGTTTTTAATGTCATTAATGAAAACTTTGAGTCGAGATTTATTATTGAAATCTTGAATAACGTTTTTACATATACAGTGTGTATCTTAGACTTTAAATGGTTAATTTCCCTATGAATAACGGAACATTGCAACAATATTCGTCTTCAACAATAAAAAAAATATTATCCATCAAAATTATTGTTGTTATAATATTAAATGCGCGTCAGCGATCGATAAAAATTCATGTCATAATATTGCCAAATAATTTCTCATAATATTTCTGAATAATCTAAGAGTAATCTTTCAGAAATACTGCTAATGCAGAATATTTAGTAGTTTAAAGGTTTTAGTTAATGACTTAGGTATGACTATAAAGATTAAAACATATTTCTTGCATATATAGTGCAGAGATCTTCAAATTCCTTGTGAATACAATATTATAGAATTTTTCTATTTATTAGGTTTTACTCCAACACTGAGGAAAAGTACTGAGTCATATTATTCGAATAATGACGCACTTCTATCCAGCAACAAGAGCAGAGAGCGGATGTATAAGCGCTGATACCTACCCTCTTTTGCAGGGACCAACTGTCAGAATGACCCACAAGAGGGTATGAAACGCGTTGTGGACAATGTTCTACAACTATTTCTCTACGATACGCTCTTTCCTAGGATGAAGGTATGATATTGAACGCTTACTTACATCATATGCGCAACTGTTATTAGGGTTTTGAACTATTATTGGCGTTAGTAGTGTTATTATTAGTGTCATTATTAGTGTCATTATTAGTGTTATTATTAGTGTCATTATTAGTGTCATTATTAGTGTTATTATAAGTGTTATTATTAGTGTTATTATTAGTGTTATTATTAGTGTTATTATTAGTGTTATTATTAGTGTCATTATTAGTCTTATTAGTGTTATTATTAGTGTTTTTATTAGTGTTATTTTCAGTGATATTATTAGTGTTATTATTAGTGTCATTATTAGTGTTTTTATCAGTGTTATTTTTAGTGTTATGATTAGTGTTTCGAAATTTATCCTGCATAATATGCATACTGTAAGCGCGACGGCGACTTCCGACCGCTCTTACGTCAGCGCCAGCCAGACAAACGAACTTTAACCGTGCAGGGAAGTGAACTTTGGTAGTCTGACGATTTATTGGTAACACAGGCACTGGTAAGAACACAAAATACTCGGAATGAACCCAAAAAGCCACAAAATAAACCTTCTTCTGAAGGCAAAAATTTGGCTACTGAAGCGTCGCCAAAGATCTTGCAATATTCATCCACTTTCTGCACAGTGGCTGGTATCCATGATACTTTTTTGGTCTACTTATAGGACTTGAAATTGAACTTGAAGGAGAGTCTAAAAAACTCTCTGCTTTGCCACTATGGCCCTATACTATAGACCAGTGGTTCCCAAACTTTTTCAGGCCAGCCACCAGCCCCTCCCTTTTGGCACCCTAGTGAATCTCTAGGACTCTAGCGCCCCTAACTCCTAAGCCAACAGACACATATAAAAACATACACCTCTTTCTTGAAATATAGTACGCTGCAATTTTAAAAGACAAAGGTTAAACAAAAATGTGTATTTCTCAAGTAGAACCTCATTTAGTGAACCAATATGTTTTTCAACTGTTTCAGCAGTTAGCACTAGAAACCTAGGACGTCTCAGGTGAATTTACAGCCAGACTCGTGGCCGGTCTCAGGACCAATTTCCAAATTCAATTATCAAGTAATATCTCCCAAACCAATGAATGCAAATCTATGAAACTTGGAAGTTGGAACATGTATTCATCAGAACCTAATGGTGATGTTTAGCTTATAATTTTTTTAAATTTCACCTTCATTTATGAGTTACACATATATTGCGAAACAGATCAAAAATTGCAGTGCAAAGAATTTCTTCCAAACATCAAACAGATTTGAACAAAATTTTGAATGTACATTCCAAACTACCAAATGGTGATTTTTAAGCTCAAAAAATTTTTTATTTTACCTTCGTTTGTGAGTTTTTTTTTCATTCATCAAGAAATTTCTTATAAACTACTGAACAGATTTCAACAAAACTTCGTATATAAATACCTAACCACCCAACGGTGATGTTTAGCTTGTGACAATTTTTCTATTTTGCTTTCGTTTGCAAGTTATACAAATATAGGAGGAATTGGCCAGCTTTTCCACTGGCTGGTCAGCCTGGTTTAACCAAGAGCTGTTTATGTATAGGCGGTATAGCCATGCCCGTATAACTTGCAAATGAACGCAAAACAAAAAAATACTAAGGTTCCTTCAAATTTGTTCAGCAGTTTGGAAAAAAATTCTTGATTACTGCGAATTTAAACATGCGTATTGATGTTTAAATCACAAATGAAGGTGAAATGAAAAAAACTCAAGAACGAAGGCACAATCGAAAACATTTTCACAAGCTAAACATTACTGTTTGGTAGTTAGGACTGCAAATTCAAATTTTGTTCGAATCTGTTCAGTAGTTTGGAAGAAATTACTTGATCACTGTGAATTTTGGCCCGTATTGCCAATTGCCATATAATTATGGCAAAATTCAAAAAATTTTCCCGAGCTAAACATTATCGTTAGCCTATTCATTAGGACCTAACGATGTTAGGTCCTAATGAATATGTGTACTAAGTTTCATCAAGTTAAGTTCATTAGTTTGAGAGATATTCCTTGATCATTGAATTTGGAATTTGCCACAAGTCCGGCCGTTAATTTGTCTGAGACATAAACCCAAGAGAGGTTAGAAAAACAGATCAGGGCGACAAAACCATTGCTGGGAGTCATGTGCTGCACGTGTTGTGTACAAATCGTCAAACAAACGTTTGAACTTCTGACATCGACTTCAGACTACCACCCCTCCCCCTATCGCCTCCCTACCGCCCTCTTCCTTACCGCCCCCAGAATCTTTCCACCGCCCCTAGGGGGCAATATTGCCCACTTTGGGAACCGCTGCTATAGACTATAGAGCCTGCAGTCTGCAATACTGCATACTGATACTGGTAGTGGTATAATAGTGTAATTTGAATTTTACAGGATTAACAAAAATATTATTATTTAATTTGTGTCATTGTTAAAAAATTTCTTAATGTATTTTAAATTATTTTTTCTTTTAATATGCATATTATCAGCATATATATATATATACCGTAAAATGGGGTAACTTAGACCGGCGGGGTAACTTAGACCACTTTTCGTTTTTTTAACAAAAACCCCCACAACTCAAAAACTATTTGACATAGNTTCAAAACATTGAGTGACATTCGGGCTGTGTGAGCTGTAGCCCCATCCTGCTGGAACCACACATCTCCGAATGCTTCATTTTTGTTTTCCATTCTGGGCTGCAAGAAATTTTGCAACATTGCAGCATAGCATTTGGAATTCACTGTCATGGTTACTCCCTCTTCTGAGAACGACTTTAACAGGTTGGAGCTAACGGCCACCATCTTCCAGTTATTGTTTTCAAAACATAATTATTCTAAATGGTATGTTATGCTAACCTCAAGGAAAATAAACTTTCTTCTTTATGTACCTACAATACTCTTTTATTTTGCCTCAAAGCTGCACAATCATTTCTGCCCCACCCTGTATATTGAGAGGTTGAGAATGGATTGACCTTTTAGGCAATTACAAAGATTTTCCACCCTAATATGAGTACCTACCATATTCTAATTAAAATATTTAATTTCAATTTTTAAATATTTTAATTTGAAACTAGACAAAACAATTACAATTCCCATTTTACGGTATATAAAATAATTAAATGCCGTGAATGTAAATAAAATGTTTGAATTATGCATAGATTTATTTCCAACAGTGTTAGCTTTTCTCTAACATTAGTCTTGTTTCAAGTTGTTGCTGATTTTAAGTGGTAAGTAAATTAATAGATGATTGATTTAAGAGACGGTTTTAGACACAAAAACCAATTCCGACACAGGGTGCCGGAATTACGAAACACAGGATGTTGTATTCCAACATAGGGTGTCGTAATTACAAATTACGATTTTGAAGCGCTGTCAGAATTAGTCTCACAATATGCGGCATTTAGTCACACACAGTGTTGGAATTCAGCGATTTGGTAGATTTGAATTCTAAAGGCTTTTAAATAAATACGGCAACTGTTTGTGACATTGTTACCGATGTCTCAACGGGGGTGACACGAAATCGTCGCCTACTTTGACTAACTTGTTGGTAACAAAGAATTAGTTAAACTGATGTGATGACTAGAGGTTGAAAAGGAAAATGAAACGCAAATACTGGTTCTAATAACTGTTTCGATCTCATACAGTGAAAGTGACAGGAAAATGACAGAATAAAGGAAAATGTGTAAAACTGATTAACTGATGCTGAACTAAAGATGATGCCAAGTAAAAAATGCACACGGACCAATGAGTAAGATGCACACCAATAACTGCTTCCAATACAAGTCAGTTAGGAGGTTTATAGGGTGCTTTAGAGCAAATCACTCAAGAGGTTAGGGACTAGGGAGAGCTTTCCAGCAAATCACTTGAGAGGTTAGGGAGGAGGAGGCTGGTACAGCAATTCATCTGGCACCACACTTTAGAATAGTCTTTGACATAAATTTAGATAATCAGTTACTGATCTAAACCTGACCTGAAGAGAATAAGATTTATTTTAGTTGAATTAATGAAATAGTTAAACACTTCAATAGAAAACACACAGTAACACACATGAGAGGGAAAAGGTGAACACATATAAGAGGTACAAGAGGGTGTGCTGCTAAGTAGCCTAAACCACCCCCGCCAACAATGTTTTATCATTGCTGGCGCATAGTGTGGTGTTTTGAAAGTGACATAGACCAATCAGAACTTGAGTTGCAGATATGGTGATCTATTTATAGCCATTTATTTCTTGCTATGTTCTTAAGGTGTTGGAATATAGTGTGTTTACCCTATACGTTGTGATTTCTTGGAGTATTATTATACCTATGGTCCTACCTAATACCTACCATTGTGCAGGATTAGAATTTTCCTACTTGTTTCTGAAATCTCACAACTTCAACATGACAAATTTTTGAATACATTTGAAATCTTGTGGCCCAATTGTGCATTTTTGTTAACTATTATATAATAAAGAGGTAATTCATCTGGCAGAAATCTCGCGGTTCCGGAAATGGCAGAAAAGCTCTAGTCGCAGCCCTAAAGTTAGAAGTTTTCCATGCCTGCCATTGCGGCATTGCAGACTCTTAATTGGAAAACTGGGCAGAAGCCACCTGTGAGTTGGACAAATATGCCTGTGAATCTGGCTAATTTTATATACCGTCAACCGGGGCTACTCGGGACGATTTAGAAAATATTTCATTCATAACTTCTTACCATGAAACATTTCATAAACAAGTTTAGGCTCATTTCAAATCTCTTTGCAAGGGCTATCACATGGTTTCTCCAAAAAAATTCCATATGCTATTTTTTTTCCATAAATGAGAAAACACGCTAAAAAGATAGTGAAAAACATACCTGAAACAGAAAGGAATGTTTTAGTGACAACCATCATATGTTTTGGAGAAATAAATCATAGTTTAGGTCAATTACTCTTCATTCTATGATGCCTGGTGCACAATTCTAAATATGACATTCTATGCACAATTGTGTGATGACCGATGATGCACTAATTTTTCGATAAGTGAACTTTTTTTTGCTCAGCAAGGTAAATGTAATCAATATTATTTCAAAATTTTTGTTCTTTTTTGTTATAGTGAAATCACTTGACTCAATTAAAATTGTGCAAAATTACAAACCATCCTGTAAGCTTACAGATACAGAAGAAATGCTACATGGCTGCTGATATGAAGCTTGCAGTGGACAAGGTCATTGTCAATGCTCAATGGCATGTCCATGGATACAGTAATATCATATTAATAATATGGCAATTAATGAATATGGTAATATACTATCAATAAAGGAAAAACAAGTTAAAATCACAGAAAATGTCATTTATTTTACATCTACATCATCTACAATGAAAGAGGACTTCAAAGTACTGTTAGTAATGGATGAGTAAAATCTGCATGCTTCAAACATTTTAAAATTAACTTTTATTGCAAGTGTCCCAGATTACCCCGTTCCCAGGGGTAAATCAAGACAGTTTTATTTTGCGTCTGGCACCTTACAAATAGCATATGGAATTTTTTTGAAGATGCCATTGGATACGTAGCCCCTGCAAAGAGCTATAAAATGAGCCTAAACTTGTTGCTGAAATGTTTCATGGTAAGAAGTTATTAACAAAAAATGCTCAAAACCATCCCTTTTTTCACCATTTGACAGTATATATATATAGGTATAGCATAAGTTTTTATTTATCTGTTATTATTCAAACCAATTAATCGTTTTTTTGCATTAATCAAGTCAGTTACAATTGGCTTTGAGTTTCCTATTTTGTAGGATAGGTAGTTTGACTAACATTGTATGGTAGTTAGATGTTTGTTGTGCATTGGGATATTGTACTTCATTTGATGCATACGGTAGTTATGGAAAACTACTCCAAGCTTTTTTGATAATTTATTCAATTTATGCAAAGATTTTTAATGTAATAGTCATAATGAACATTAATGAAAAAAAATATTGACAAACTTCTTTTCATTTTGAAAATGTACATTTACCTAATTTTATAGTACTTTCCCTGTAATGGACAGTACGGTATCTCTTGCCACTGCTCCACATATCTTTCATTAATTATGTTGTAATTCTCACTGAAATTTTCTCCAGATTTAATGACATTCAACTTTACTCAAATTAATTTCACAAATGATATTAATAATTAAATAGCTTAAATGGATAAATTTCTCCTGTATTCATGTATATGTGTAGAATTTATAGGTTCTACACTATTCTAATTCTATTTTGCATTTTCAGATTGTGGCCTTCTGAGAGATGTTGAACTTAACTGCATGTAACACTCTGAGAAGTTCATAGAAAATAAAATTCACTTCAAAGCAGTTGCAATAATGGCCAAAAAACAATCCAAATCCGTCTCCACTTTAAAAACTCAGAAGAATGAAGCAACACAATCTAAGCTCCCTTCACGCACCTGTAAAGCCAATGCAGCCATCCCTGTTGTAGCAACAAAACAAGACAAGCCTGTTACTAAAATTAGCAAGAAATCAGTCATTAAAGAGGGCCCCAAAACTCCAAAAGCCAAACCCCTTCCTAACAATGTTCCTGATAGCAATAAAAGCAATGAAAGAGTGAAAAAAACTGGTAAACTGTCATCAACTCCAAGCTCATCTAAGGTTTTGTCCAAAATTGCAAAAAAGACACCTAAGCAGTCATCAACTGCTAGTAAAAATGCAAATGTTTCTATGAAAACCCCTCTACTTTCAAAAAGAACTACAGCTATAAAAGCAATAAAAACAAATGATTATTCTATTCTGGGTGGGAGAAAAGCTTCTATGGAGAAGAAAATTGGTCAGAATGCAAAAAAATATAAGAAAAATATTGACAAAACTGTAGAGGTTTCTCAAATTTCTGAAGAATCTGAAATTCTTGGACCAGTTTCAACTCCTGCTGCACCTGTCTCTGTTTCTGGTGACAATATCAAGACTGCAAACATTTTGCTTCAACCAGCAGCAAAAGCTGGTCGTGGAAAACCGAGAGGGAAAAAGATTCCAGCTGGGAAAACATCTGCCACAACTCGAGTTACAAGGACACAACAAATTTCCCAGTCTAATAGCACTTTGTCTCAAGACCTACAAGTAAATGAGAGTATTTCCTCAGGCAAAAATACCGTTCAGGCTGGTAGACACATTGAAGTGAACTCTGTGAAACCCCTGAAAAGAAAAACATCTAATGCAAGTGAAATAACTTCTCCGAGCAAAAAAGTTCTAAAAATTACTTGTGAAAGTGTTGCAAATTCAAATGAGATGAAGGATTCAGGAGTTGCTGTAATTACTGGTGAAATAACTCCCACATCAATGTCTGTTTCTGATAGTCTTTTTCAGGATTCTTGTCCTCCAGAACCCAGCTCGAATGCGCTATCTAAAGTCGGCCGTGCTAGCATCTTTGATTTGTCTTCAATCAGTGCCACAAAGTCACCTATCATCCGGACAAGAAAAGTGAATCCCAAGTATTTAGATTCAGCTGTAATACCAAGTACATTTTCATTTATGAAGAATACCATAGAACAAGGCAAAACCACCCCTGGCAGTACTGGTCCTGCAAAACTATCAGTATCTGTGCCCACACCTCGTATCTTGGCTAAGGATATCACCCACAGGAATGTAGTCACAACACTGGAAGAGTCTTCTAACACTAGTGAGCAGGAGGTATCTGAGGTGACTCGTCCTAGTAAGCCCATGTTGGGTGACAGGCGTCAGAAAAAATTATTGAAGACAACACTCAGCAAAGTTGACCTGAATTCCAATGTGTCCAATGCCTCCAAAAGTGAGCACAGTGAAATCAACAGTCCAAGAAACATTGAGAAGACTTTGAAAAAGACTACTGTAAAGAAAACTGTCAATTCTCTGAAAGGGAAGAAGGCTGGTTCAGAGACTAATAATAAAGTCGAAGTTTTAGAGTCAGTCAATTCTGTGATAAGGAAGAAGACTGCTTCAAAGTCAAACGCTAAAGCTAAAGTTGTAGAAGGCCGTACAATATCGGAAAGTTCAAGGGGCTCAATAAACAACAAAGTCAATGATGCAGTTGAAGAATCACCCGGCACCATTGTTAAGCTGTCACAGTTTCCCATCAAGCTTGCTGTTTTCAGGTCTCCATCTCAAAGCACTTCTCTTGAGGACACAACCTTTAAACCTAAAATAATCAACGCAGAAAACTCAGTTGTTGAACAGCCACGTCTGAGTAAACGGAAACTACTTGCTTTGGCTCTCAGGGAAGGGAAGCTGAAAAAAGTAGTGAATACTAAAACTGTGGAGAAACCTGATGTCAAGTTTAATGTTCCTGTATTAATCAAGTCACGCAATGTTGTTCTTGAAAATAGTCATGCAATTCCTTCTTCTGCCAAGTCAAAATTGCACACACCTCCCTCTACATCTGAGTCTGCATTAGCAGAGTCCAATTCAACCCTAATGAAAAAGCCAATTTGGGCTCATGCAATTTCTCCCAGTAAGAAGGCAAAAAGACTTTCAAGCACTCGCTCTGTCACGCCTGTTGTTCAGAAAAGCAGCACAGTTTTTGAGTTCTCATTTAATTCTGAAGAAGAAGTGAGGGAAAAAAAGGTCGTTAAACCGAAAAGAGGAAGGCCACCAAAGCCAAAGGTTATTCAAAAGAACTTTAAGCCACTTAGTACAAAAACTAAAATACTCACTAGACTCTCCCAACGCCCGACGCTACGAGATTAATGTCAAAATTGGTTGGTGGCACATCAACGCCATTCCCAGCATCCTTAACCAGTGCACCTGCTGCGTCCATATCTGCAATTCCCATCAACCTTGCAGCCAGCAAAAACTCGCATCGACGTGACGAACGCCGTGAGCCAGAAACTGTGTCAGATCAAATCAAAGTATGTTTTGGTTTTGATGAATCGGACAACGATGAAGCGGAATCCTGTGGTTATGAGCCAGCAAGCTTCAATTTATCACCTGTACGTCGTGAGCAGGGATCTTTTTGGCCACCCTCTCACTATTCATCAATGCTCTCGGAAGCAGAGGATGGAATACCCCGAGCGCACCATTCTGTCACTGACAATAGGTCTATGAAGAGCAACGTTTCTTCCTGCGGAACATTCCTCAAGCCTCCCGTTGTTAGGAGAACATGTGTGCCTGCCAGACTCACTGCAGCAACTTCAGGCCTCGCGGCAAAAGTAACTTCTTCTATCTCACAACGACCAGTTGCTCCTATTTCAAACCCATCTCGTCAAATATCTGCTTTATCAAGCCACATTGAAGGCAACAGCATCACAACTGAAACGAATGCTTCAGCTAATGCAATTGAATCAAGAAACGTTGAAAAAGATCCATCATCAACCAAGAATCATAATGTGGTAAAAACAGCCAAAATTAAAAGCAAAGACCGTGAAAATGGGGGCTTCAGTTCCAATATAGGCGTTGATGCCACTAGCAACACTGCAGGCTTGGAGGAGAGCAGACTCTTTGACGAGGAGGACCTCAGTCCGGCGAAGGAAGCTTCCCCAGTTAAAGCTACTGCTGAAAATGCTGCTGCTTCCACTGTTGTGTCGCCTGAGAAATCTTTCTCTGAGGTTAGATATTATTTCTTGATTTAAACTTGTTAAATACACCGCGAGAACAGGTTCAAGTTCTATTTTAATATTTTATTAAGAATTAATAATAAGAGAAGTGCGAGTTTTAACTTCAGTTGAAATTGAGTGATAGTTTTTCAATGTTATGATAATATAGTACGAGTTAAATTTTAATTACTACATGCATCACTTTCTTAAACTCGAATGAATTGTATGGTGGGCCTGTCGAAGTAAGGACATAAGATATTAATCATAATCTAATGTTCTCAGTGATGCTAATTTTTTGAATTAATAACCCTGCAGCCTGTGCGTCGCGCCTACGACCGCCGCAGCCTGGAGACGTCACGTCGGTCGCTGCTGGTGAGCCTCGCCGGTGGGCCTCCTGACGACGACGAGGACAACATGGCCGACCAGGTTTGTCTTCAGCCATTTTTTTTCTATAAAATGTCCTATAATGAAGTCTTCTCGTAAGGTCCTTACCAAAATTGGCTTTGTAAAACAAATGATAATTTTGACTTGTGTTTAACCAACATCAAAGACAAAAAGAGTTGCGATTCGTGATTCTGGTAGAAGCAAAATATATATATAAATTAAACCTAAATTTAATTTATTTAGACAAATTTATTGAAGGAATTCATGAATGCTGAAGAGTTGTGGACTGTTCATTTCATATCAAAATGTCAGGTTTGAGTGAGAGAATCCTCGTGCAAAAATGTACACGCAATATTAATATCCATAACTTATAACTGCAGGAAGACGTATCAAGCGCATCTGTTACCCGTCGAAGGAAACGCAAAACTGCCGCCACTGACGCAAAGACTCGTCCCATGAAAGCCCTGAAATCTCGTTCTGCTAAGCAGCCAGCAATTGGAAAATCTCGAGCTGAAGCTGAAGTTGACTCCACATTAGAAGAATCAGTAGCGTTACCATCAGTGAAACTCCCGAAAAAGAGCACCCTAAAGTCTGCAACTAGGACCTTATCTTCTAGAACAAAAGCTAAGAAACGACCAAGCGATGATTCAGATAAGGGACACACTAATAAGAAAGTAAAGCCCGACTCCATCTTGAGCACAGACAAGAAGACAGGAACAGGCAAGTCGGTGGCATTCGAGACGAGCAGTGATCAGAGCGGCGCTAGTTTTGGGGATTCTTCCAACGCCTCTGCGAATTCAGCTCATGGAAAGAAACATAAACGGCCTACAAAAGCTGCTGCTTTTGTGAGTAATTACAGTGATTGTTCATAAAAGTTCCGTGTTATCCATGCATAGGAACAATTTACAATAGCTTAAGGAAAAACACTACTAGAATAACCCGTGTATGCCAGTGTGGATATTTCAACACTTGCACGTGTAAATTTGTTGTACTTATTGTCTCAGTAGTTGTGATTTAATATTATTTCATTTACCGAGGAACTATTATTACCCCTGTACTACTATTACCCAGTACTACTATTACCCCTGTAATATTACCCCAGTAATACTATTACTTTTATGCAGGAAAAGAGCCTGAACGACTGGGCGTCAGACCTGAACAGCCACTTCAGCGAAGTCGAAGACCTCGAGCTCGTGGTGGCCTGAACAGAACTGGTAGTAAAGTACATTTTTTCTGCAGCTGGTCATTTAGACGAGCCACGACGCCTCGATATGTTCCTGAGACTCTCACGCTTGCTCCAATTTCCTTGCAATTGATTTGTCCAATTTCCTTGATTGCAATTTATTCAATGGCGGATTGACATCAATACTTTCCTGTATCTGACACTATGATGGGCATAATCTCCTTTCTTACTAATAATTACGACCACTATGATTAGGTGGAATATTTCTTATCACTGAAATTTATCAACATGAAATCGACGCCTCCAGTATTGAGGAATAAAGTGCAAGTTAATTCATACTTGAAGTGAAGTACTTTGCAGTACTTCTATAGCAATCAACACTCGACCTCCGGGAGATGTCAACATTCGCCTAGGCTCGTGTTGCATGACTTGGTATTATCATCGGTTCGAAAATAGATGCTTTGGAATCTCATTTGTGGATTACGATATCATCGGTTGTCGTTTTTAAATGTAAACATGAAAAATTCTTTTTTGAGACTTGTGAAAGATGGTATCGGTATGTTGTTTGGTGATACTGCTCGACCATCTTGCTGCTGAGAATGTTGGTGCAATTGTACCATTTTTTTTTCTAAGGAATTTTGTTCCAAGTGTTTAATTTCAGGATCCTTTTACTATTAAGATACGTTTTCAAATAAATTCATAATGCCCAATCCTCATATTACCTCCATTTTTGTTACAATTTTATTGGCTCACAGTCCATTCATTGTTTATGCGCTGCAGACTCGCTCTCTTATTTTCTTCGCCATAATAGTGAGAATATCTTGAAATAAGTACCTGTCGGTCCCATGATCGGTTCCTGCCAATGGAGTTGCCCGTTCTGTACATTTGTATCTGCAAATTTACGGCACATATTTTTCGCTTTAAGTTTTCGTTGTATTCTAGGAACATAATTTCGCTTTATATGTTTTCGTTGTATTCTAAGAACGTATTTTGAATTGTTCAATTTGAATCATTTTAGGTCGTAGCTGTAAAAAAACTTTCGGTAATTTTTTTTTAGTAAATTTAGTTCCACGGACTACACGAGTTTTGTATATTGAATACGTACTTTTTAGCCTTATGTCCCGACTTGAATTAGAGTAATTGAGTACATAAGCCGTGCATTATTTCTATAGTGTTCTTAACAGGCATCGAAGTGGATTGTGTGTGTTACTGTTCAACTGTATAGTTGTATTTTTTTGCCTTTAATTTTAATGTATCTTAGTGTTCTAAACTTTACTTCTTTTTCGCAATTATTTGCTATATGGCAGTTTATATCATGTAGACTATCCAATGTAGTATCTTTTGAATTATCATTTGTTATGCGTGTTTAATACAATGGAAGCTTCAGTAGAATAGCGACATAAATTCTTAATATGATCATAATTGCCTGATACCATGGACTTTATTTGATGTTTAGTAGAGCATTAGAAATTATTGCTTATTGTATGTTTATTATTCAATACGAGTAAGTAATGCAAGCTCATCGCGCACGTGGTCATGTTCCGTCATATTCAAGTCAAAAGATGACTTAAATCCCAACAATTTTAAATTAAAACTTCCAGTCTACCTTTGGCATTTGGATTAATGCGCCCTATGCTCTGTGAAATATGTCGTTGTATTGATATTGATGAAAATTACTCTGCTTCTTTGATTGATTCATTTGGTTAATGTATCTGTTTTATTTTGTTTATTTAAATCATACGTTCTTTTTGTACAGCAAACGACGCATAATTTACCTGTAATTACTATGGGATTATAGCACATGATGGGTATGTAATGTGCACCGTAATTACCAGGCATTCATTGTAAATCGAACGCTGACATCGTAAATAATAAGCATTACATTCATACAGCACTAGTTCAATTATTGATATATTTCCTTTCGTCTGAACGGTCTCGTTTCGAACGGTCTCGTTTAATAATTTTGATGCAAGACAGCAATATAAAGTACAAATTCATGGCCGGTTGTTACGTTTTCTTACGCTAAATCCCGGCTCGTCCAATAGAAATCATGCCATTTCATCGCCTACACGTCATGTAAACCTGTGGCATTATACTGCGTGCGTTTGCACTTGTTTATACGCACATTATTTTATTACTTATTTTACTTGAAAAAAATAAAATGGGGTATTTTGATGTATATACATTCACTTGCATCCTGGTGGCATCAACGACTTCATCTGCAGCAATAGCTTCGTCTAATGGTTTAAATTCAGTCGCGTTCCACACAAGTCATCAAAAGGCTCGTCCAAAAGCCAAAATCGAACAACCCCGCCCGTATACAAAGAGTTTTTATTGAATTGTAAGAATTTTCTTAGGTAAGCGTCACTTAATGCCGTAAGAATAAGTAGAATAACGAAATAGATGGTAATGCATTGCGATAGCAGTTTCGTATGCGAGTAATATTAGAATTGTGCCTTGAACCCTCCATGTGCGTGTTGTAAACAGACTCTTGCTCTTTACATGATTGCTTTATGTTTTATTCTATGTTCTTTTAGCATTTTTGACGGTCATCAAACGACTGTCTCGTTATCGAATTTCTGGATCCATTTACTATTACTTTTACACACTTGCCTCATTCGTTCATTTGTGTTAAAGGAATTTCTGTTTAAATGGCCGAGTGCAAGCGAGAATCTAAAATGCATCGTGCATTCTTAACGTAGCTATTTCAATAGCGTGTAAAATTTTTATCAAGGATCAAATGTATTCGGTGTGATGTGCCTTTGCTAAAATATATTCAGGGCACGCCAGTGTTCGACATGATCCGTCTCAGGAGTGGAACAGCGATCCCAATAGCGATGATCCTATCAAGAAACTGAGCTCCCACTTCAGGAGATGAATTTGTTGTGCGGGTACAAGCAGTTTACCCTCGTATAGTATTTAAATTCACTGATTAAAACGAAGAAGGTGTAGGCATTTCTTTCATCCAAAGTAATTATAGAGGAACCTCCCTCAATATGATGTATGAAAACAGAATTGTTCGAGAAATTTTTGTTCTTTGATTTTTTCATGTATAAATTTTTCGTGGTCATACATCTTTATTTCGCCCGTAAGTCTAATTGCAATGTTGTGACTTGATTAAACAACAATTTTCCCGCAATTTTTATTTATTTTTTATTTTGCCTGGTATTAATCGAAATATTTGATAATGTGATTATGAACTGAAATACAGAATGGAATCGTGAATGTAAAATAGACTATGTGGAGATGCGACCAATTGTCGATTGACAATCAATGATGTGTTGTAAATACTGGATTCAATTATCTTGACTCATCATGCTCGTTGCGTTTTTTTTTTTTTAATTTCATCTTCGGCTTCTTTAAAAAAAACTATTTTCTGTGGAATTTTCCAAATTTCTGATTAGAAATTCTGCTTGTAAAAAAATATTATTTGTGTGAGTTATTAATAATCCTAAGTCTTGCCTATATATAAATAAATTTCGCACATATTGACCTCTCATTTATATGATCCTTTACTCACCTCACCCTCAATAATTTCAGTTTTACAGAAAAGCGATACGTTCTCTATGGGTTTCGTAACATTATTTGATGCTGAGCTAAAATAATATATTGAATTTCACTCGTTTAATTCACGAAGAAATTGAAACTGATAAGTTGACAATTGCTAACATTTGATCCTATGAAACTTCGGTGACGCCAGTGTGCAGTGCCATGGATACGTCTGCGCGGCCCCTTAGCTCGGTGTGTGGTTACGTTGACGACTCGCACCTGCAGCCATGTTTGAACTATGGAACCATGCCTGCAGCCGAGGTTAGGAGTTGTTATCTACGTTTTCACCGCATAACACGGAAGCTCATAATTTAAAATGCTGTCAGAATGACAGAAGTCGCTATTTTATGGGAAAAAATTAGTATTACAGTTAGCCCGAATGTTAACGTTCGGCCTAAATGATAAATCTCACTTTGGATCTTTCTCTCCTATTTAACAAGCATTTAGTGTTCTTAGTGTTGAGAATCGTGTATTGAATACGAATCGCCCGCAATTATCTGCAAACTCTCTTTCAACTGCTGCCTTCGTCTAAGTTATTGTCGTCGGGCTACAAATAATATGCGCAAGAGTAGGTGTGCAGTGACCAGCCTGCATGCCGAGCACGATAGTGTCTAGGATCAGCTAGGGCGGTTCCAGCTATACGCGAACCTGCGACACCTACATGCGACATGCTAGAGCGTACGTCGGTAGCGCCCGCTACATTTAGAGCATGTAGCGGTAGCGGTAGCGGTAGCGGCCGCTACATTTCGAAGTAGCGCTGCCCAGCTCTGATGACAGTTAGCCCGAATTTTAATATTCGGCCTAAATGATAAATCTCAGTTTGGATCTTTCTCTCCTATTTAACAAGCATTTAGTGTTCCTGATGTTGAGAATCGTGTATTGAATATGAATCGCCCGCAATTATCTGTAAACTCTCTTTCAACCGCTGCCTTCGTATTAGTTATCGTCGTCGGTCTACAAATAATGTGCGCAAGAGTAGGTGTGCACTGTGCAGTGACCAGCCTGCATGCCGAGCACGATAGTTTCTAGGATCAGCTAGGGCGGTTCCAGCTATACGCGAGCCTGCGACACCTACATGCGACATGCTAGAGCGTACGACACCCTTGTGAACACGGGGTCGAGAGAGATAAAAAAAATTCTGTCCAGCCATTTCAGATCAAGAAAAATTAAAAGTATAGTCACTAAATCTAAGATTAGCACAAATTTTATTCATTAAATTCAGTACCGTTTGAGCTGACCGAGCATATTTATTGGTGGATATTTATTAAATGGAAGAAAGAAGTATTTAATCAAAAACTCTAATTTCAGGGCCGGTCTAAAATTTGGGTTGTTTGAAATTTAGCCTGTTCCAGTTTACAATAAAGAACTGAAAATAGTAGAATCAGACCATTAACACTAACTCGCATGGAGAGGGTTGAATCAATACAATATTAGTTCAACCATGACTAACTTCCACGTGTAAAAAAATTGCGCATTCGATGTCATAAATTATCCCGTCTTAAGCATTGGAGAGCCGGGTGGACTGTTGAAATTGGCAAAACTGTTATACATTTATGCGTTTTCCGAGTAGCTTTGGTTTTGTTACATAGGTTGGGATATTGTGATGTGCTAGTGCTAAATTTGAATCCAAAAATCATGTTTGAATTTTTAATAACTAAGGAGCAGTAGAGATTTCAAGCAATGTCTAACTTTAATATATGACAACAAAATTCAGAGTCATACTCTCAATTATTCGTCAAGCTTCAATTTCCACACCCAATTATCATAATCTATAAAAATTATTCATTCATTTTTATCCCAGTGTATAGAAAAGAGCTCAAAACATTCGGCCCACGGTAGAATCTTTATAGTCAGCCGTGTCGTCGCCTGTTTTCATTACCTTATGCCGGTTCCAGAGTAACGGGAATACTGGAGCCTATCCCAATCGGAGAGCTCGCTTGTGCACACGTTCTCTCCCTTTTTCGGTCATAAGAATCAGTTGGCCAACAGCCATCGGGAAGTGAGGTGTATTGCGCATATACGCTCCTTGCTTCCTGAAGAACGTGACGAATTCGTGTACTCCATAAGGTTTACTTCAAGTTTCTTTATCGTGTCGGTAGCAAAAATTATTTTAGAGGAACTCCAAGGTTTCATACTATACTCGAGAATTATATATATCGATCAATGAAGAATCTGAGCAACCCTAGGTGTATTGAAATACGTGCGTTACCGCAATTAGTCTAATGAGACGCCCATGTAAATGCTTTGATTAACAGATGTTAATGAGGTAAACATGAGATTTGAGCAAATTATTTCATGCACTTGATGATCTTTTACAATTTTGTTGCATTCGTTTGAAATACAAAATTATTTGCAATTTTTGGTGCAGGAGGGAGACAAGTTGTGTTGGCATATAGTTCATAATTTTATTTAATGATCGGTTAGGCGCTGAGGCTTGCTACTGGAATATTAGAAGACTTTTAACACGGCCTAACTACTGTTAAATAATTATTACATTACATAAGTCATATCTTGATGTTATCCAGTAGTAGAATTATTAAAACTTATGATCCTGGAAAAAATGTGTACGCTTTCAAAATAACGGCATAACTGACCTCTTTGCCAGTCTCTTCATTTGAAGTATTTTGTAGTTTACGACAGACCACTGCAACATTGCTACCCCATACCGCCGTTATTATCTTTGTACCATGCAAAACATTCGAGCTTTGATGCGCGGTCGAAATTGAAGTTTTATTTGTAAGTTCTGTGATTTTTACGTGAGTGAATCGTGCCAATCTTTGTGCACAACCACCACTACAAGTTGCTTTATTTACCAATCTGTCACGCGCACCATAGGAAGTGATCACATAGCTTGGGCGCGTAGCGAGCTCGATCACCCCACTGGGGCGCTTCCGATGCAAGATCTATTTTGGTGAACCACGTTTGTTGTGCATGGCTTCGTAGCTCTCTAATTTGTGACCGCCATCATGTATGCGACCAGGGTGCTAGCTTATTGCTGTGTTATTTGTTGACTTAGAGCGCGGAGCTATTCTGAGTGCTAGGAAAAAAAGTCGTGAGTTAGAGTATTCAAGCAAGGGTGCTTAGTTTACTATGGCAGAGGAAAAATTATGCGTTGCGTGTTTACTTTGGTTCCGTAAGTAGGCTGTTTCAGGTGCAAGTTTGCCGGTTATTAATCGTAAATTTTAATGGGCTCGATGCACTCAAAATGTGATAGGCATTTAGAGTTTTAAAAACAAAATGTGGCAGAATGTTTTTGGTGATCGTCATATTTTCATTTCATTTATTGGTAAATTTTGCGAGAAAGCGTGTTGTATGCGTCAGGTTTGAACCCAACTTCGCGCTACAGCCAACCGGCTTCAACAGAATCTTGCGTCAATAGCGCTTGTGTTTTTTAACCAGCACCTATCAAGTCTTCGAACATTTTTGCGCGTACAAGGGTCCTTTTTAGCTTCCTTTGTGCCGACGTCGTGCTTCTGATGGTTGATGTTTTCTCGTGCTGAAAGGCACTGTGTGTTGCCCTCTATTTAGTCGCCTCCTTGTTTTGTGTGATGTCGTTATGCGCACGCAACAACTCGTTCTGTTGCAAGCTTATCATTTGCTTTCATCTGGCTTGATTGTAATTCGTTTGCTTTTTTAGCGCATTTTCTCATTTATGGAAAAAGTGCACTATTGTGCTCGCCATGTCCGTCTGTCTGTCCGTCCGTCCGTGACCTCAAGTTTTCGTCGACGAGAAAATGCGCTCTCTGTCACTCACTGCAGTGAGTACTGAGTTATTAGCGCATTTTCTCATTTATGGAAAAAATGCACTATTGCACAATTGTGCTCGCCATGTCCGTCTGTCTGTCCGTCCGTGACCTCAAGTTTTCGTCGACGAGAAAATGCGCTCTCTATCACTCACTGCAGTGAGTACTGAGTTATATTTTTTTTATTTATAACTAGCAGGTTAGCCCGGCGTTGCTCGCGATCAACAATCCGTGCGCTTGTAAAATCCCGTTCGTCCTAACCCCGTTCATAATAATAATGCTGTTGCTTGATAATTACGTCTTCTAACCCATTAAAGCCCAGAATTATTTTGGGACAAATTAA